AACGGGAGGCGAGGATCAACCACTCACCATCGTAGTCTTTGACAAACGCATCAAGAGGCCAGGCCCTCACGCTGTTCAACAAGTCCGCCAAACTTTGCCAAGGAAAGCCATCAATCCTGGAGGTCAGAATGACAATGGAAGCAACGAGACATTTTCCTTTAAACAAACACCAGAGGACAAACCCATTGGCATAATACTTGATGGAAATGTCGAGTAACTGATTGGTATCACGAGCTGCTCGCCTACAGTATCAACATGAAGCTGCTGCACAAGACATGATGCAACTGACTTCCTGCTCAGCCAACACGCCTACAGCCTAATGATGATCATGCCAACCAACAATGACATCAAACACAGGCAGCGCAGCAAGCACAACAACACACTGCGGGTGGCGGCTAAGCAGGGCAGCGAAGAAGGAGGAAGGAGGGAAGAAACAGATGCGGGTAGAGGAGATATACGGCCAGCCAGCAAACTTTGCTCGAGGAGAAAAGTAGAGACAGTGAAAGAGCAACTGCCTAATATCTCACCGTCGCGCTAAGTCATTGTTGAGCCATGCCAGTCCCACCCAAACTGCAGGTAGTAAGGAACTAAGCCTGGACAAACCAGGAAGAGATGCAGCAGCACTGTCAGGAGAACTGCCAGCATCCAATGCCTGATCAAACGTCTTGCCCGTCCGATCAAGGTAGCTGTTTACGATTGAGACTTGAGCGTTGCATGATGAAAGTAGGGCGTCCATCAACACCGCAAACACTGACGTTGTTTCCTTATGTACTGGTATAGATGTCTCTACAGCATTGACAGACAGACACAGACAGACAGACAGACAGACAGACAGACAGACAGACAGACAGACAGACAGACAGACAGAGAGAGGGAGAGAGAGAGAGAGAGAGAGAGAGAGAGAGAGAGAGAGAGAGAGAGAGAGAGAGAGAGAGAGAGAGAGAGAGAGAGAGAGAGAGAGGGAGAGAGAGAGAGAGAGAGAGAGAGAGAGAGAGAGAGAGAGAGAGAGAGAGAGAGAGAGAGAGAGAGAGAGAGAGAGAGAGAGAGAGAGAGAGAGAGAGAGAGGGAGAGAGAGAGACAGAGAGAGAGAGAGAGAGAGAGACAGAGAGAGACAGACAGAGAGAGAGAGAGAGAGAGAGAGAGAGAGAGAGAGAGAGAGAGAGAGAGAGAGAGAGAGAGAGAGAGAGAGAGAGAGAGAGAGAGAGAGAGAGAGAGAGAGAGAGAGAGAGAGAGAGAGAGAGAGAGAGAGAGAGAGAGAGAGACAGAGAGAGACAGAGAGAGACAGAGAGAGACAGAGAGAGACAGAAGACAAACGGACAGAAGTCCATATCAACGTTACTGGACTGTAGGAGAGAACTGTGACAGAACTGGGCCAGCTAACAGGCATTGACTTGCACAGGTGAACAGACCAGCATACAGCAAGCATGGGCCAAGTACTAGTAACCTACTAATAATGGCCAAACATGTCAGGCTTTATTCTTACCGGGGCTAGAAGCAGCAGCAGTGACAAGGATGCGGTGCAGGGCAAACACATTGATGATCATCATCTTGGTGAATGTCAGTGTGCTGTCATCCAGGCTCTGCACTAGCTCATCCAGGTCACGTCGGAATGCCGTGCACACACGCTTGAAGTGCTCCATTCTGTTAGTGGATGCCCACGGCATGTGCACACACACGTGCACACATACGTGCACACAAAACACACACACACACATGTGCACACCAACCACACACACACACACCCACACCATGTATCATGTACCATGTATACGCCCGTCGCAAGAGAAGCACGCAAATCTGCAAATGCACTGGATGTGCACCCACAGATTTTCTCTTATAGCAACGATAGCGAACAAGATCTGAATGAGACAGATCAAGACTTGTGCCAGATAACTGTCTAATCCACACAATTGGCGAAGCCATGTGAATCGACCACCAATGCACACCTGGTCTACACCACACGGAGTACATCGGCATAAAACGGCCAAGACAGTTACCTATGCACACCCTACACTTGCTGGGGTAACCAGTATAGACAGCACGCTGCTTTGATAGAAGCAGACAATAGATGCACTGGTACCTTGAAGTGAAATTGGAGTTACTTTACCAACCAGCCTCGGCTACAGAGTACTGGGAACCCAGAGCCAACAGTCATACCAACAACCTCAGCCATGAAAGCTATTATAGTAACGACACACTGGATTGTGGAGCCGAAACTAGTTGCGCATCGGAGCTTCAAGCTTCGATATAACAGTGTATTGCCTATGACGTCATAAATATCCAACCGGAACTTCACAGCATGAAAAAATAAAATCACGCAACCACATCACTACAGTTGCCTTTTTTATTTCCGCTCGACACGAAGTGATTTAGAAAATCTGAGCTCTTCTTCTCGCGATTAGAGATGGATGAAAACTCAATCCGGCAAGCTGTTTCATCAGCCGTTGTGGATCTCCTTGCTCCGAACAATGATCATCTACGTGCTTTGGAAGCGACAGCAGAATGTAGAAGGGATCTGGCCAGGGGCCAGTCCTCGCAGTCCAATGGATCGGAGCCAAAACTTTCCAGGTTGAGTGCAGGCACTCAACCCCGGGAAATCGCCAGTTCCTTGGGCATGCCCAAGTCTGGTTTGTCAGGTGGAAGTTTGTTGCTTCCACCTAGCTCCTCGAGTGGGCATGCCTGCTCGAGTGATGCTGATTTGAACGACACCACGAGTGGGCAGGTACCCTCGTGTGTGGACGTGAGCACGGAAGACCGACCCGGAGCATGCTCCGGTGTCCTCAGATATAAAACAGTTCCTTCAGACTCGCTTCAGGAAGCCCTTGACGGGCAAGGAGCGCAGGGACCTAGTAAAGCAGTTTTCCCGACCAGAGGTGGACGTGGCGGTCACACCTAAGCTAGACCATGAGGTGCTGGATTTACCTGGTGTAAGGCAGTCATTCAAGAGGTCACGAGACAACATGTTGTACTCGCTACAGAGCAGCGTATTGGATTGTTTGGGTCCTCTCTCTGCCCTGATGATGGAGGCCAAGGCAGCGCAGGACGCTGGCGCAGGCCTGGACCCGCAAGCTGTATTGGACATAGTGCCGGCTGGCTTGTCTCTGCTGGGCAATGCCAACAGTAAGCTCTCGGTGCTGAGGCGCCAGGAGTTCCTAGAGCATCTTGATAAGAGCCTGGTACCCATGGCGGAGGAGCCATTTGATAAAGCGGGCACGGCCCTGTTCGGCCCGGAACTATTGGAGCGCATCCAGTCCAAGGCAGAGTCCCAGGAGGCCCTGGGCTTGGTTGTGAAATAATACAAGGACGCTCGAGCTCCTCCGCAGTCGAGCGACAGCAAGTCTGGCTCTGGAGGGGCGTCAGCGGGTGAACGCCAGTTTTTCCGAGGTACTGGGGTCAGCAGGTCCGGCGGTGGCTCCCGGTACGAGCCTTACACCAGCCCATACAACCAGACTCAATATAGCCGAGCCGGTCGTGGCTATGCTAACCGAAGCCGGATGCTTCTCCCACCAGAGCAACAGGACGGTCAAGGACCGGGCACCAGCTACGCAGCATAGCGGCGGTGTGGATGTTAGTGCCAGAAGAGGTCTGGACTGGCGGATGCTGTTCATTGTATTGGCTCAAGACTGGGCTTTGCCTCTCTAGCAGGTGTGTTTCGCGCCTTTTCCAGTACCGGAGCTCTGCTCGGTACAGCATGTGTGTTGGCGTAGGTTTCACGCTCCGCATCGTGGCGTACGGCGGACAGCACGTAGCCGTCCCTCTTAGGGTCATTCCGGGGGGCCTGGCATCAGCGGCAGCAGCCACTTACGGTGCAGCCGTTCTCAGCTCCGGGGTTTAGGCTATAGCCTGACCTACTGCTATCAGGACACTAAGGTGCCTGTCCCGTGACTCGAATGTTACCCATGCATGGGAATGAATGTGTTTATGTGTCGTGTGTTTATGTGTCGTGTGGGCTTTGAAGTATACACTGTTATATCGAAGCTTGAAGCTCCGATGCGCAATTTCCCAGTTCGCTAGCAATGGTACATTGTGACGGGAAGTGGGAGTTGTGCTAGGAGCTGAGAGCGAGATATAACAGTGTCCCACCTGCCCTCCCATTATGGGTTGGTGGATATTTTGGGAATGATTCATTTTTTCCTGTCATATATCCGTAGTCTCGCTTCACTAAAAAAGGCAACTGTAGTGATGTGGTTGCGTGATTTTATTTTTTCATGCTGTGAAGTTCCGGTTGGATATTTATGACGTCATAGGCAATACACTGTTATATCTCGCTCTCAGCTCCTAGCACAACTCCCACTTCCCGTCACAATGTACCATTGCTAGCGAAATGGGAAATCCAAACTTCAAATGCTTTGGCAAGAAGGTAGCCTTCCAACACACACACACACACACACACACACACACACACACACACACACACACGCACACACACGTACACACACACGTACACACACACACACACACACACACACACACACAAATGGATAAATAAGCGCTGGCAGTAGCTGATGTGCCTACAAACACAGCCAGTATTATTCAAAACCTGCAGTTTCCAACTTTCTAACCATGAAACACAGCACAGAATGGAATCAACTTCATCTGTCAGAACGTGCTCAGCTCCAATTCTTGACAGGAAAGATCATGATGAGTTAGGCAGCTTACCCAATCTTGGTGTGCATCATCCCATGCAAGCGAAGGAAGCGAAGAATGACATACTTCTTCAGCTGTGATGAAAACAAAACACGATAGACATCAGCACAGAAGATACAAACTCAAGCTGATATTTTCCGTATTTCTTCAAGTAACCCCGACCCTGTGGGTTAGTCTGTCACCTCAGGGTTGGATAACGATGCCCCACAGAGAACAATGCAGACAGGAAACATTGAACAACTGAACGCAAGCACAACACCAAGATTGTCTAACCTTTCTCACACTATCCGATGATGTGGATTTCTTGAGAGATACATGTTGCTGGTGTAGTGTGGATGCTGCTATGACTGTGGCAGAGTCTATAGATGACAAATCACTACTACAGGCATCTAGAGATGCCGCCGAGGAGACGGAGTGATTGCTGTCGCTTGTAGCGATGCCAGACACCGAGGACGCCGAGGATAGCGGGTGCACCCACACTTCCTTCACGCCAACATCCTCCTCTTCAGCGTTCTTAGGTGACCGCCTGCTTCCGCCGCCCCTTGCCTGCGTTCTGTTCGAATCGCGCTTGTTGTGCCGAGCTTGACGACTGGCCTCCTTCTTCACAGTGGCCTGTGCCTCTTTCTCTTGACGACGATCCAAGACAACAGTCTGTGACAAAACACCATCATAGAATACCCACATTGACAAGACGTCAGGTCAGTTCACTAACGTTATGGCTAGTTTCTACCAGTATACTAGTAGCAGGTGACTAAGCACAGCTCTACAGGACTTTGCAAAGTGATAAAAGCACATTCTACACTGCTCAACACTGTAGAAAAGAAAACAAGTTGCATCCTGGCACAACAAAACGCATGCACACACGTGTGCACACACACACGCAAACACACACACACACACAACACACATGCACACACACACACACACACACACACACACACACACACACACACACACACACACACACACACACACACACACACACACACACACACACACACACACACACACACACACACACACACACACACACACACACACACTACTACTACTACTACTACTATGTACAGCTACCCTATCGGGCCACGCCGCTCCCAGAAGCGGGAGACAACGACAAGAAGAGAGAAGAGAAGAGAGAGAAATCGCAAAGTCAACAATATTTGGCATGGCGTTGCAAGTCCTGTGGCCTTGAGAACCGTCTTTCGCAATGCTCGCATTCATGACGGTAGTTGTTCCTGGCTGCACGTGACATCCATGCGGTGGTTGAGGAGCGCTGGAGGACTGGCTGTGCATCGCTGTCCTGTGTCCACGGATGTCCCCACTGTATCTATTCGCCATGAATCTGACTCTTTTCGATGTGATGTTTGTCGCCGCTCTTTCCGCTCTCGTTCTGGTTTGAGCCGTCATCACTGTGACCGTGCGAAACGGATGTCACACACACACACACACACACACACACACACACGCACGCACGCACGCACACACACACACGCCCACGTACACACACAACACAACACAGTCATGCACACCTTTCTGGAGATATCATCAAATAGACTAAGGAGAGCCTCCTTGGCTGTGAGAATGGGAGTCCGGACCGACAGCGCACGGATGTAGTAGAAGATGGCATCCAGCTTGCGGCGCTGAGAGCACAAGGGCATACCACACCACCAAACACAAGGCAATACAGTGCATAATGATACATAGGGTGTGATCAAGTGTACATAACCCCCCACCCCCCAGAGTACATAACCCCCCAGAGTGTGCAACACCTGGTCCAGCTCTGCATAGGGTCTTGGTCGAGCGAAATCGGATCTTCTGATGCCATGCGTACGCTACACACCAGCGTAAGGCCGGTCTCGAGGCAGGGCCCTGTTTTTTTTATCCTAGAGTACCCGCGACTCCCCGGGTTCCCCTCAGGTGTGTACGGTATTATGACGCAAAGAACCGATTACGCTCGACCAAGACCCTATGCAGAGCTGGACCAGGCATTGCACACTCTGGGGGGGGGGGGGGGGTTATGTACTCTTGGTGTGACCAATCAACATTATGGTATATGCTAGCAACATGGTGTGCCCAAGAACGGGTGACAGAAAAGTGGACAAAGCGATTATTGGCATTAGAGCATCAGTTATGGAACACACACACACACACGCACACACACACACACACACACACAAGTGCCTGCCCATCCCGCAAGCAAGTATGCCCCACACAGGAAAAGAAGCTTGTCCAAACCAAACACTCACAGTGTGCAAAGCCAGAATAGCTAGCTGATTGTGTGGTTTACCGTTGCGCGGTGTCAGGTCAGTGGCCTTCATATAGCACTGTCGTGCCAGAGACCAGTCTTTCGTAGCCTCAACTTCCTGACTGTAGCGAGCAAGGTCTCCCATCCAAATGAAACAATTGTGGCAGAGAACAACAGCTAGTTTAGCCTGCAAGCCCAACACACACACACGCACACGCACGCGCGCACGCGCACACACACACAGACACACAGACACACACACACGCGCGCACTCACGCACACACACACACACACACACACACACACACACACACCACACACACACACCACACACACACACGCATACAAACAAACAAGTCCTTTAGCGGTAACAACTACCAAGAATAAACATGCAGCCATTGTTTGCTGTATTCAAAGTCGAGCAAAGAAGGTTTAGTACTGGATGTCTAGCATTCTCCTATCAGGAGCGACAGGAGTGGCGTAAGGATCATCAGGCACAAAGGTGCCCAACACACCTGTTTGGGTAACACTTAGACAGGATGTGGGTGAAAGTCACTCAGCATGTCTGCCTAGTAGGATCTGCGACACACTACAACTTGTAGCATAGTGATCACCATGGGCTCGGCACACAAGTTCAGCCCAGAGCCAAGCAGTGTTGCTGTGCTGCCTACAAAGCAAGCCGTAGCATCAACACCAAAAAAAACATCTCGCCTAAAAATAAACGGGCGAGTTGGTACCCCCAAATGCCATGCCAACACATACCAATTAAGTAGAGAGACAGGACTAAGCAGCTGAGCCAGTGCACAGTGACATGTAACACTAAAGCTGCACTGTAATGTGTAACACTAAAGCGTACCTACAGCGCCACCACTAGTAGCAGTAAGTAAGTAGTAAGCACATTTTGATTTCATCGCCGAGTTTCATCTCTTGTATCTTTGGAGTTCTTCCTTCTTTCCATGGCGTATTGATTGAATAAACCCATTTTTACTAGTAGTAAGCCTAGCGCTTGCCTGTCCCACAATGCTTTACATCCCCCCCCCCCCCCAGATAGACACACATAATCCTTGCACAAACCCTCTTTGAGCTGACACTGTGCTACCACTGTTCCTCGCCTTTCTGAATCGTTGACATGTTGCACGTTCACCTTATGTAGCTCCCACCCCCTCCCCTGTCTTCAGACCTCTGGGGGTATATTGGTCAGGTGGATACCAGTACAAGTAGTACTTTTGTTATGCTGTATGGTGAGCGTTTTCACATGAAACTCTGAGCAACAGCCGAGAAGAATGGTACTCTTTCCCATCAAAATGTATGTGATTTGGAGATATGGACATTTCAAAGTTACGGGCAGTGCACTGTCCTGGACCGCCCGCATGACCGAGGCATGAGCGGCATGAGAGGCATGAGAGGCATGAGTGTACCATGATTGCCATTATTGATGAACCCCCCTTGGACAGTGTCCGTGTTCATGAGTATACGTACCGGCTTGCTTTGGAGAGTTTGTAACGCCAGGGGGCAAGCTAGGTAAGACATGTCTAAAGAACTTTCACTCGACTGGTATACATGATTGCACTATTCACAACTACTCAAAGTAACACTTGCCATACCTTGGAAGATAGGACCAAGTGTGCACGTTCTCGTTCGATGAGTGCTGACAAGTCCAGTGAGGCCTGCTCTTGCAACTTCTCCACAAGCTCCAGAAGCAGCTCATTGGACTTTTCGACGAACGCCAGCAGATGTTGCTGCCAAAACGCTACAGAATCCACAGATATTGCTGGACAGGGAAAACAACCATGCACAGGCAGATAACCTTACATCTGGAAGTGAGTTGTTGTTGTTGTTGCTGTTGTTGCTGTTGTTGTTGTTGCTGTTGCTGTTGCTGTTGTTGCTGTTGTTGTTGTTGTTGTTGTTGTTGTTGTTGTTGTTGCTGCTGCTGTTGTTGTTATTGTTGTTGCCGCTGCTGCTGTTGTTGCTGCCGTCGTTGTTGTGCACTAGTTGGATGCAAGCAGCATAGTTATGTAGCAGGCACAGTGGCAGGTGTCAAGCAAGTCATTGGCAGCAGAAATCAAATGCATGTACAGTCAACTTCGCTAATAACGACTGCGGATATAACGACAATTCGCGAATAACGACAGCATTTCCATGCCCAGAGCAAAGTCCTTTCCAACTGTAATACATATAATGAGACTTCGGGTATAACGACACTTCGCGAACAAGGACACTTTTTTGACGCCCCGCCGAGTGTCGTTATAAGCGAAGTTGACTGTACATGTAACTCAATACCACAGCAAGCACCCTAGCCACTGTCTCTAACTCAATACATGTACCACTAAATACTCGTATCACCAGTGACCATACTTGCAGCAGGTACACCACAGTGACGATCTTTCACACTGCACACAGGTAGGAGATGAGCAGGAGTTGAGTGCTCATTCGGTATCTGGGTTCGAGGATCCATCAGAACTCCGTGCTGAGCCTCTGTTGTCATGGCGCGTGGATGCCTCTTCATTCGCTGGCTGCTCCAGATGGGATTCGTTGCATACTTGCTTCCCCCACATAGCCGTAGTGCGATGGGTCTCTACTACGACTCTCTAGTGTGCACCACCATCACACAACTGCACACGGTACACCTTCACTTCTATATGCACTCACACTACCACTGGGCACTATACACATTGTACTTGAAACAAGAAACAAATAAAAAGATATTCATAAGGGGCGGGCCGTCCATAATTATCGATCTTTTACACGAAGAGAAAAAATTCCGTTTATGGGTGGGTGGGTCAATGGAAGTTTCGTTTTAAAAAATATTGATATGTGAGACATCAAGGCATTCTTGCTGTCAAGTCAATCTATTTTTCGTTCAGGGGGGGGGGGGGGGCGGGGGAGGGTCCTAGCTAAACTTTTTTATTCTGTGAGAAATATCGATAATGCCAGATAGCCCCTTTAAAGTTGAGGGAATGGAAAGGGGAAACAGTCAGAAATAAGGAGATGAATGACACACCCCCATACCGGCAGTCTCCTGGACCTTGCGGCGTAGCGCCTCCACCACAGCATAGCATCCGTATCGCCAGAACTTCTGATCCACTTTAGCTTTGAGCGACTGGCCGCTGTGCTGTAAGAGCGTGGCAATGCACACCGCTTGTAGCTGCTCACTGTCAAAGACAACACGCACGCATGCACGTACACACACACACACACACACACACGCACGCACGTACACACACGTACACACACACATACACACACGTACACACACATATACACACACACACACGCACCTCAGACCTCAGACCTGCCCATCGCGGAAGCGATGATAGCGAACAGCTATGCTAGACAAAGCAATTTTTTGCTGGGATTACACCATTCAACAGCTTGCAAGGCTGATGAATTGACCGCCACTATTTTTAGCCTGGTATCCACCACACAGCTGATTGAAGTGACTTTTTCTGGCCAGTGAATCCCTATTTTTCATTTTTCCATTTTTTTCTTTTTTTTACGCACACGCACACACCATTGGACCATTGGATGCCCATCGCCGGAGGCGATGATAGCGATGCTACAGCAGAAGCCATAGCAGCTTGTGCTGGGATTGCACCATTCAACAGCTTGCAAGGCTGAAGAATTGACCGCCACTATTCAGCCTGGTCTACACCACACAGCTATGAAGTGGCTTTTTCTGGCCAGTGAATCCCTACTTTTTGGTCTTTTTTATTTTTATTTTTCCTCGCACACACATCACACCACATACTCTGGCATGCACTGGCTGTTGGTAACCACCCAGGAGAATGAAAGAAAAGTCAGGAAGAGTCTGAGAAAGAGAAGAAAGACGTGTGTGACCATAATCGTCGGGAATCGAACCCGCAACCTATCGATTGGAAATCGCTGCACATACCACTGCACCATGTGGGACACACACACACACACACACACACACACACACACACGCACACACACACACACATGCACAACTGATCAGAGGGTGCAGGACTTGCGTACGCAAGTACACAGGTTACCAGCATCATGTGCAGATTATTCGTGGCCTGTAAATCTCCATTGGGATTCCTGAAAACATGGTCTCTAATTCCCTTTCACGAGTTTTATCCCATGTCTGAAGCCCGGTAGCTGCAGGAAATCCTTGTACTGTGTGTTCCCAAAAGTAAGTTAGTTGAAGCCCATTTTGGTGACCATATTATAATGTTATGCTTCTCTTACAAACAGGCCAGCTGCTGGTTTAGTGAACTACTTACCTTGCTGCCACAATGGATGAAATCGTTCTCGGTGTCACATCACGCTCTATCAGACCGGTCACTTTCTGCTCAAGATGACCGATACGCTTGCACATGAGTGCTAACGAGTCGTCTGCTCGCCTTCGTTGCGGTTGCTGTTGTTGCTGCTGGTGGTGGTGTTGCTGTTGTCGTTGCTGCTGGCGGTGCTGTTGGTGTTGCTGGTGTTGCTGTGGTTCTATTGGCTGCCGCACAGGCGGCCTTTCCTGTCGACTCATCGGCTTAGATTGACGTACACTGGCTTGGGCTGCAGCTGCGGTTTGTCTCTCCTCGCATGCGGCAGCTGCATCAGCATCGATGGACGTACCTGCAGGAACGCGTAGAATTCCAGCACGACTCGAGTCCAGACCAGCCTTTGCGGGCCGTACCGCACGTCCATGTTGGTTAGCTGCAACAAGTTTGTCACTGTCAGCATGCTTGCGGTTTGAGACACGATCGTCAAGAGCACCAGTGTTGTGCACTTCTCGGCCAGTGTGACGGTCTACCTGTATTTGCTGTACTTTCTCCGCAGCATGGCGACGCCCTTCAGACTGCTGACTTGGCAGCACTTCTTCTCTGGTCTCCACCGATGAACGCGGACTATCGTCAGCTTTATCAGGCAGCCTGGACAGCACACCATGGCTGGCTGTGTCTGTAGCGAGTCTGCTCCGCCGAGACAGCTTCTTCTCCTCACGCCGCTTGCTTTCCTCCTTATCCAACCATTCTGCCGTGCTGCTGAGGACTTTCCAGCTGACAGATATTCGAGAAGAACTCATAGTTGCAGGCATTCAGTGTCTGTGTACGCGTGGAAGGTAATTGAAATTCCATACAATTCGGCATCATGACAAAACAGCGGACAATGCGCTATATCTCGACCCAAGGTTTCTCCTAAACGTAGTCGTTGCCTGCCTTTGGACATGATGTGCATATGTGAACATAGTCATAGGCAAATGTCATGGACAGACTAAACATAAACTGAGTGAGTCAATTACACATAGTGACAACGCATTATCACTACGTGTAATTTGAAAAAATTAATTGTTTTGAAATTTTCGAACAAAGCGACAAGCCTGAAGCAAAAAGGTGAAAAAGACTGCATCATCATCGCGTCCCATTTGGGCGCATAGCTTCGAGCTGCTGGATTCTGTTCTGATCTGGCTTTCCCTGAAGCGCGCGGCACCACGTGGAGCGTATCTGAAAGAAGACTGGTTCACAGTTGTAGTCACGCTTCGTAGACCCTACGCCTGCTACGGGATTTCCGTGCTTGCAGCTTGGTACCTGCATACCTGCATACCCATGTACCCAGATTCGCGCTCAACAAGTCAAGCCAGTCAAGGCCTGGTCTCGTACTACAGCTGCCACGAGATCTTGTGTACGAGAGAAGGCCTAGCCAAAACGGGAAGGGTTCGTACGGGATACATTGAACTTCGCCATGCGGCAAATCCGTGGACCGTGTATTTGCAGCTCCGGCTCCCGATGCGGCGACCCATGCCTTGGAGCTCAATCAAGAAATGGAAAAGAATAATGTTTCTCAAGAAGCAGTTTGAAGACACTTATTTTGAGCATTGCCTTTGAATTCCCAAGGAATCACGGTTGCACTGCAAGGACTTCCTCATGGTGTGGAGCTTGAATTCCATGAAGTACTAGTTAGAACAGTGTTACGGTAGCATGTGTTCGTGGTGTGTGTTTGCGTCATTCGGATTTCGGACTTGAATGAGAGAGCCAAAACAAGTATTGGTCCGAAGGTGAACTTCGGAGTGTCAGGTTCGTCAGCAACCTTTCGCCTGCAATGTGCGGAAATCAGCCGCAGCCGTAGTGATTGCCGATCTCGAGGTAGTCAGAGTTACTTGCGATTGTACGTGTTACCAGTATGACGTGGAGACCGAGTCAGGCGAGGAGTGGAGTGGCTATTTACAACTTCGATGCTCGACACCCTCACGAGTTGTCACTGGACGTCGGTGACGTTGTGAACATCACAGAAGAATGCATGGGTCATGGCTGGTACAAAGGACACGTTTCAAGAAAGAAGTCCGAGACGGGATTGTTTCCGAGTACGTTTGTGCACCTGAAAAGCCCCACTAGCAACGACAGTGCTAGTGGTGCACGAACTGGACTTCCTCAGGATGATCCTATTGTCACTGAGGTGGCTGATGTGCTGAGGGTGTGGGGTGATGCCATGAAGCAGTCCTATGTGGAGCTCAAAGATGATGTGGTGCAAAAGCTGAACAGCAGCATGACACTGTTGGTGAAATGGCGGCGTGACATTCTCCTGGGGTCGATGCGCTCCGACCATCTGCTGCGCTTAAAAGCCAAGATCGCGGCAGTCATCAACAAGTGCAATCTGTCCCTGGGTCTGGATCTAGTAGCACGTGATGACAACTACGATGCGATCGAAGCGGACAACGTCAGTGTGCTGGACCTGTACAACATACATGCACAGTACTTACGCAACGACCTGCCGAAGACGCCGCGGAAATTCGTCCACCTCTACTCCAGTTTAGTGTCGGCGACGTGCTCGGTCTCCGGTGAAGACACCGAGCTCCTCTTCTCCTTGTACGATGCGCACAAGCAAGAGTTCATTAGCGAGCGCGTTGCTGTGCGATTCGGCGCAGACGGGACGGTGGAGAAAAACCGAAGCGACGCCGGCGCGCCGTTCTCCTGGTTATTTACCGACCTGGATGCGACAATGCTAGGCCAGTGTCAAGACCTGTACGTCGTTTGCCACGTGGTACGCCTGGGTCGAATAGACCTTGGTGTCAAGAAGCCTACTGCGTCCATCTTCCGGCGACCAGTCGGTGTTGTGGTGTTGGCTCTGGCAAAGCTGCGAGCCGTTGTGGATGCAGCGCACACGATGGTACAGATAAGTAGCTACATGTGCCCGGTGTCGGACGAGAAAGACTTCAGCATGCTGCACGACCAGATAATTCGACGAGTAGCCAAGCCGAACGAGCGTTCCGGCACCATTTGCCTGAACATGCAGCTTGTGCTGGGAGACCTGCACACAGCACTGGACAGTCATCCCGATCTGCTCAGCAAGGGTATGGTCATGGTGCGCAAAATCGGCTTTGCTCTACACACGGTGCCCGGTGAGGTGCGTAACGACATCTTCATCACGCTAGAGCGTGGTGAGTTCGAGAAGGGCGGCAAGTCGACTGCCAAGAACATCGAGGTAGCAGTGGACCTGATGGATCCAGCCGGCGAGCCGCTGGAGATGATCATGCAGTCTGCCTCCTCGCAATCCACGTCTGACATACAGTCTGTAATTCTCTATCACAACAATTCGCCGCGGTGGGGCGAAACGTTCCGCGTCAACATCCCGTTAAATCTCATCTCTGACGCCATTCTCTTGTTCACGATCCGACACTGCTCATCCACCAGTGATAGCCGCGCCGACAAGCAGTCAGTTTTCTCCTACTTGAAGCTAGTCGCCAAGGATGGCACCACCATACAGAATGGCCTGCATGAGCTGTGTCTGTACCGTTGCTCGCCCAAGAATGCGCAACCGAGTACGTTTACAACAGGCCCATCGACCGTCGAAGAGCTGGCTTCGGGCGGCACCGTACCCAGCACGCTTGCGCTGTCCAGAAAGGAGGGCTTTGCCGTCTCGATCAACGTTTGCTCCACCAAGCTGACGCAGGATCCGCAGCTGCTGGCGCTGCTGCAGTGGCGCTTGCACCAGGACCGGCTGGTCAGCGTCCTGGAGAACTTGATGAACATGGACGGGCGCGGCGTGTGCCTGTTCATGCAGGATGCGTTTGACGCTCTCTTCTACATTCTGGACATCGACAACAAGCTGTGCAACCAGCTGGTGTTCAATGCGCTAGTGCACTTTCTAAACTACATGCTACAGCCAGAGTATGAGCAGTTTGTCGAGACCCTGGACAAGTACATCTCGGTGCACTTCTCCGGCGCCATGGCCTACAAGAAGCTGCTGACGGGAATCCGCGGCTACATCGACAACGCACATCGGCCGGAGCTGCAGGCGGCGCTGAGGCAGACCGTCTGCTGCTTCCACTACATCTTCAAGATCATCATACAGTCGCGGCGGCTGCATGCGCGTGCCTCGCGCACCACGTGTATAACGCCGACGTTCAAGGAGAGCGTCGAGAAGGTCGTTCAGTCCCTGATCACGCTGGTGGAAACGCCCAGCACCGATGCCTACCTGCAAGCCATACAGATAGCGGCGCTCAAGAGCTTGGGCGACTCGGTCGATCTGTTCCAAGACGTGTTCGACGGAACGGAGCTGGCCACTATCCTGTCGCAAGCCGTTGATGCTGTGCCATCCAGCGAACCAGGTCACATACTGGTGGATGCCAAGCTCGCCTTCATGCTGGTGCTGGTCAAGAATTCGATCTTCTTGGACGTTGCATCCCGACACGTACTGCTGCCCACGTTCCTTGCAAATATCCGCGCATATCTAACGAGTGGCCTTCGCTCTTCAGCGCTGATCAATGTGATAGGCGAGGTTGTCAAGCGTCTCGAGGGCAAGTATTGTTGTGAGGCCACGGTGGAAGACAGACGCCTGCTGTCCACGCTGCTGCCCACTCTGGTGACGTTCCTGATGGGTACGGTCGTTGCATCGCCTTCCACTACACCGCCTGCGGAGACCTTGCTGATGGTCATATGCAGTCTGCTGGGTATCCTGCGGCTGATGGACACAGATAACTATGTGGAGATGACGCCGACACTGCCAGATGCGCATGCATTCATCAACGATCTGTTTGCCATCTTCCACTATCTGCTGACCTACGACATTTTCGACAAGTCCTGGTCCCTGCTTCGCCTGATCATGCACAACATCATTCTCGTCTCGATCTCGTCGCTATCTGAGACGTTACGGCCGGATGACGACGCTAAGCAGGTCGAGCAAGACATCATGAAGACCTACTTCCTGCTGGCCACGCAGTTCATCACGCAGCAGACTCTGCAGCTAGAGCTGCTGCACTCGATCCGCGCCGGTCAGGTGCAGGCGAGGTTCGGCGACATGCGCTACGTGATGGCCACAGAGCTGGTGGTCATGTGGTCGGGGCTGGGCGAGGAGCGGAAGGCCTGCGTTCCCGTGCTGACGCGCCCGCTCCTGCAAGCGGCGCTGGTGAAGCAAGAGGAGGTACGGCGTGCCCTGCTACCCATCTTCGTTGATTTGCTCGAGGTTGAGTACTGCAAGAGTAGAACCATCAGGATGGTGTCCAAGGAGCTGTTTGACGCGCTGGACCCGTTCATCTCTGCTGGATGCGGTGATTATGAGTTTGTGTCCACGGCAGAAGAGATCTGGCTTGGTCTGGTGACGAAGAGCACAACACTGGATGAGGCTGCGTGTAGCATGATCCGTAACCTTGTCAAGAGAGTGGTGCTATTGGCGACCAGGCTGATTGACTACCGCAGCCTGGGCGGCGAAGACAGAACGTCGGCCGAACGGCGTCGCCGCATGCTGGTCCTGTACAACATGGTCACGTTCTACAAGAAGTATGGCCCGCATCGGCAGTACGACGGGTGCCTCTACAAGCTTGCACGCCTGCACATCGTCGAGTCCAACTGGACCGAGGCGGCATACGCTCTGCTGCAGGTGTCCGACAATCTCAGCTTCAAGGACAACACGATGCTGGATAGCGTGCTCAAGTACCCGCGCCAGACGGCCTGCAATCGCAAGGAGGCGCTCGTTCAGGACATGGTCGACTACTTTGGCAAGGGCAAGTCCTTTGAATGCGGCATAGTGCAGTGTGACCTGCTGATCGACCTCTATCGGCACAGCATGTACGACTACACTAAACTACGCTCCATTCTATCGACGCAGGCCGCCTTCTTCGGCAACATCGTCGACGAGCACAGGCCGGCGCGCGAGTATTTCCGCGTGGGCTACTACGGCCAGGGGCTGCCTCGGTTCTTGCGCAACCGCACCTTCATCTACCTGGGCTTGGAGTACGAGAAGCTGACGTCGTTCCAGGAGCGTCTACTGCTGGATTACGGCGACGTGGAGTTGCTGAAGACAAACGAGGCGCCCGGTGAGGACATTACGTCGTCTTCAAAAGGCTACCTGCAAGTCTGCACCGTCAGACCATGCCCAACTGTACCGGACCACTTTGAACGCGTCGACATCAACGAACGTATCCGCGACTACTACGAGGTCAACTGCATCACCAAGTTTGAGTATTCCCGGCCGTTCCACAAGGGCCCCAAGGACAAAGACAATGAGTTTAAGAGCTTGTGGCTGGAGCGCACCACATTGACGACTGCTTGGCCACTACCAGGAATCCTCGCTTGGGCAGAGATTGCCACAACAAGGGTAAGTGTTATGACTGTCTTTGATCGCTGTCTGTCTCTCTCTGACTCTGACTCTCTCTCTCTCTGTCTCTCACTCTCTCTCTCTCTGTCTCTCTCTCACTCACTCTCACTCTCTCTCTCTCTCTCTCTCTCTCTCTCTCTCACACACACTCTCTCTAACTGTCTCTGTCTCTGTCTCTCTCTCTCTCTCTCTCTCTCTCTCTCTCTCTCACACACACACTCTCTCTAACTGTCTCTGTCTCTCTCTCTCTCTCTCTCTCTCTCTACCTATCTATCTGCGGAGATTGCGTATTGCGCTCCCTCGCCTCAGCTTGGTCGAAAACTCTTTCTGGTTTAATTGCATTAAAGTTATCCGCCTTGCGTGCAGCTCACTTCAAAATGCTTTATTGTTCACATGACCTGAAGACCTGATTGCGATCTGTTCGCCCAGTGACCCTGAGCTCCACTGCTGAGACCTAACAAGGGCAACACACCCGGCTGTCCGCAGATGGAGTATCTACAGTTGCGCTCACTGAAATCCAGCCCAGAGTGCAGAACTGGCGGACTGGACCAGTTCCGATCGCATCGCTGTCCTCGTGCATATGTGCGTCCAGCAGCCGTCCTTGTTCTGTAGTTGTGTACATCAGCAACTGTAAGCCTTGTGTGTATTTCAGGTCTGTGACGATGTTGTCCGTTTCGTTTCTACCCTCCGGTGTTGTCTGTGTACAGGTGACGGAAATCTCACCTATCGAAAACGCCGTGGAGACGATGGTGGCCAAGAACAAGCAGCTGCAGACGATGATCGCGTCGTACCGCAGCAAGCAGGCCAGCAACATCAACCCGCTCAGCATGGCGCTGAACGGTGTCATCGACGCAGCCGTGATGGGCGGCACGGAGAACTACGAGAAGGCATTCTTCATCGACAGCTACATGGAGGAGAACCCGCAGCATGTCACGCAAATCCAGCTGTTGAAACGTCTGATGCTGGAGCAGGTACTGTAAAACCCGGAATTTTCGGTGGTGTAATATTAATTTTTTTGGTATTTCCCAAAAAAACAACGGTTTGGTACAGCGAAAATTTCGGTAAACCAGTTTTCCAGATCCAATTACCAGTACCGAAGTCACCGAAATGTTTCGGTTTTACAGTATGCTGCTACGCTGACAAATACTTCACCTTGCAGTGGGAAACTCACTAGTTTTTGAATATTTTCGTAAGATATGACCCTCGTGGAATAACTGTATTGGAGACGTGCATTCGAATTTTTTGCTAGATCTCACCTGGCTAAAATGCACGCACCTTTTCCTGTTTTGTCGAAGGTGGACATATGTGGACAGCAGTGTCTGGCTACTTTCTTGTTCCTTTGCTGCGATAGTCCGTTTTGTACTGGCTGTGCGGACATACTGTTTTCCAAAATGTGCGTGTGTCACTGTGTGTGTGCGCGCGTGTGTGCGTGCGCGCGCGTGTGTGTGTGTGTGTGTGCTGTTACTGTGCATTGCTGCAGGTGGGTATTCTGGAGAGAGGTCTGGAGGTACACAAGGCCCTGATACCAGATAATCTCAAGCCATTCCACACGAAAATGGAAGCGAGCTTTGCTCAAATGAAGGAGAAACAAATGAGGAATAAGTAAGCCGTGTGCTGCGTGTGTTGCGTTCCGCTTGCCTTTGTTGTGTTTGTTTGTTCTTGGTGGGAAACATGCATGCATGCATGCGTGCATTCACACACAGGCAGACATCTTTGTTCATGCTTGCTGTTCTGTGTTCACTGGCATGGTCAGAGGCATGAGATCACCGATCTCCAAAGACAGGTGGTGCTTTACTGCACTGATCACTGGTCACTAAATACTAGTAAATAGTACATGTTTTCCTGCCCGTGTACATGCACGTACTGTGCATGTCGTAGAATGGTATAACCAGATACAGGTTGTGCTGCATACATGTACCAGTACATGTATGCACTTTGTACAGTATGTAGTAGAATGGTATTACCAGATAGTGGCAGATACAGGTTTTGCTGTACATGTACATAGTGTCAAGAGTCCATAACCCAAGAGTATGCAACTGTGATTATGGGTGCATGCGTGGCGCGCTGCCTTCATTACGTAACTTGCCTTCATCACGCTCTGAAAGCATGCATTCAAACTCTCAATTTCTCGCACGTGCCCATCCGTTTTTGCTCGATTCGTTCCAGTACCTACACAATCTCTGAATTCTGGCGCGTGAACTCCAGTTCCGTACGAAAGTTCATTTCAAACTAGAGGGAAAGTGCGGTGTTTGATTTTCCGCAGTGTGCGGACTGCAGCTGAATGATGTAATGAAGGCAGCGCGCCGCGCGGTTGGCCCATAGAAAAGAGATCACAGTTGCATACTCTTGGGTTATGGACTCTTGATAGTGTGTATATAGTAGTAGAATGGTAATACAAGGTACTGCATGTATCACAAAGGCTTCATTGTCTTTGCATGCTGAATTGCATACCAGCAAGGAACAACAGCACACAGCACACTGAGATGTCACCTCAGGACAGTCATATTGATTATTACACCACCCATCCTCATTTAGCCGGGACCGTCCCGATATCGAGGATGGTAACAGGCACCCAAAAGTGCATTTGTCACATGCCTCACAGCTACATTTGTATGCATTTTCATACCTTGGGCACCCTGTAAGAAGACCTTAGGGTCTGTTGGGAATGCCCAAGTAAAAATTTAATAATAAAATACAATACAAAAAATACAATACCTATTACCTAGGTATGTCATTGTCCCGATCTCAGGTTTGCAGCGGTTGGCGGGTATGGAATTGTGGCAGTGCCATCCATGTGACATCGCCTCCAGCTACCTTACGCACGTGTTTGCCGAATGCTGAATGAAACCATAAGATACATGTTTGCCATGAATCATGCCAGCATGTGGGCATCATCCTAGATAAGATGAACATTGTATTTTATTGTCTTCTGTTTCAGACGGTCGTCGTCCCCGGATCCTGTGTTTAGTGAGTATAGCTTTTGCAATGCTGGACTCGAGGGCAATACCAGTACCGATGGTCTTCCTCAACCGCGCCCAAGACAAAGTCAGATGACTGATAGGTAAGGACGTTGCGCCTCCGTTGCGCCTCCGTTGCCGTCGCCTCCATGGTGTTGCTACTTACTTAGTACTAGTCTTGTTTGCCATCAATGTTCTAGTGATGAACCTCTTTTAGTTCACACTTGTATAATTATATACCTTGTGCGTAGCCAGTTGTGTGTGCGTGTGTGTGTGTGTCTCTCTCTCCTCTCTCTCTCTCTCTCTCTCTCTCTCTCTCTCTCTCTCTCTCTCTCTCTCTCTCTCTCTCTCTCTCTATCTATCTATCTATCTATCTATCTCTCACACACGCTCACACAATGTGAGAAGGTAGGTGAGTGTGCATAGCAGCATTGCTGTGAATGTGTGTGTACAGAGAGAAGGATCCCTTGCAGATGATCACCAAACTAAATGATCACTAGACCACTTGCATGTTTTATCTAGCCCAACATGCATGCCTGCAACACTAACACTGCGCACAATATGGGCAGCTTGTACCACGTTCTACCATTGAGCAGCTCAAGTTTGGTGGCATTGCTACCTGTATTCCAGCGGGACCGCGTCTGTTTGGAGTGGTGATATAGGTGTATGATAGTGTGTGCTCCCACCTGCACTGCATGTTGCACCCGGATCAATTGCAACCGGGCAGCACGGTGCCCTCCCTACTCAGTAGGAGCCTCTCCTCCTGTTCATGCCTGCTGACCTGTGTCCCATACACTTTGCTGATTGGCCGACATCACCATGGTGCCTGGCTGGAGGAGTTGACTGTTGCTCTTATATCATCATCGTCTGCTATACACACGTGTTGTACTGTTTACGTATGTAGTGCCGCCGCTACTTCCAACGGTGTTGGTGGCAGGGTTGGTGGTGCTGGTGGTGCTGGTGATGCTACCTCTGCTGGCGGCGCTGGTGGTGCTGGTGCTGGTGGTGGTGCTCCGCGTCCACCAGTGAAGCCCAAACCCAAAACGCGTGTCCTGGAGTCACACCCGTAAGTGGTGCGGTGTTGGTTGCCGCGGCCCGTGCATCACCCCGTGCATCACCCCGTGCATCACCCCGTGCATCACCCAGTGCATCACCCCGTGCATCACCCAGTGCCCGTGTTCTACCGGTAGTGCAGCTCTATTCCTGAAAGCATGGTCGCATGGAGCCAGTTTGCGGTGTGTGAGACACATCCGAGTTCATGTATCAATCAATCGCCCTACAGTGCACTAGAGTACAGTATAGTGAATGCATTGTAATGCATGTGTTGCCTGCTGAAATCTGCACCATACTTCACATGCATGCTGCACCTACTTCAAGTACTCTAAAACTATGTAAGTAGTTGTCCTGTTTGGGTATGCGTGCGTGTGTGTGTGCATGTGTGTGTGTGTGTGTGTGTGTGTGCATGTGTGTGTGAGTGTGTGTGAGTGTGTGTGAGTGTGCATGCGACCGTACTAATCAGCTGGGAGCATTGCGAGTATCGACAATGGGCAAGAGCGTGGATGGCGATGATTTCGGTGACTGGTGGTTTGACTTGTGTGTATGCTGTATCTGCCTACAAGTACCTACCGTTCTGTCTACTCCCTGTACAGTGAGGCAGCGGAGGGTCTTGACCAGATGGTCAAACGCCGAATTGCACGCACTGCTATGCAGGCTAAAGTGTAAGTTTGCCATGCCAACCAACGTGTTAGGTTGTAATTTTCGTCATGGCAACAACCCATTCGAGCTGCACGCTCTGGACTGCCTGTACTCTGGCTACAGTGTTTGGTCGCTGTGTTGTCATGGCGCCTCTGTTTAGCCCTTGCCGCTCAACACTACATGCTGGCGGCCTGTGTTTGTGATGGTGTTGTGTGGATCAAGCTTCTTGCACCCAGTTTTGACTGAATTATGTACATGGATTGTATTGTTCTGGTACACGGTCATGGGGGGGGGGGGGGGTCACAACAGCTCTCTTGCACTTGGACCCAGCCTCTGTGCACAGAGCATTTGCCCGTCTAACCCACTAACCTCTACATTATTCATGTTCGTGTTGACTTTGTGTGTTGACAGTGAGCGGCCAAGCATTCGCACAGTATCACGTGGCGATCGCTTAGGCAAAACGTTATCCCAGTAAGTGGTACTGCTCACTACCTGCAGGCTGATTATTAATACGGCAGCCTTTCATTTACGAGTAGCTTTGCATCATAAAAATGACGTCAACTTGAGATTCTGTCAGGACAGCACCTATAGTAGAGGTGCACACTCTTAGAGGTTATGTACTCTTGATTTTATAGAGTACTCTTTCGTACTAGCAATCAGTAGGGATGTCAGCGCGGACACTGCGCATGGCTTTGCGCATTCAATGATGTAATCGATTTTTCAACGCGGCGATGGCAGACTGAAAGAAAATGGCGATCGCCAAAAACCAGCTCAGTGAGTCGGTATCAGTTGACGACTCCCCGATGCAGCTCGACCTAGATTTTGAAGTTTGGAACATTTTTAGAGAGAAAGAGAGGGAGAGAGAGAGAAAGAGAGGGCTAGAAAGAAAGATTACTCAAGCTAATGCTTCAGTAGAGTCACTAGAAGTTCTGGGCACACTGATAGGCTAATATCATCTGACGATTTCCACAGCTTGTGCCGCTTGTTGCAGAGCATAAGTGAAAATGCGCCGCCAGAAGATCGGCGATCGTGAAGTCGGCTTTGGGTAGATTTGGCTTTCGCCATCCCGAGGAGCCGCTCCTGTTGCCTGTGAGAACCAAACCACATCTCCACACGACTACTCGAACAAAACCCTGTCCACACCTGACAATCGATGTCTCTGGAACAACGGCCCATATGCACGGCGATATGTCAGAAATGCAGAAATTCACAAGAACGAACACCGTCACGTGGAGCATGAACGCTTCGGTCAAATTTCCTGCAAACTCTCAACATTCAACATCAAGTATTTCTGCCGGGTTTACCGTTGAATCCAGAGCTTTTCCCCGGTTAAATCCAGAGATTTTCAACTCGGAGATCGTGGCAACGATCGGCATGGTCGCCATTTTCCGCTCTGAAAGAACCCTGTCGTTTGGAACGAAAACGGCTTCGCGCCTTCCAACGAAAGCTACAAATCGATTCCAGAACACATGGGCGGCCAACATACCAAACAAGATCCCATTCTGGTAAGCAGGTAGCCTGTAACCACCATCTCCTTGCAAGGAAATTTCAGCCATTTCTCCTTCGTTCAAGGTCTCAATTTTCTGCAAAAAATAGCCAGTGTTTGGCAAAAATTCTGCATGCCACTTCTGATGCGCGTTTGGCTGCATGCGCGAACTGCATGCGCAGTGCACGCGCTGAGATCCCTACAATCAGTATAATTATACAGTAATCGTTTAAAAATAAGATGCATGTAATTTATATCATGATTATCTTGTCGCAAGTGGGTTACTGCACTGAACGAAAAGTGCTTGATACCATGAGATAGGCAGAGGGAGATCAGGGTGGCTGCAATTTGTGCGTGAAGCCTTTTGTTTTGTGTGCGCGCGCGCGTGTGTGTGTGTGTGTGCGTGTGTGTGCGTGTGTGTTTCTGCTGTGTGCGCGCGCAGTGACCCGCGAAAGACTGGCGCAAACCTATCGCGCAATGCCACCGCAGCCAAATCGCTTCGCGTCACGACTAGCATACCGTCCATCCACACTCACTCTATCAGGAGCACACAGGAGGATGATGAATCTGATAGTTATTAGCGCTTGTTCCGCCTTGCTCATGGACTTGCCTTGTTCCACTGACTCCATACATCTTGGACCGGTCGAGAGTTTCGCCTGAATAGGAGACCACATCCCGTCTTCTTGTTTGATCATGGCTGCTTGGTAACTTAGTATACTCCAAAGGTGCTGATTCCTTGACATTGGATCAAGCAGTGACTTGGCCATTTGCTCATGCAGCAAAAAAATGGTCCTTTTTGCTTGGGAATCCCATCGCTGGGGCTGCTTCTCAATGTACAAAATACTATGGCCGACACCTTTTTTTCTTCTCAGTGACGTTCTAGGTCTTGAGATGTGTAGCATCTACTCGCTCCGGCCAGCTTGGCGCTCCTGTACAGGCGCTGCTTATCCATAGTTGGCCTCGCGATGGTGGCAGCTAATTCCAGTGTATTTGCTTAGTATGTTTCACCACTTGAGCTACTGCTGCTAGTAGCGGGTACTTCGACAGTAGGCAGTCACCGGTGCACCATACCTGTGGCCGCTGTGCTTGTGTGTTGGCACACTTTTAGGGCATGGCATTCACATGCTGGGTTGACTGCGTGTAGGATATTCTTGTTCCCTATCTTATCTTTTTGTACATAGTTCGTTGAAGTATTGCTTTTAGACAAGGGCCGTTGGCCTTTCTGGTGAAGGTACAGCCAACCATTCACCGACACTAACCGAAGTTCTGTTTTCACTTCATATTTTATTCTATATTTTTTACCTATGTTCATGTTGGATTTGTTGTTGTTGACCTCCTAGCCCCAAAACGACAAGTGAGTTGCGGTGCACTTTTATTATTATTTTATTATTGTATCACCCATTATTACTACTTCAGGGTGACACTGTACAAAGGTGATCTTTTATTATAACCAAACTGGAAGTTTGACACGCCATCTGTGTCTTTCTTTCTCTATTTTTACGCTCCAAATTTGCAATCCGAGGAGCAATACATCTGTCCTTAGAACCCTTGCCAACACTACAGTCAAATGTTTATTTTCCAATTGGCCACAATGTCTCTTTCTTTGCTCATTTATTTGCAGAAAAAGGACTATAATGGATGTTGCCTATTGCCCTGTGTGTTTGTGTACATGTACATTCAAGTTTGGAAAGGTCTGGAGTGGATTCATGTCGTGAACTGAACCGCCAGGTCCAGCCATACATGCAAGTCTATGGGAGGCCTTGCTCCAGTTTGATTTACCGAAGAAACCAAGTGTGCATATGTCTATGCTGATTAAAACCAAGAGTACAATCTTGATAAAACCATGAGTGTACTCGTACCAGTGAATTACAACGCTTGTATGGTGTATCAATGCATGTTTACTTGAACTACAAGTAGTTTTGTTCGGGATCAAGGAGGGATTTGTCCGCCACAGATCCAGAAATCAGGATAAATCAGTGATGATACGTGTACAATTACAACACACATTCCGTCATCAAAATGACGTCAACTTGAAATTCAGGGCGCCACTGTACAAACGTGATCATGGGAATTTTGTGTGCGTTCCTCACCGGTCTGAACACTGCGGTACGTGCATGGAATGCATGATTCGATGTCCTGTAGGAGTACTGTAACCGAGTTGCATACTGCACTCCGTCTCTGGTTTACCTGTGCGTGTGTGTATAACAGCAAGAGTTTATGGACTCTTGCTACAATATCATAATAGGTCTAGTATTCAGTTTTTGGCCTTTTTCATGCGCAGCATTTATCTGTGTCACAAACAGTGTTGCTCGAGCTCGGCGAAATGAACGCCATCACATACAGTAAAGTAAGGTGTCAATACAAGTGCACACATGCAACAGTACATCATGTGTGACGTGTTGGATTGAGTAGGTAGCTACACACCATGTTCACGTCGATAAAGGATTGTATCTCTCAAGTTCTTCTCACTGAATTGTAGAGGTGCATGTTTGTACTTGTGTACGAAAATAACTCAGGAAAAACAAGCTGAAGTGCAGCAAGGAAGACTTGTCTCACTCATCCGTTAGACTGAAGTTTTGCTTCGGGAATGCGGAGATCGTCTCTACTGTTCACCAAACAGACACAACCAGCACAGTCCAAGCTTTGTTGTTATAACATAACAGTTGTGTTATGCTTTGCACCGGCGTTATCACAAATTGAATATTGTACTTGAAGTATGGAAACGGACCTACACACGAAGAAAGCGAACGAAACCATCAAGGCAGCAAGCCGGGGAGCTAATTCATATTTAGGAATTTCCTTATGTGCAACTTAAAAACGAAAAGAAAAGAAAAATAATGGCAACATATTAAAAACGAAAAGAAAAATGATTGCAATGCCACGGCACTATCAGCCCTGAAAATATTCTAGTCCACTACTGTACTTTGACACCGAGCTTTTCCAACACCTTTGTTCCCTTCTCCTGGTACTCAGCACGAGACATCCAGAAGGAGTCCTTGTCCTTCATGATATCTGCCAACACGGCACCACCGAGGAAGACCATGTGCTTACGACGAGGAGGATCCTCAATGCGGATCTTGAATTTCTGCACAAGAGAATGGAGAAGCCGAGGAAGACAGTGTTTCAGTGGGACAATCACTGACAAGTTACCCGGACAGTATAGCATACAACATTACACAAGACACTAAGAGTTAAAGAGAGAGACAAGAAACATCATTAGGCATCACCGCAAAATGCGGGCATTCCGGTCTACTAGTGTGAGTTACAGTAGAAATATCACTACTATTACTAGGAGGTTCTGCGAAACGAAAACGCGTACAAACTTTCGCAACTTTAGACGCGATACTTGCATGAAACGCTAAATAAACTTTCGTGGGCTCGAAAGTGGTCAACGGGCTCATGTGCACATGGCCGTGTGCAAACGGCGATACGATAACGCGCAGAACACAAATTCCGTGCGAAAGATTCGCACAAACTTTCGCAAGGCATGTCGCGAAACTTCGTGCGCATTTTCGTTTCGCAGAACCTTTCTATGGTCATTTTCTGTGGAATCAGTGACTTCATATGCCATATCTCTGGCCTCTCGGAAGTACAGTAAAACCTGTCAAGGCGACCACTCGGATAAGGTGATCACTTGCCCCAGAAGATCGCTAAAACTAGGACCAAGGAACTTATTCGCGAGGTTCGCCCATACGTGAACCGGAGGGAAATCACGTAGAGAACAGGTGTCTGGGTTAGAGTTTACGGCTTCGCGCATTTTGGGCCCAGAGAAAATGCGTACGGTTCTGTTGGGTACCATTCAAATCAGGCAGAAAACTGCCAAATTTGGAACAGGAAACTTCCAGTACATATTCCACGCGATTTCTTTACGTGAACGTGGAGCAGAACAGGATTCCTGTACGTTCCCCGATATTCCCGTAACGTAGAGCAGAACACCACTATTTCCATTCAAATGAGCATGGATAAGGAGACCACATTTTGAAGGTCCCTCGAGTGATCGTTTTAGACAGGTGTCACTGTAGCCCCAACCAAACAAATGTGATTCCGTGGTTGGTCATGCACCTATATCGCTGCTACCAAGCAAACCAGCATGGTTAACAAATGAGAAGCAACTTACCGAAAGGTTCTCCGTCCTGCCCTTGAGTACTCTCTCGAGGTAGAGCTGCTTGATTTCACGCTCCAGTCTGCTGGGCAGACCAGGGTACATAGTCGTACCACCAGACAAGACAATGTGCTTGTAGAATTCTGATCTGGTGTCGATATCGGCAGCCTGGATGGTGTTGAACAGAAGCTCAGCCACACCAACGCTTTCTACGTTGATCAGATGGGGCTGGAAGAGGGCCTCAGGTGCCTCAAATCGCTCACCGCCAAGCTTGATCACGCGACCATCAGGTAACTATGACAGGATCAACACACAAGAAGAACACAACCAATCGATACACAGACAACTCTGGTTGCCAAAAGGAACACTTAGCAAGAAGAGCAAATCACTTAGATTCTGTTGCAGATGAAAACGTGACAGCTCTATACTGTAGTAGCCAATCACAAAAGAGACAGAACATGCACACACAAAGTAGCAAGCAGGCATGGTCAGCATGGTCATTACAGATGCACAACAGTAGCAAAGGCAGGTCAAGCCATTGTACCGACCGCACCATACACATGAAAGTGATCATCCGTTGAACAGCAAACAGCAGAGTAGATCGCGACCTACCGTGTATGTCTCCACAAGGACGGTTGTTTCAAGTGCAAGCTTCTGCTCTTGGTGAATGTTGTATCTGCAGAGAGGGAGGGAGAGAGAGAGAGGGAGAGAGAGAGAGAGAGAGAGAGAGAGAGACAGCAACATACATTACCAGTACAGAGACAGTGCCAAATCTAGATGCCAGCAGCATAAAGGCTCCCAAAACGAAACAATCCTTACACAGGAAAGTAGCCAGGCCAGTTCAAACTAGTCTGCTAGGTTCGAGTGACTGGTTGGCGGTGGACGAGAGCAGTTAGTACAGTTCCGCCGGTCCATCCCGGTCCATTTTCGACATGAGAAACGACTTCAGAGTGTGTGTCAACAATGATACTGCATTGAACTGGCGCATGCACTGCTGTACATGAATGCCAGTGCAGGTACTCCTGCTACATGTATTTCCAGGCTGTCATGTGCAGCGCTATGTGCCATGTTGGATAATCACAGTTACGTCTGCAGATATTCCTGTTCCCTGCTGAAAAATTCGGCAGGAACCAACGGTACTTTACAGCATACTGAAGTCAGCTTCTATCTGGGCGTAACACCACGAGTACAATAACCCCAGAGAGTGCACACCTCAGTTATGGCGACGGCAACACATCACGTGACAAATCCGCACACATTATTCACATTCTGTGCAGAAGGCAAAGCCCGATTTTGCAAGTGAAGCTTTATTTTGCTTTCATTTTGCCAGGTCACTCGATATTTTGCTCCGATCCGAGGTCAAATTTGTGTCACATGTGGGAAAAGTGATCGAAAGTGGGTCACGTGTTGGCAAAAATGAGCGAAAATGAGTCACGTGCACTGTATAAGTGTATAATCTTCCAATTTGCAGTGAGTATACCGATATTTTGCCAGCAAATTTCCTTGTCAAAATTCTTCGATATTTTGCTAGCAGAATTGCTAGCAAAATCGGGCTATGTCTACTGTGCAGGATAAGCCTAGTTCACATTCGACGGGGTGCGACGTAAGGATCGAAGGGACAGCCTGAAGGCGTCCAATGTGAACACCAGGAACGGGAACGCAACCGCACGGATCGGGAAGAGTCGAATCAGATCAACTTTTCATACCGTAAATTCTTCGATATTTTGCTAGCAGAATTGCTAGCAAAATCGGGCTATGTCTACTGTGCAGGATAAGCCTAGTTCACATTCGACGGGGTGCGACGTAAGGATCGAAGGGACAGCCTGAAGGCGTCCAATGTGAACACCAGGAACGGGAACGCAACCGCACGGATCGGGAAGAGTCGAATCAGATCAACTTTTCATACCGTAGACGGGGACGCAAGCGTACAAAACAGCTGCAATTCGAGTGTGAACAGGAGACGGCATCGTTTTAGCCAAACATCAGTAGTAGGAGAGAAAAAAAAGAAAAAAAGAAAATGCATCATCTGGGGGCAAAGCCCCCAGACCCCCAGTCACAGTAACCCCAGTATACACACGCATATAGGTGCCAACATTTTCGCGGTTCTGAGTGACTGATGATCTTGCTTAGCAGGGTAGGAGAGAGCTATGGAAACACGCATGATGACCAGAGTAAGCAAAAATCTGGATCATGACTTCTAAACCAAGCAGAAGGGCAACATTGGACATTATAATGGCCGCTGCCGGCAGGAGAAGGCCAATTGTCGGCAGGCCGTGACATGCCTCCAAAATCAGCAGGCTACTGACATGTCGGCAGGTGTGGCAACATAGCACTACGCTTCACACGGTAACTCGCAAAATGGCTAACACGACTGGGTTGAATTTTAGCAAGATAAGGTTTCATGGCACTTCCTTTATTTAGGGATAGTTCAGGACCGGGACAAACGGACTGTTTTATCTAGTGTTGAAACGAATAATTGAATAATTTAGAATATTCGTGGGGTGAACGAATAATCGAATAGTCGTAGGAATTATCAAAAAAAGAAGAAAAAAAAGAAGAAAAAAAAGGTCTATGCTCAGTGCTGACCGTGCTGATATTTGCACGGCGTAGATCTGCTCGTAGTATTTCTTCTCAATCTCCTCTCCTCCAAGTTTTAATCTCCTATCGGTATCTAGTAATACTTCTGTTCTTTCCATACGAGGGAAACATGGATGCAGTGAATGTGATTTTCGGTCTTTGACCACTTTCGACCAAGACCCTATGTAGAGCTGGATCAGGCGTTGCACACTCTGCAGTCTGGGGGGTTAGGTACTCTTGGCGGTACGAGTATAGGTTAACCGGTTTTGCACCTCCACATAACAAAATCCGATATTATTATAAATCAGCAAAAAATTAAAAAAAAAACTACTTAAAAAGTGCTGAAAAAGTGTTGAAAAATGCCATCATGCGTATGATAGAATATAGATTATTCGTTCGATGGAGGGCGAAATTATTCGATAGATTATTCGTTCGAAGAATCCGTGTTCGGTTTAAACACTAGTTTTATCACTTCCTGGGGCTATTATGAGAATGGCACAGCTTTCAGGGCTACTTTTCGGTCTTCATGAAAAACTGATGTTGCGAACTTGATTCCACTTCATTCAAGGAGAAATACTAGAAAAGAATTCCGAAAAACAAGGACTTAATTAGGTACGAATGTCACCCTGTCAGGGAAAGTGCCTTATGAGTCGCGCCGTTCGACGTTGAACATCACAACGACTGCTGCATGTCGTGTCGTAAGAATCGTACACGATTTTACAGCTCGCCCCAGCCGTGCCAACAGGCCCTTACACCACGTACTGTGAGCGTTGAATGTGAACTAGGTTATAGATACAGGGTTCTAGCCAAAGCAGGGGGGGGGGGGGGGGGGCGGTGTCCCTACTCTGATTGAGATACGCTGCCCCAAATTGATACTGAGGTGCATGCTCTGCTTCATGTACTCTTGATGTTATGCGTAGAATCTGTGTCAAGACGAGAGCGTATATTCACACAGATCTATACCCCCCCCCCCCCCCCCCCGAGGACAAGACAATAGAAGGGGGATTCCAAAGCTCAGTACATACCCAACATAGCAGAGCTTCTCCTTCATCATGCGCACAGTCTCAAAGTCAGCGGAGTGGTTGAAAGCATAACCTCGGAGAAGCAGCAACTATGCAAGCATAGCAGAATCAGACAAAGCCAACACTCAGTACATGCAATGGCTCCAATGAATTCACAGAGACAAAAAAGTATATTGATGACCGAGTTGCAGCCCGACTACACATCTCAACACAGCAGGAGTTACGCCATGGGTCCCGATCACTGTTGAATCGCACCGCCCAGTAGCCCACAAAGAGGAAGCTTACTAAACCAGAAGCAAGGCCTGAACACAGGCCCCCGTTCAACAAAGCTGTTGCACATCTACCACAGGACCATACGAACAGGCATGCTGGTCACAACTGCCTACATGCAAACTACAATTTTCCGCACATACACAGTCACTTGATGTGAAACCATTCTGCTGTCTATCTCAAAGTACATCTCTAGCACGCAACTAGAAAGCTCAGTCCCTGAAAACAGGAACATTGGCTACAGATACAGACTGCCTGCCAAGCAATATTTCACATATGGCATACCAGTGGTCAATGATGCGGCATGCAACAAAACAACTCCATTTGACGCACATCTGCTAGATACCGAGAAAAGGAGACAGGTGTAGCACAGACATCACAATACCTTGATAAGATAGCGAGTGATGTCTCGGCCAGCGATATCAAGACGGCGAGTGAGATGAGGAAGAGAGAAACCCTCGTAGACCGGGCAGATGTGAGTAACACCATCACCAGAGTCGACGACGACACCAGTCAAAAGACCTGATACAACACAACAATACATCAGTACAGTGGAGATTGGATAGACCGACAAAATTCTGTCTGTCGTTTACCTGATGACCTGAAAATGCATCGAGTAGAACGACTTTTCCATACACTTCCGCTGGTACATAATTGCAGAACAGAAGTGCATGCCGCAGTGCAGTTGCTGTGCATGACTTTCAGCTCGAACAACGCATGAATGACACATGTACATGCACATCTGCTATGCACCCCCCCCCCCCCTCCACCCAAGGGCTATGGACATCATGCCGCTACTCAGTCGTTATAGTCGAAGAGTCGAGCGTCCAAGAACATTGTTTCTAAAGGGTTAGCCTGGGGCGTTCTTATCTGTTGGGCAATCTGGCTGCGTTCTTAGAAACAATTCGTACTGGATCATATCTATCCCAAAAGCTGCCGGAAACCAACACCACCGTTTTTAACTTAAGGCTGTGGCGTTCTTAGCATTTTCAGGCTGGACGTTCTTGGGATCCACGTTCTTCAGTGTGCGGCTCTACTGTAGGCAGTTAGATGGGATTTTGCTCTGGGGATAAAGGTCGACTAACTTACGTCACACTGGATATTATCATGGTTACCGTATTTCCACAAATAGTAGGCCGGTCTACTTTTTCAACCTCGTCCTAACCCGGCCTTATAATCGAGGACGGTCTTTTATTCTTTCAACCCAATTTGACCCCGGTCTTCTATTTCTCGCCACACAGATTTACCCCTGTTCTTCCATTTTCTTCTGCACAGTTTGAGCACGGTCTGCTATTTTTAACACAAACACCAAGACTAATTTATTAGGCCCGGTCTCCTAATCGGAGACGGTCTTTTATTTTTTCAATTGCCCCCTGCCCCGGCCTTTTATTTGCGGAAATACGGTATATGTACTCCAGTCGCACCCGACTAAATCAATAGTGCAATGTTTTTCCCCCCAATGGATCGCACGTTTTTTTAATACAAGAGTTGTCATAACAGGTGGAGGCGGTGAACATGGCCAGACAGTCATCTTATACATTTACCTTGAGCGTAAAGAGTCAGCACAGCCTGAATGGCAATGTAGCAGGAATGGAACTCGTATTTCTCAAACATCATCTGAGGACAAACACAAATAAAAATAATTTGAGTAAAGAGATAAAGTGGACTTGGAAAATTCATATGTGGCTAAGATTTAGAAGGCACGAGCAAACTCCGAAATTTAAACACAAAAATCGGCAGCTGGAAACAGATTGTTGAGTCAGGATGTATACATGTGCCCACATTACAACATTTGTCACCTGACAGCAACAGTAACCAGTACCTAACTTACAGCACACTTTCAATGGACAATTCGAGCACAAACGAAACACAGCACTCACCTCAATCATCTTTTGTCTGTTCTTCATTGGGTTCATGGGAGGCTCAGTAAGCAAGACCTATGCAAGCACAAAGCATATAGCGGTACACAGATGTCGTTTATATTTAGCCCGACTCCCAAGCACAGCGTTCAAAATCTCCACAGATATTTTCGTACCTTGGATGTCTTCGGGTCGATCTGAAGCTTCTCGTTGAAGGTGTAATCCCAGACGTGGCACATGTCGTCCCAGTTACGTACGATTCCATTTTCCATGGGGTAGTTTACCTCCAACATGGAGCGAAGTTGGCTGGCCTCATCTCCGACCATCAAATCCTACAAGAATTGTAGGAGGGAGGAGACAAATCGTACAGCGCTTTGATTGACTGCATCAACAGCAACTCATCACTAATCGCAGAATCAACCTCAGGGCCTGCTCACCTTCACTTCAATATCACCGATCTTAGCAGTAGATCTAAGAATTGGTCTACCGACTAGAGATGGGAAAATATGAGCCGGGAAGTTGGATCCTGCATATCCACACTTGACGAACTGCCAAGACAAATCGAACAGAAAACAGGATTCGTCGACGCTGGCCGGGAACCGTTCTTCAAGGAATCTCAGAACTTACACCGGTGCCGTTATCAGACACGATAACCTTATTTCCTTGGGAGTCCATGGCTGATAGAGACCTGCACGGGGCTCTCCAGGCACGTCAACCTAACTTGAGCTCCAAGCTCACTTGCCGCTGCACAAAATTCGGTGATGAAGAAACACAGCACTGTGCTCTACACTTCGAGACTGCAGAATCCTACACGACAGGATCCACCATCCCTCCTCTCAAAATCTACGTGCGTTGATGTGTCATGTGCCGATTTCGTGAGGTACGCATGCGCATTTACTCAGGAGGGGCCAATCGGCCCCGTACCACGGGGAAACCTCCTATCTATCGGGTCCGTAAATTTTCTGGGTCATCTAAATTCGTTATAATGTTACCGGGGAAACAGCTCGCGGGAGATTTGAAATACCCAGAAATTCGAAACGAGTCGACCAAGCTGAGCTGCAAGGGCACTTCATCTTGTAGGAAAGGGAAGATGACGATGAGGCAAACCGAAGTCGAAGAAGAAGTGTGACGTTGTTGTTTTACAAGTATAATGTCTCGCATGCGAAGTAGCATTGGAGTGGGCCGACGTTCGAGTGTCACCAACGCCGCCGAAGCAAAGCGCAGCAGGTGAGAATTTTCATCATCATCAATAGTAAAATGTTGTTCCCAAATGTTTTGACGAAAATGCAACACGTGCAGTATAGCAACAGGTTGTTAGGTTTATATCATGTACTAGTTAGTATTCAAATCTCAGTGAAAGCGGTACTCTCTCAGTATCATTGTCGGGTAGTTGCGAAGCTGAAGGCGTTGGAGTAGTCATTTTCACACTCCTGTTCCTCCGCTGCTACTAACACCACTAGCACTGCGCCTAGCACCAGTATGTTAGCACGGTGCAGTTTATATAAAGTTATGCATGCACCACAACTGGTCCTTTCCTTTCATGAGGACCCTGCATAAAGTGGAGCGTGGAACCTGGCGTAATGAGCTCCCAACCAAAGGAGAGGAAGGGAAGCAGGTACAACCATAACTACTGGATGAGAGATGGTGAAGTAGACTTGTAGCATGGCATGTTGCTATCAAATTTTGTATCTGCATTTATTCTGGAACCTTGACACTATGTGAGATTTTCAGAGTGGAGTGAATATGTTTGTACTTTTGAGATGACTGTTGTCTGCTTTACTCCAAGTTTCAGAGCTGCTATTACCAGTGAAAATTAGCTGAAATTCTGTAGTCAGAGGCACTGATGTACGTTAAGTGGTCATGTATTTGTGTGTGTTTGCATGTGCATGTGTGTATGTGCATGTGTGTGTGTGTGTGTGTGTGTGTGTGTGTGTGTGCACGCGCGTGTGGGTGTGTGTGTGTGTGTGTGTGTGCGCGTGCGCGCGCTCATGCATGTATGCACTGATGTGTGTACATATTTTTGCAGTATTGGCGGAAATCCAAGGCTAGCAATAAAGGACCCCAGACTTATTCTGGACAAAGGTCAGTACATGTGGGGCGAAGCAAATGAATCAGTAAAGAGGTTGCACTGAAGTTTTGTAGCATTCGGCGGATCAGGCAACAGCGAAGTAGGCTACGGAAATCTGTTCATTCGGAGCGTGCGTGACTGTGAGAGCTTTGCTTTACTAATTAAATAGTTTTTGTTTCCCCGAGTACGAGCAAGAGTACACACCGTATTATCTGGAGTAAAAGTTGCACTTTAAATAGTAGTATTTCCACTGAAACTGCAGAAGAGTAGTACTATTTCCACTGCAACTCACCGACAAGTATTAGTTGCCCCTTCGACCGAGGTGCCCCTTGGACCGAGGTGCCCGTAACTTCGAGGTCCGCTTATTAAACACTTGTAATTGGCCCCCCAAAAAGTCTTAGGTGCGGCGGCATACTACGATTGTCTAATGAACCGTGAAATACATGGTAGATGCCTGTATTTCGTGACTAAAAATCCAATTGCAGCTTATACTCCAGTGCAGCTTATACTCCAGTGCAGCTTATACTCCAGTGCAGCTTATACTCCAGTGCAGCTTATACTCCAGTGCAGCTTATACTCCAGTGCAGCTTATACTCCAGTGCAGCTTATACTCCAGTGCAGCTTATACTCCAGTGCAGTTTATACTCCAGTGCAGCTTATACTCCAGTGCAGTTTATACTCCAGTGCAGTTTATACTCCAGTGCAGCTTATACTCCAGTGCAGCTTATACTCCAGTGCAGTTTATACTCCAGTGCAGCTTATACTCCAGTGCAGCTTATACTCCAGTGCAGCTTATACTCCAGTGCAGCTTATACTCCAGTGCAGCTTATACTCCAGTGCAGCTTATACTCCAGTGCAGTTTATACTCCAGTGCAGCTTATACTCCAGTGCAGTTTATACTCCAGTGCAGTTTATACTCCAGTGCAGCTTATACTCCAGTGCAGCTTATACTCCAGTGCAGCTTATACTCCAGTGCAGCTTATACTCCGGAAAAATACGGTAACCCCCAACGAGTGTGCACCTCCAACATGGGGTGCTGTCCCGACAGAATTTCAAGCTGGCGTCATTTATATGATGGAATGCGTATTTTACACATATTTTCAGACGTATCCTGGACGTGTGGTAGACAGAGCCCATTTGATCTTGTTCTAACTAGTTCAAGGAAGCGTTTGTGATGCGTTGATACTCATACAAATGTCGTACGTAAATCACTGATGCAAGGCGCATTGCATCATAACAACTTTCAGTGCGTTTCAAAAATATAGACGCGTGATTTCAAAAAACCGGAAGGCAACTTTGGAACATGAAGACATTTTTTATGACTTCTTCTTTTCTTCCAGGGTACGTCCGAGATGGCATCTTGTACCTGTCAACGGTAAGGACTGGCTGATAATGTGATTAGTACTAATGCGTGGCAATGTTTGTTGGTGCCTTGGTGGCTTTTGGCCAATGGTACGGGACCGCTTTCCCTTGCTCCAAGATGAGAGGATATTTAAACATTGTGTACGGTTGCCTCTTCTTTCTCCTGTTATGTGTGCCAGTTTCTCAGAGAGCGTGGCTTTGAAGGCGCGTGCACGGGGAAGGAGCTCAAGCAGCCAAGCACGCTAACCGTGTTCAATATTTTCAAGGTGAGACTACTGCTGTACATGTACCATGTATACGCCCGTCGCAAGAGAAGCACGCAAATCTGCAAATGCACTGGATGTGCACCCACAGATTTTCTCTTATAGCAACGATAGCGGACAAGATCTGAATGAGATAGATCAAGACTAGCCAAGACTAGCGCCAGATAACTGTCCAATCCACACAACCTGCGAAACCATGTGAATGTAGTACTGTTAGACCACCGCTGGTAATGAACATTTACTTTTAACGATTAACCCTTTGTAACCCCCACTGAAAGGACAAATTAACTCACCTTCAAATGATATTCAAAGCCCCCGGATGATGTTGATTTTTTCTTACTGATATTTGGCTAAAATGATTTGGCAACACTGCCAAGCAAAAATAATATGTGGGGTGTACGCGCGTGCAAGGCCCCGCTCCACAAAAAGTATTTGTTCGGGCATGTCTTTAATGTCTTTGAGTACATGCCACTGAGATCTCCAAGACACTATTGTGCTGAGTGTCCGGTGCAGCGTGTAATCCTGTGTCTATGCTGTGCTGTGCTGTGCTGTGTGTGTGTGGGTGTGTGTGTGTGTGTGTGTGTGTGTGTGTGTGTGTGCGTGTGTGTGTGCTGTGCTGTGTATACCTACGCCCTAGGCTTGACAAACTTTGAGCTGCATGTTAGACATGAGACCTGCTGATACCGGTGATCAGTGACATGAGCTGACACGATGCTTAGGATCTGTGCTTAGCTGCCTGGGACTTTCCCTTTTGATGTATGTTAGCACTGTTTATGCAGTGCTGAGTGTGCTGTAGGCACTGTGCAGTGTGTGTGTGTGTGCCAAATTGCTGTGACTTTGATCACTTGACATGTCTGCAGTTCTTGATACGCCGTGGACTGCCACGTCATGAGATGGCTAAGCTGGATGAGGTCCTATCTCTGCTCATTGTTCTTGGGTGAGTTTACCCGTGGCTTGGTTATGTTCGCACTGCTGTCTGTGTTGCATTTGACCTGGCACCAACTACAGGTTTGAGATCTGTTATAAAAATGTTTGAAAAAGTATGAGTTGCTCGCTATAGACTACACACGATAGGACTGGGTAGTGTGCGAGTAAGAACTTCAGGACTTTACTCGATCCAAAATGTGTGCACTTGAGTGGTCCTAGTTTTGAAGTAAACAAAATTATCACAATAGGCGATATATTACAAAAGCTGATTACATTTGCTTCTGAATCTTGACTCTCTCTCTCTCTCTCTCTCTCTCTCTCTCTCTCTCTCTCTCTCTCTCACACACACACTCTCTCTCACACACACTCTCTCTCTCTCTCTCTCACTCTCTCTCTCACTCTCTCTCTCTCTCTCTCTCACTCTCTCTCTCTATCTCTTTCTCTCTCTCTCTCTCTCTCTCTCTCTCTCTTCACTTAGGTCTTCTCTTGGCTAGGGTACTGAAAGAACAAACTTTCGCTTTTTTATGTGCGTTTCAGGTATCCCTGCAAAATCAACAAAAGCTGGCTGACGGCCGTTGGTAGCCCTCACGCCTGGCCTCATCTTTTGGCTGCTATGCGGTGGCTTTGTCACTCTATTGAGGTCAGTCAATAGTTTGGTTCAGCGTTGTGTGTATGCATGCCATGCACACTCAGGTATGCACTCGAGCTGTAGTCTGTCTCTTGCATATCATGACATTGTGTTCGTCACTGTGTATGTTTATGGATGAATGTTGAATGTAGGCTAACAATTTCTTGTTGACATTTTCTGGGTATTTGTTTTGTGAGCAAGTGTCTTGGCATACCCCACATGACTATTTTGTAGTCGGTGTTCAAGCGGGAATGGTTGGCGCTACTACGTGGATTTAGTGTGTGTGTGTGTGTGTGTGTGTGTGTGTGTGTGTGTGTGTGTGTGTGTGTGTGCACGTGTGTGTGTCACTGTGTGCGTGTGTGTATACACGTCTGATTGCAGTCGGATGAGCTATCTGATTCGTGCGAGGCTGCCGTGTTTGCCAGTAGCAGTGATGACATCACCATGTTTCCCGGCGAGGACGAGGGAAAGCCCCCTGCACAGGTACGCAATCCAGCCTACTGTGTTTACTTTTTCCGTAGCTTTGAGTTCTGTAAGTCGACAAATTTTCGCCCATTCAAATTTCGGCCTCCCAGGGCTATAACCCATTTCGGCCTCATCAATTTTACGGCCTGTATGCTGGAATGCCAGGTGTTGCTCAGTAATGGCAGTGCACACTACTGTCAAATATTGCCGACTTCAGGTATTACTGTCGTGGACTGTTGTTCATCTCGCACCAGATGCATGCTATGCTTCCTTTGTTCCAGTGTGGCAGCTGTGCAGTGTTGATAAGTCAACATACATGCCAAGCCCAGGGGTGTGCCTGAGCAGCTGGCTGGGCTGCAACTAGTGTAAAGTTTCCAGTTGCTATGGATAATTGGATATCATATTGCTATTGGCTGCGTGCACTGTGTGCGTATGTGTGCGTGTGTATAATATATATATATGTGTGTGTGTGTGTGTGTGTGTGTGTGTGTGTGTGTGTGTGTGTGTGTGTGTGTGTGTGTGTGTGTGTGTGTGTGTGTGTGTGTGTGTAGCGTCGGCAAGAGTTCCACGCCGAGTCGTATGAGGCATTCATGGAGCACGGCGAGGTGGAGCTGGAGGGCAGTGATTACAAGCGCCAGTGTGGTGAGTCTGAGTCTTGCATATACCCCCTCCAGCTATGTTGTCACTGTGATGTCACAACCTTGCATGTACTAGTCCTTATGCACAGTTCGTCATAGGGTGACGTCACCCTTTCACTCGGAACCCTCTTGGGTGATGTGAACAAAGCGAGGCATGCAAAGAAACACAGCTTTCTTTTTGAAGATAATAGTTTTGAACTTGGTGGCATGAGCTTTTAACAGCAGCCTTAGACAGCCAAACATGGAGCTGTTTGAACTTGTGGTACATCAGATTGACCCATGATACTGTCAAACGAGACACGGTAGACTGTGAACACGTGAAAACGGAATGCGAGATCAATTTCACCAAGTCGGAGGCGAAGTCGCATCTTCACCAATAGAAACTGGTCAATCAGAGATAGCATGCTGTGTTGTTGTAACGTATTGTACAATTCTTAAGACCTGAAGCTGGCACTGTTTCATTACAGTGGAGAGTCCATAATATCATGGTAGATTGAGGTTTCAACTAATCCCTGCTCCCCAGATCTTGTAGTGAGTCCTCTGCGAAGATCTGGTTTAGTGATTGTAGCGACGCGTTGTTATCACCACACATCGGACTCATTTCACTTTCGACCTACCTTTCAGAGCACAAATGAAAGGTAGATAAAAAAAATAGACGTGTCATCACCACCAAACACACATCACAAGGAAGTCTAATGTAGAGTGACCGCAACTTTTTCTCGTGACAATCATCAGCGGTTTTAAAACTAAAATAAAATAAAGGTGGGGTGAACAGCGTAGCAGCATGTGCATATTGTATGTGAGAACAGTGCGCTCGTGCAAGGTGCAAACAGACCATGCCACATGCTCGACGGTGAGCATGTGAGCGGGAGTGTAACAGCCGTATTTCGGAAATTAGCGCCGGCCTTTTATTACCGCCTGTCTGAAATAAGTGCCTGTCATTCCAGGGATTTTGTGTTCTTGGCTGGAGTTTTGGTGTGCTCATTCACAATGTTTTGTTCATTGTCGCAATGAGATAAGGGCTTCTCTCTTCTTCTGGTTTGTTTTTGTTTTTCACTGCACTAGCATGGTGCTCCTCTTGACAGTGCTGTCGTCATTGCTCTCATTTCCTCCTGCTATCTAATCATTGGCAGAGCATTGTGTATAATGTGAAATGGTTTCCCTTGTCTGCTTTTCTCGTTGCTGACTAGATTTGAAGGAGAATCAGCTACTTCAAAGTAAGTGTTGTGAATCGGCAGTTGTACAATCTAACAGGTACATACACAACCTGCAGTCACATCCAGTCTCTTGATATGAGATTCAGGGAGCTGGAGGGAAGGCATTTCAAGTAACTATACGGTAGAACTCTGATAAGCCGCACGTGTAATTATTTTTCTGGTCATAACTTTTAATAGGTGCCATCCAGCATTATCGATTATTTTCACGGAACGAAAAAGTTTAGTTATTGTGCCACAGAAAGAGAAATGATGGGTTTAATGTGCGTGTGTTTCTGTGTGTTTCTGTGTGTGTGTATGTGTGTGTGTGTGTGTGTGTGTGTGTGTGTGTGTGTGTGTGTGCATTTTACATTGCTGGCATGCAGATATTAGAGACGTGGACATCACAATGGACAAATGCCAGCGTGACATTCAGGAGGCATCAGCTGATCCGGTATGTTCTGTGCACCTCAGTACCACACCTTTTTTTAGGGGGGGGGGGGGGGTTACAAAAGAACATGGTACACTGTGGCACGACCGGGGGGGGGGGGACGAGGACATGGTACACTCGCTCTGCGGCTCGTATAGCCCCTCCGCCTTGGCGAGGCTGGCAGTCCCGGGATCTGCGCATTATCTCCGCTTTGGTAGTGCGGCACGCTCGTAGCTCCCTGTCGACGTGTCGGCGGAGAAAACGGATGTTGATACGTTCAACAAACTCAAGGTTGTCCTTGAGTTGACGAAGTAGCAGCGCGGCCTCTGGCCGACCCAACGCGGAGAGGGCGTTCGCTCCCGCGAGTAGGGCATCAGTCGTATCCGACATCTACAGACAGATTCGGAAGCGGAGGACAACCAACGAGCGGATTTACCAAACGGGCCAACACCGTGTTGGGCAAACATACATCACATCAAGGGGACCTCGCGGAACACTCGTCACTATAAGCCAGACGGATCCTGGTCACAGCACCAAGTGTGATGACCCCGCTTTCCTAATCCCTAGCGGCGGAACTCATGTGAATACTGCGATCGACTACAACAACCAGCATGCAACTAACTTGGCTATGGTTAGGACCCTGAGGTAAAATGCATTCTCTACGGAACTAGTAACCCTGATTCTTCATGCAAGATATATGCAATTGTCTGACTCTAAGACAACCCGGACTGCGTCCATATCTCCACAACAGAGCACAGAGAGAGTGAGTTACATACCGGTAATCATGTATTTGGAGTGAAAAGGGAATAAAGGAGAAGTTATCGACAGCATAATGTGTAGAGCCTTACCGTTAAAACACACGTAAAGGATGACGAAGAAGAAGTAGAGCAACAGCAATCAGCAATCGGCGGACAATACGAGAGGGAGAGAGGAATAAGTAAAATCCCCCGAGGCATGGCTGTACTTAGGTTTTAAAGCGTTGCCTGAGCTGGACGCCATGATCCAGCCAGAGAGAGACAACCTGAGCTGGACGCCATGATCCAGCCAGAGAGAGACAACCTGAGCTGGACGCCATGATCCAGCCAGAGAGAGACAACCTGAGCTGGACGCCATGATCCAGCCAGAGAGAGACAACCTGAGCTGGACGCGATGATCCAGCCAGAGAGAGACAACCTGAGCTGGACGCCATCCAGCCACAGAGAGACAACCTGAGCTGGACGCGATGATCCAGCCAGAGAGAGAGACAACAAGAATAGTGACGATAGTTCTGTGGTCAGTGCGAGTCTAGGTAACATATTGGGGAGCGCCAGCAGGAAGTGACTATAGCGATGATCATTGATGAGGAGTAGAACATATCTAACACGTGACTAGATTTTCTAAAAACATACATCATGTGTACCTGTGCTACTGTTCTAATTATCATGCATAGTCATGGTTTGAGCATTAGGCCATATAGGGCACATAGGTAACATAACTGCTACATGTGAATGGTTATGAACATTACCATGTATGCAGGGCCATCACATAAATAGGAGGGAGGGGAAGAATAGAAAGTGTCGAAAGAATTTAGTACAGATAAGCATTTACTTGCAACGTATTCACCAAAGCAGTTTGCCTTCTCCTGGTTCGTGGCAAAGTCGTCGCCTCAAGGATTTTATAGGGTGGGAATGAAGGAACTGCGTCCAGAGCCTGCAGCTCGCTTCGGCAGGGACCGCCATTGTTCGTTTCTTAGCGAATCATTTTGAGCCAGTTTCGGATGCGCTCTGTTTCTGTGTGCTTCGCCAGCCGGAGGCATTTAGCCGTAGCCCTGGCTGTGGCCTTGTAGATATTGCGCCGTTCGTGGCAGAAGAAGGGCTGTCTTCGGAGACGGTTCCACGCACTCTTGTTGATACTTCAAAGTTACATGCTACTGAATATTGAAGAGAGCAAACACCTTCAATTACCTGACTGGTGTGTTGTCTATTGCCACTATTGCATACCTGCCAGCCTTTGCAAACCTGAGATCGGGGCAATGACATACCTAGGTATTGTATTTTATTATTTTACTTGGGCATTCCCAACAGACCCTAAGGTCTTCTTACAGGGTGCCCAAGGTATGAAAATGTATACAAATGTAGCTGTTAGGCATGCGACAAATGCACTTTTGGGTGCCTATTACCATCCTCGATATGGGGACGGTTGGCAGTTATGCTAGTATAATTGCTATTGTACTTGGCACATTATACTGGTATCACAGGCATGGTGGTGGCCTGGCACATGCGAAACTTCCTAAGCTGGTTGTGTTTCTCAACGCAATTGTATAGCCGGTGGTAACGCGGACGTGCGAACTTTACTTTACTTGGCATATTGCCTCTGACACGTCTCTGTTTTTCTGTCTCGATGTTTTGTTCCCAGTCGCCATTGCAGAGAGTGCAAGAAGAGGTGCGGCGTTTGGCCGCGGACAAGTAAGCCCATGAACTGTAGTTTGGGAACATGTCCATATGTGCAGTACATCTCTGTGTACTGTACATATACATCTCTTTCAACACAGAAACTCAACCCCCACACAGACACGCACTCGCATCATACAGTAGGGATTCTCTTTTCTATACTTCTGTTTACCAAACTTAGTCCTTGCCGTCGTGCCAACGTTTTTGAACAGCTAAAATTTCTGAAATTCGAGTGTCTAGCATCTGTCTTCCTGCAGTACGTTAGTTCAGTTACTGTGAGCTGCTCCACAACCACAACACAACCCACTCACCATCAACAAATCTCTAAAGCAACAAGCTCCTGCATGGCTGTTCATTTCTATGTTTCTGGCTTTGATGCATGATTTGTGCAGACACAAGTTTGAAGTGCTGATTCAACAGCTTGAGGGGAAGACTCACCAGGAATCGATTGCCATACAGCAGAAAACAGAGCAGCTGCAAGACGAGGGTGAGTCATGGGGTGGTGATGGGGGGGGGGAGTGGCGTATCCAGGATTGTGGAGAGGGGGGGGGGGGGGGGAGTAGAGCATCTGCAAGACGAGGGTGAGTACCGACATGTTTGTATACCGAACATAACATGTCATGTGGGCGAGGGTGGTACAGCCGATTAATGTGGTGGAGGGGTCATGATGCTGTGGGCAGACTTTGCAGCTCAGGAAGGTTGCTTGCAAGAAACAGGATGGATGAGAGTACTGCCGGGTGCCCCAGTAGCTCAGCCGGTGCAGCGGCAGCAGCAGCAGGTTGGGCTGATGGTGTGCGGTTTTCTGCTTGAGTTAACGAGTAGGACAGTGGCTGCTGCTAGCATTCTCGATGGCGTCGAGGTCCTGTTGCCAACGTTATTCTTGGATGGTGACTTCCTGCAAACAGACGGGTGTGTGGGATGCTACACACGCAGCTAAGATAAGTGTGCATGCAGCCAGTTGGCAGGTGTTAGCTCCCGGCTAAACGCAGTCCCCTCACACTGGCAGAACATAGGGGTTTTATAGTGTGGAATATGGAAGAAGTATTTAGACAAGAGAGTAGACAAGAGTGAGAAGGATAGACACAAGAGAACCACTGGAGCAAGCGCTCTTCTATACTTGATGTGATCTCATTGCTATGGTGACGGAGCGGGAAATACGAATAGTGAGTATTGTGCTGTCTTAGTATAAATACACCTATTACAGCAGGGATGGAGCATTTGTACTCCTACAAATTGTAGGTGTCTAAACAGTTGACATGTCTTTAGCTCGGCACTCCAACAAACGAGTCTTGCTTGTGTATGTAGGTAAGTCTCCGTGAGTTAATTGGTGAGAATTATCTGATCGTGATGATGACGGCTATGTGTGTATGTTTGTTGCAGAGCGATTGTTTGGAGTGTTAGAGGCTGAGCGACTAGAGCTTGAGGTATGCACTACTAGGCATGAAGTGTGTCAGATAGAACACGGTTAAGCTGTCGTTGAGTTACTATGCATGGACAGTTGGGGCTTTTGGGCAGCATATGCTTCCATGCGTGTCTTCACTCGTCACGATGCATATCTCAAGCATATCTACACACTATGGCACACACCACCATGCATACCCCACGTATTGCCATGCGTGTCTTCATGTGTGCCCATGCACATGCCCCATTCACATCGCCATGCATATCTGTAGATTCTTTACTAGTCTCCATGCATATGCCCGATGAGAACCTACCTAACCGCCGGTATGTATCCAGATACAGTCATGGGCTTGTAATGTCGAAATGTCGTGTCGTGTAATGTCGAAATGATGACGTCCATGCACTCACTGTGACAACCCAGGTTCAACTGTGTGCATCGGACATGAACTCTACACAAACATCGTGTACACCATGGTGGAGTATGACTACTTGCAGGGCCGTGTCCATGTTGCTGGTTTGAATGCCGACTGCGGCGGTGTCATAACGTTACGTTCAAGGAAATGCAGTATTCCTACAGTGTAGTCAAGCCATCCAGTTATTAAGTTATTAGGCTGTAGAGAGCTATACCATGTCAGCAGCTATACATGTATATAATAATGCTGTGCATTACATTCTGTTCTCACGCGTATCTGTGTGTACGTGTGTGCATGCATGTGTGTGTGCGTGTGTGTGGTGGTGGTGGTGTGTGTGTGTGTATGCATGTGTGTGTGTGTGTGTGTGTGTGTGTGTGTCTGCGCGTGTGTGTCCGTATACTACTTGCTTGCAGAAACGCGTTGCATCACAGCCGCTGTCTTTGGACGACGTGCAGCTACTAACCGCAGAGAATGAGCAGCTGTGCGCCGAGCGACGAGACTTGCGACACAAGCTCAGTAACCTGGAGAAGGAGACATGGCAGGCGGAGATGGATTCCAACAAACTGGAGAAGGCCCTGGTATGTGCTGTACAAGCAGAAATATTTATCTGGAGTTTAATTTCATCCTTTTCGTCTGAGGAGTCGATCTGGCCAGTTTTTCAATACACTCTTATGGTCCATGGGCGAAATTTTCAACCAGACGAACTCCTTTTCTTTTGGAGTTGGACGGAATTATTGACCAATCTTGTTCTTGTGGCAGACTAGCTAGGAAGGTGAGCTGGTCCCTCGCTATGATTGTATTGTGTGAATATCATGTTGTTCAAGATGTACGTATCATGCTGCAAGAGGCTCTTGGCTCAACAGTATGATTCTGTTGCATATCCTTGTGCGCTCTGTGTGTGTGTGTGTGTGTCTGTGTGTGTGTGTGTGTCTGTGTGTGTGTGTATGCACATGTATAATTATGTGTTCGGCACGTGTATGTGTGTGTGTGTGTGTGTGTGTGTGTGTGTGTGTGTGTGTGTTCTGGTCACAGGTTGAGGAAAAGCAGCAGATTCTTGCGTCTGGGTTTGACTTTGCCAACAATGTGAGTACTGAGTAGTGCAACATGTATACCGACTGGCCACTGGCCACTGGCCACACATGCTCTGTACATTTGTAGTGACATGCTTATAAAGGTACAGTGAAACCTGTCCAAGGCGACCGCTCAAGGGACCTTCAAAACGTGGTCTCTTTTACCAGGTGGTCTCCTTATCCAGGGTCATTTGACTGGAAATAGCATCCCTTGGTCCTGGTTTCAGTGGTCTTCTAGGACAGGTGGTCTCTGTTTCGGAGTGATCGCCTTGACAGTCGCCTTGACAGGTTTTACTGTACAGCAATACTAGCACTCACTGATGCTCAGTGTAATCCTATCTAGTATCTACTGAATAAGCTAGCTATATGTACCACTGTACAGCCAGCCCTGTATTCACAGGTATGGGGCTACAGTGCCTGGAACTTGTTGACTGAAACGATTGGATTTCGTTGAGCAGTGTAGTAACGTTACGTGTGTGTGTGTGTGTGTGTGTGTGTGTGCATGTGCATGTACATGCACGTGCGTGTATATGCACGTGTGCGTGTACATGTGTGTGTCTGTATGTGTGTATGTGTGTGTGCGTGCGTGTGTGTATGTGTGTGCACTTGTGTGTGCATGCACGTGTGTGCATGTGTGTGTGCACGTGTGTGTATCTACCTGCCTGTCTGTGTGTTTGACCTGGCGACTGCAGAAATTTGCATCCATTCAAGATCAGCTGCTGGTGGATGAGGATGCACTGCGACGTCAGCGTCTCACATTGCAAGGAGAGATGGATAAAGTGAGTTGTGTGATTCACTCAGCTTGTTATATTAGGGTTGAGATGTTGTACAGTGTGCATTGTGACAAAGAGCCAAGACGTGATTCAGAGTCCAAACTATCTACAGGTCTACCCTCGTTGGTACCACATCGGTCACAAGACAAACCTCATTAGTAGACAACAGTCAGAAATCCCCTGATGCCTGAACCGTGTCCATTCAAGTCCGGATAGTAGACAATACTCGTTATATAAGAGAAACATTTTGAAACCCCCCCGGGTAATCTACTAACGAGGGTAGACTTGTACCCTTTTTCAATGTTAATTATAGCTGGCTGGTCTGCTGTGGGAAACAGATGGTTTGCGAGAAATGGAGAGATAGACCTGAAGACTGTGTTTAGCCGAGTTTGGGCTGCAGGATTTTTCTGTGTTGTCAAGCATGAAAAAACTGTGTGTGTGTGTGTGTGTTCATGCATGCATGCATGTGTGTGTGTGTGTGTGTGTGTGTGTGTGTGTGTGTGTGTGCACATGTTGTGCAGTCTGGGGTGCGTTGAACTTGGACGTGTTCTACTTTGGTTGAGGCTGGGTGAGGAATTGGAAAATGTCTATGCAGAATCATCGTGCTTCCCCCCCCCCCCCCCCTTTATTGCTTTGGAGATCCTGCTCCAGTCCTGCTCAATGAAATCCAGTCGCGTCACTCAAGCCTTGCACAATTTCGCAGCCCAGTGTTCGCAGGTCTAGGGCTGCGCAACGCCCGGCGTGTACTTGAGCAACGCTGTGACTGGATTTCATTGAGCAGCACTGTATGATCTCTACTAGTGTGGCTGACTCTCACACAAGTTGTGGAATTTCTTTTTCTATTTTATGATCCGGCAACTGAGAGGATAATGTCTTATCAGCTGAGAGAGTGATATGTTGAACGTTGTGTTTGTTCTGCATTGTTCCCTCTCAGCTACGTCAAATGGTCATCAAACAGCAGGAGTTTGTCTCAACGCTGGAGAGTGACATGCAGCTAGACCAGGCTACCAACAAGCGGAAGTTGCAGGTACGGAGTGCTTCTTGTTAGATGGCTGTTCTCCTTGATTTTGTTTCCTTTTTACTCGTGGAAACTCTTCAACCTGACAGTGCACATCTGACATTTGGGGATCAGTGTACATGTACTAAGGTTGCGTTTACACGACAACGCACGGCCAGTTTTCCGTTTTTGACCCCGTATTTCTTCATGGGTGCCTTTCCCTTTTTTGGTGCATTCACATGATCAGGGCTGATCCGACCTGATCTTCCTTTGTATCGTATTCAATATTCGCACATCTACGCAGATTGCAAATGATCCGCGAAAGTTTGTCATGTGAGCACCAATCACAGTCAAGAAATAGCTGACAACACTCCTTGGCGCTTACACCCTAATGCATCCGAGCAGTGCATCGAGACAGGGAGAGCCAAGTGACTACGATACATGCAATGGAAAGCCACGGAGCAAAGCTGCATGCATAGCCGCGTATTCTCACAACATTGCATAAGCACTTCAATCAGCTGTGTGATGGAGACCAGTCTAAAATTAGTGGCGGTCAATTCATCAGCCTTGCATGCTGTTGAATGGTGTAATTCCAGCACAAGTTGCTATGTCTAACATAGCTGTTCACTATCATTGCTTCCGCGATGGGCATGTTTAAGACTTAGTGTAAGTAACCCAGTGTGTTTTGTTGTGTGTTTTTGCTGTGTGTTTTCGCTGTGCTATCTGTAGCAACTGGAGGACGAGTATCAGCGTGAACTGGCGCGATCTGAGCAGTTTCGTATTGCGCTGCACTCTCGACTGGAGAGCAAAGGCGAAGGTCAGCGTCTGGCTGACGCACAGGATGCTCTGCGGCAGGCCCAAAGCAGGTGAGGCCAGCAACAGGGTTGGGGTGTGGTGTGCTCCATCAATAGAGAGAGAGGTTAAGATGCACGTTATTTCCGACGCGTCGCGCAATTTCACGTCAATTTTGGCGTATTACTCCAAATTTCAACGTGAGCTACAGGTCACTCGTGTCGTTTTTCGACGCGCGGGCCAAATAACGCGAGCTGAACTTTCGTGTCTCATAAGAAATAATGTGCATCTTAACCTCTCTATTGTCTTGAAGTTGAAACCTAATTCAAGAATGAGACTGTGCGTGTGTGTTGTACACTGGTACCCATAAGCTGATGCCGTCAATCCTTTTTCTGCATCTTGTCCTCACCCACTTACTGAGGTGTGGTGAGCCCATAAGTGGGATCATTTTCACCCAGAGTTTTCGGGATTTCAGGGGGTGTCGGCCGTTGGGTGGTTCAATAGCCAATTGAGTCATCTTTCCAGGATTCCTGTAAGTTTTGAGTCTCTCTGCCTTCTCCCGGGGAGACCCACGTAACCAGTTTTGGCAGTGAGCAAGTACAAGTCTTGTGTTGCAAGAATGAGACTGTGTGTTCTCCATACACTGTGTTCGTGTTCCTTGATGGCAGGCTGGAGCAGACCAAGCTGAGGTGCCGCACCGAGCTCAAAGAAAAGGAGGAGTTCTTGAAAGCGGCGATGAGCAAGATCGCTGAGCACATAGGGCTGTACGAGAACCGGGTCATTGCACGCCTTCAAGGATAACTGCTGCGCCGAGCAACATGTTTTCATACAACTCTTATGTGTTTCTAGTGAAGACCTTCTGGTGTGTGTGTATGTATGTAGCAAGCGGCAGGTAGACAACACTGGCTTGAATTATATTTGATATTCATCTAGAATTGTTGTTTTGAAATTTTCTGTATCCCAGAGTTTTTTTTCTATTATTTTTTGCTGTGACGTAACTGCTCATACATATACACGCACGAGCACACTAGGGACCCGCCTTCACACCCACCTTCATAAAACTCTAACCAGCAAAATCACTGCGACTCTGTATCATACCTGATTTTAAGCATCATCATCATCATCATAGAAACCAAAATAGGGGGAAAAAGAGCCAACGAATCACCATCATCATCATTAAATTTTATCATACTGGAAATGATCCTCATCCTACATGTACTAACAACGTCAACAAAAATAATCCGCTTACACAGCCATAACATATTACTAGCACGCAAGGTGCTATCGTCCAATGTAGTGAGTATGCATGTACTATCACAGTGCCTATTATCCAATGTCGTGTTTCGTTTCGTTGCTGTCCTGCTGCTGCATGGTGATAATCACATCGACCAATGCCACGCTTTTACTAACTAACTAGTGCTTTGTTTACTCTGGCAATTCGTATCAAAAACTAATGTGTATGTGTATGCTAGCTGCATTGCTGCTCTGTGTTGCTAGCTACAATACAGTTGAGAAAACAAACGGCTACCTGTTGCGTGTGAATGAGCTCGGTGCTGTAAACACCTAAAAAGACTGCTCATGACAGGACTGTCAGCGTGAGCTCTTCCTTGATGCTCTCGACGATGAGAAGCGACGTTTCCTTGCAGCTCTTGCCTTCTAGGTTGTGGCTATTGATGGCGACCAGTTGATCTCCGCGGTGCAGCTGTCCGTTAGTATCGGCTGCACCACCACTGACCACTTCCTTGATGTAGATTGGGAAATCGGTGCCGCCCTCGTCACGACCACCCACTATGCTGAAACCGTAGCCTGCATCGGATTTCAGCAGCGTCACCGTGCGAAACTCACTTTGAAAAACGAGAAACACAATGATGAAAACAGCCAGGAATAAGACAATGCAATAGTACAAAGTAGCGAAGGCAAGATAGTCAAGTAGTACAGATTGTACGTGATTGTGTACAGATAGTGAGATACAATGCACAACCAACTGAGTATTAAAGATGCTTACAAACTAATATACTTCTTTTTGAAGTAGTCTTACACAAACTTGAGATTCCCACTGTACTCGACGGCTAATGAAGTTTGCAGGAGATCAAATCCGGTCCGCAAGTACATTGTTGTATTCTGGATGTCAGCAGCAATAGCATCAATGAAGATAGAGCCAGGACCCGCTCAGCCGACGTGTGTGTGTGTGTGTGTGTGTGTGTGTGTGTGTGTGTGTGTGTGTGTGTGTGTGTGTGTGTGTGTGTGTGTGTGTGTGTGTGTGTGTGCAGGAATACTGACACCTATTTAGGCTATTTTAAAGGCACTAACCTTTCTCGCCTGTCCTGCTGTGCAATCTTTTGGGATGTCTTGCCTGGGTCAATGGTGGTCAGGCTGGTGTCTCGCACTACTAGCATGACAACCTCCTCAGCAGAGGCACGCAGCAAGTTGACCACTTGCTCGCGCGTCATGGCCAGCACTTTCTCGTTGTTCACCTCCAGTACACGATCGCCGACCTACACACACACACGATGGCATGACACAATCAACCAGTGCATGACACAATCAACCAGTGCATGACACAATCAACCAGTGCATGACACAATCAACCAGTGCATGACACAATCAACCAGTGCATGACACAATCAACCAGTGCATGACACAATCAACCAGTGCATGACACAATCAACCAGTGCATGACACAATCAACCAGTGCATGACACAATCAACCAGTGCATGACACAATCAACCAGTGCATGACACAATCAACCAGTGCATGACACAATCAACCAGTGCATGACACAATCAACCAGTGCATGACACAATCAACCAGTGCATGACACAATCAACCAGTGCATGACACAATCAACCAGTGCATGACACAATCAACCAGTGCATGACACAATCAACCAGTGCATGACGTCATCAACCAGTGCATGACGTCATCAACCAGTGCATGACGTCAACACATGGCATACTAGTAGCTTGAAAATTCCGGTAACCTGCTCATGAAAGAAAAGGGGATTTGTCAACTGACAACCGCTCTATTCAGTTGCTATTCACAATCTGCGCATGTGCTGCAACTCTTGAATAGAGCGGTTGTCAGTTGACAAACCCCCTTTTCTTTCACATTGCAGTTGTGTGATGTCCACAATTTCCTTATTGGAAGCTGTGTTTGGTTATGGCCAGACAGGACTTGGCATACATGCTTACAACCCCCACATCACACTCCGCAGACGAACGGCACAGGCCCTGATGACCTACTGTATTGTCCGGACTGTTAACGTGAGGCAAGCAAGTAAGAATGCCTGATCCGTCGCAAGAAAGAATTTGATAAGACGCACACCATACCGGATGCAAAACTAAAGGTTTCTCACTAGTCAATGAGTGTCCGCCACATCTCTCTTGCATTAGCACCATGTACAATGCCCACATTAGCACCATGTACAATGCGCACATTGGCACTATACTACGCTACAGTGCAAGTCATGTACAGTACACCGACTATGCAGTGTACACACATGCCACCTTAATGACTCACTTGCAAGACTTGACAACAGGAATCAATGTGGAGTGGAGGTGCACCCAGACAACGCACATGCCCACATTGTGTACACGTACACTCATCCCACATGATGACCTTGTTGGAATGCACAGTCACTACTCCCCACTCTTCCCCAGCCCTGTTCTCCCTAACACAGAGTGCGGTTAGACTGTTTTCACAGCCATGTTAGCTCCCTCAATTTTAGCTCATTTTCTTCCTGTTGAGCTTTTGTTTATTTTGCCCGTACAAGAGGCTTGGGTACATTGAAAAACAAACAAAACAAACACAGAGTACGGTACAGTCTGACCTCGCTTATCCGGTCCTCTTTCATCCGGATCCCTCGCCATCCGGAAAAAGCGTTGATTTCCGATTTACAGCATATGACATGCATACATACTGTGTGTGTGTTCCATTATCCGGTTCCTTAGCCTATGCGGATATTTTTTGTGGAAAACGGATGTGTGCGGTTAAGCGAGGTCTGACTGTACCTGGATATTCTTGGTGGCAGCTGCTGGTCCCTCTGGCTGTACACCGGCAATGAAGATAGGAACGTCACCAGCAGCACTGCCCACACCACCGGCAATGCTCATGCCAAGACTCTGTCCGGCTTTGCGCTGGATCACCACACGACGGGGCTCGTCCCCCTCTTCCCTCTCAACACCTGTGAACGAGATAGTGTGCAAGACACACACATGTACACACACATGCGCACGTACGCACGCACGCACACACACACTCGCAGGAGTAAGACAAGGGAAGTGACTAACCAAACTATCTACAGTTACAGACAATGACATCTACATTCTATAATACCAGAATACACGTGCACAGTGCACACCAGAAATACCCATACACGCCCCCCCCCCCCCACACACACACACACAATGTGTGTGTGGGGGGGGGGGGGGGCGTGTATGGGTAAGCAATCATGTCATGATTGCTACCTTTCAGTACACACATACATGCACGCGTGAGCAAACACACACGCACACGCATACACAGACATGGACAGGCACTTGCCTTCTCGCTGCGTCTGGTCCAGAGTTAGACTGCGGAGTGCACCCATTGGTGGTGGTTTCTTGGCTGCAGATTCAGCAGCAGCAGGTGTTGGTTTAACGGGTGATGTTGCGGCACTGACTGCTGCACTACCGCTGGATGGCTGTACGACAAGAACCACTGTGCCCTGAGCAGACTGCACAGCGAATAGGCAACAGCAAAGGCACAGAAGGTGTCACTTTGAGTTTGGAGAAGGATTTCACAGGGGACTCCAACTATTACTTTCTCACAACACCCATATAGGTAGCTGTCAATGACAGTACTTGAAGTAGTAACGTGTGTACTATTGCGTTTGCTGGCAATCCTAGTTTTTTATGATTCCTTTCAAAGATTCAAGGATGCTAAAGTAGCTTCGACATGCTCCAAACGACCAGCCTTCATACCTTCATCGCTGTTACCGCTTGGGACTGGACAGCTTCAGACATGTCCACACCGTTCACTGACATGATGCGACTGCCCGCCTTCAAGCGGCCATCTTTGTATGCCACACCGTCCATCACCTGAATGAGAGCAGAGTGAGTACATAGCAAGTACACACTACAGAGTGAGTACAGACTACAGAGAGAGTACCGACTACAGAGAGAGTACCGACTACAGAGAGAGTACCGACTACAGAGAGAGTACCGACTACAGAGTGAGTACAGACTACAGAGTGTGTACAGACTACAGAGCGAGTACCGACTACAGAGCGAGTACGGACTACAGAGTGAGTACGGACTACAGAGTGAGTACAGACTACAGAGTGTGTACAGACTACAGAGCGAGTACCGACTACAGAGTGAGTACCGACTACAGAGTGAGTACGGACTACAGAGTGAGTACGGACTACAGAGTGAGTACGGACTACAGAGTGTGTACACACTACAGAGTGAGTGCAGACTACAGAGCGAGTACGGAGTGACTACAGACTACAGAGCAACTATGACTACAGGGTGAGTACATATATTCATGGGATAGGCATGCACATGCACACCACCATCATGACCACTGCAACATTGGGAAGCTGTTGTCCTCCTTGCAAGTAAACCAGAATACGAGCTTGGAGCAGTCAAATGTCGATGTCATTATGAATTGCCATAGGCACATTTGATAGTGCTGATGTCCCCTACATGTGTGAAGTTCAAAAAAAGTTATTTTCTGATGGCACGTGTGACATAACGTTTTCTTACCACATCAGCCACGAAAATAGCCCGTTTGCCCTCCACCGTCCTACACAGTATACATACACATGCGGACACACATACACACACGGACACACACACACACACACACACACACACACACACAAATAAGATACATGGCAAGGCCAGGACAGTTGCCAGCATGCCAGGCAGAACATATCCTTGCCAGCGACACAAAGCAACAACACAATGACAACAAAGCATTCAAAAACACTGTACCTCAGTGCTAGAATGCACATGTACCCATACATCACACATTGTGAAAAGGCAAGTCACTTGTGATACGTACGGATTGGCTCGCTCCACAATACTGATACCGAGGCCTCTGCCGGTCGGCTTGACCAACTCAATCGTTTGTAGCTCTGCGTGGATAGGAACATGCACAGGCACACGCACACACATAGACACACACAGACACACATACACACAGCAGCAGGATTGTCAATTCGACGACAACTCTCCAAAACTCTGCATAGCAGGAGATGCAACATAATGGACTTGTACGACAATTCATTCACAAGCACTCTTTTTTTCGCAAAAACAACCCTACCTTCCATACTGGGTCCACTTGAGCTTGATGGTGCTGGAGATGTGGGTGGTGATAGAAGAAGGCCAGGTGGCAACGTACCCAGCACAAGCTTCACTTCACCCTTTGCCTCCTTCAGCAAACCGATGGCCTGTTGAGAATGTTCACACAGTGGTGGTAAGACAGCACAGAGCAGATCATGAATAGTCCATGTACTGCTCTCTACTACACTAGTGTGGCAGTACATTCAAGTGACTGCTACACTGCTACACTGCTACACTGCTACTCTCAACACAAGAATTCTTTGCTAGACTCAAACATGAGCATACTCCATACAGCAGATGAATTGTTGACTGATCACCAAGAGGCTTTCAGAACAACACCAACATCAGCACCAGCATCAGTGGCAAACATGATCACTATCTGTCCCAGCAATGGCAGTCTGGACTGCATCTACCCCAGGAACAGCATGTGCCAGCTGTCTATTGTCACAGTCACCTTCACAGTCCCAGCCCCAGTCACAGCCCCAGCCCCAGTCACAGCCCCAGTCCCAGTCACAGCCCCAGTCCCAGTCACAGCCCCAGTCCCAGTCACAGCCCCAGTCCCAGTCACAGCCCCAGCCAAAGTCACAATCTGACACAAGACAAGACTACCTACGGATATCTACGAATATCTAGGTGTTCTGCTCAAAAAGAGAGAGAGAGAGAGTGTGCTGTGTCCTCAACTAACCTGTGCGTATGTCAGCTCTAGTGTTGATTGGCCATTAATCTCCAGGACATGATCACCACGTCGAATACGCGCATTCTAAACACACAAGATCGACAACAGATAGTTTGATGAATACAGAGGTTGACAAACTGAGAACCAGTCAGACACACAGTTGTACACATGAAGCCAAGAGAGTAGAGGCTGATTGAGAATCATGCAATGAGTACATGTGGCTAGTAGTGTAGCGTATTTTCAATGTCTACTGTATGCGTACCTGTGATGTCACTGAGCCCGCGGTGATGGATTTGATGAACAAGATCTTCTCGTCTGTCCTGTGCTTACTGATCGCCATGCCCAGGCTACCTGAAGCAGGCTGTAAGCAGCGCACACGGGAATACACACACACACACACACACACACACACACACACACACACACACACACACACACACACACACACACACACACACACACACACACACATACACATAAACACACACACACAGCAGAAAGGCATCAGACTGACTGATCAGATTGTGTGAAACAGAGAGATCATGACAATATCAGATCATGATAAGAAAGCAGCAGCAGCAGGCACAATGTAGCTTACCTTGACCAGTGTCACTTCTCTCAGCTCGTCTGTGGTCAGCTTCAGCTTGGCTACAGGCGCACGGTTGATGGCCGGGGATGCAGATGGTGTGACAGGCTTGGGCTTCCTGTTGTGTCACAGAACAGTAGAAGACAGACGTAGACATCCACAGACATCGGATGCAAACAGATACATGTCTGTACGGCGAGAGTATCAGTCAATACATTCCACTCTGAGAAGGTTTAGAGTTGTTGATCCTCATCCTCAACAGCACCTATTGCATCCTCAACAGCACCCATTGCATCATCTACAGCACTGCACAATGAGAAACTCGGGCAGCACTGACTGTATGTACTTTATGTCATGCTCATGTGTCTCCATGGTAACACACACACACACACACACACACACACACACACACACACACACACACACACACACACACACACACGCGCACATACACATACACACACACATACACATACACATACACACATTCATACACACACACATACTTGCACACACAAACACACGTGCACACACGAACACACGTGCACACACGAACACATGAACACACACGAACACATGAACACACACACACACACACGTGCACACATGTACAAACACAAACAGGTCCATTCGAGCCTCTGCCACATAGACCACGTGCCCAGACTAGTTGCATCCACACAGCATACATGTATGCTATATACATGCACACAGTGTACATGTACAGTGTGTGCATGTACAGTGTATACCGTGTAAGTATGTGTGTATTACCTGGCAATGATGGTAACCATCTTGGCTGGAGCATTTCTCATGAACTCAGACAACTGAGCATGCGACAGATGCAGCGTCTCCGTTCCATTCACCTACACAGCACAGCAGCAGCAACCAGAGCAGTGTCAGAAACTCGGCTTGATAGCATAGCCAGCTCGTCCTAACACGGTGGTAACCTTAGTAACCCTGGTAACCTTGGCTACACAGGGCTTGGCATGTACAGAGAGAAAGCGAAAGTGAGACATGCACATTGGCTGCTAGAGGATGAGTACGGGTAGAAGTTGATAATGTCCAGGGTACTCTATGCAGCCATACAGCATTACCACATGATCATCACTTGTGTCTACTAGGTGTGATACTCACTGTGACAACAACAACAACAACAACAACAACAATAACAACAAGCTAGGTGCCTAGCTACAGCTGGAGCTACTGCTCGCCGCCGCCGCCGCGTACTTTGAGACACGCTCGTTTGTAACATGGGCACTGCAATGTCCGAAGTCACACATTATCTACTTGGTCACAAGGCAAGGAGTATAGACACGTACGTCCACAAGAACATCATTGATCTCCAGCTTTCCTACAGCATTGCTGCCCTCACGGATGTCACCAACAACGATATTGCCTCCTTCAGACGCTAATCCCAACCCTGCAGCAGTGAACATCAGTAGAAGCAGCAGAGTACACATGTCAGCGATTACAAGTTGAATCCAATTATAGATCACACCCCCCATTTTCAAGTCTATCGTATATTTTCATTGTGTTCACTTGAGCAAGAAGTCAAACTTGACTTTAAGTTGCACCTCCTTCTTCAAACTTGGGGTTCCCCACCCCCCACCCCCCTTCCTCAACCTTGGGGTTGTAGAGGGGTTATTCCATTACAGCGTTGAGTATACAACTTGTATCCGTGGAAATACAGTAATCTCTGTAAGCACAATTAGAGCAGTGCAGTGCAAAGGCGAAGGACTAGCAGAACTAGTGTACATACACACATACATCTTAACACGAACACACCTGAACTACTTCCTACACATCCTTGTTCATCACATTATGGGAGAAGAGTACCATCGGAATCGTGAAGGAAATGCAACGTAATCAATTACGATGAAAGACGTTACAAGAGCACTCAATGTCTCGGAATTTCGAATACCCATCCACACATGCCTGCTCACACAAGCGGTGTTGCACACGTGCACACACGCTCACACGAGTGGTATTGCACACGAACACACGCACACGCAAGACTCACCAAGTCCTTGATCGCCCTTCAAGAGCTCGACGAGTTTGAACTCATAGCCGGGAAACGTCTCCTTGTACTTCTCCTGAGCAGCAGCTACAACAATTGCCAAAAACAACAGCAGCAGTAAGTGAGCGTTTGCTCAAGGTACTTGCAAACACACTATCAATGCATACCCGGCCAACATGGACGGTAGGGAATTGCAGTCAGTGAAGGGGCTGTAACTGTTACATTCATAGCATGCATTCCTGTCATGATCCACTTTGCAAAGCCATAATCATCAACACTCATTCAGACACAGGGTCAGAAAGAAATACAAATCTCCTTGAAGTACTAGCCAGAGGTCAAGCAGTTATGCAATTAGTGCCACCACAAACGACAGAGGAACGCCTCCAAGAAACAAGTGTACAGTTCGAGCTATACATGTTAAATTGTTTGGGTTTTTTAGTTGCATTTCTATTTATTGATCACGATGGTATTTTTGCCCGCACAAGAGGCTTGTTGTTGGCAGGATGATCATACCACCACAGGACATTCCCAAATGGGGTAGGAGACCGGGATGGGGGGGGGGGGGGGGGGGGGGGAGAGAATCGGCAATGCAACAGCTGGCAGTAGCCAATCAACAGCCAGTTTACACGTACAACAGATGCTCCCCAATACCAAGGCAAGACTATTGCCACGCACATGAGGATATCATCTGTTGTTCAGGTCACTTTGACTTTGATCCAGGCTTCAGTCACTATGGGGATTCCCCTTAGTATGGTGGCGAGGAGGAGGGGTATAACCCAGGCTTTCAAGCAGGGGTGAAACGTGTACATCCGGCAGACGGGTACTCGCTCGTTTGTCTGAGGCTCGATAGCCTATAGCCTAGGGAGCACTCCATAGATTTTCTGTGCATGTGATACATTGCTGGTAACAGTCCTGCCTTGCATGCATAGTGCACAACTGCCTGCTACTAGTACTGACTACAAGATTACTCTACATCTATCCTGTCACATGTGCAAGACTTAGTACAGGCAGACAGAGTGCTGCACAGGACTCTGGTCACCTGTTAGCTGATAAGCCTAAAAGCTAGTTATAATCACTTTACATGACTGTCTTGTGTTTCCCATGCATGCTACCAGTGTATACTCCGTACTTCTTTGCTAGTTACACCATCATACAGTCATGTACATGTTACCAGAACTATTTTTGTCTGCTGTGTGCCAACTGATACTTCTGTACCCTCCCCCCCCCCCCATTTTCTGCCAACCAAGGTCTTCCCTGAGGAAAGTCATGTCCTTGATTGTTGAGTGTGTATTCCTTCTCCATACTTTCTACATCCGGCTTACACCAAAGATATTCCATTGCCATTGTCAAAGTATTGACATTGTCAGAAGTGAATGAAGACAAAATTAATGAAGCCTTCAGAAGAGTTGAGAAATTTGTGCTGGATGAATTCCTTTTTCCTTTTTTATCCTTTCAGCCAGTACATGTGTGACTTGAAAATAAATTAATTACTATCGAGTACTCGGTAGCTCGCTCGATAGTTTGAATGCTCGCTCGATAGCTTAAAATGATACACTCGCTTCACCCCTGGAACTTTCAAACCAGGTGGGACAATGAAATCAGCAGGACTGATGTACTGTGATGGACTGTGTGATGGACTGTGTGATGGACTGTGTGATGGACTGTGTGATGGACTGTGTGATGGACTGTGTGATGGACTGTGTGATGGACTGTGTGATGGACTGTGTGATGGACTGTGTGATGGACTGTGTGATAGACTGTGTGATGGACTGTGTGATGGACCGCAATGGACCTGCACACCCGTGGCGTAGGTGTAAGTTAGGCTCAATATCACACCAACAAGCAGCAAGCAAGCAGAGCTTGTTGCCAGCGGTGCAGAGCAATTGCGTGCGTGGATATCCAGAGATATGGCGGCGGATGCATGTTAGTGCAATTGTGTAACAGCATTAACTAAGCAATGTGGAGGAGTGAAGCCACATGTATGTTGGTATACGATAATCATTTAGGAATTAGTAAGTTAGCAATACAGTTGGGAATAGAACGCAAGTAGATAGAAGCATGCAGCATTGCAGCTAACCCAATGTCGCTGTTTGTTCAGAATTGGCATCCTGATTGGCAGCGTCCAGCCGCTCCTGTTCCTCTCGTTTCAAACGTTCCTTGCGGGACTCCCTCACGGTGGCCGGAAGGGTTTGCAGCACCAGAGTGACAGGATTGCTGGCCGCACGAATAGCTTCCACCGCCTCCTGGTGCGAAGCATTCTCCAGACTGACCTCGCCAACCTAACACAGTGTACACATACGCATGCACGTGCACACACGGACACACACACACGGACACACGCACATGAACACATGCACACGCGGACACAACCACACCGGTAAAACCATTTGTCACTGCACATAGCGGGCATGTAGCTGAAACATACTTCTTGACCTGTTCTTGACACTGTACATACTCTCAATGTCCACACAAGGTACATGTACATGCGGCCACGTCACACCACACTCTCAGCCAGTGCAATGTCACAGTATTAATGTTTCTAGATCGAATAAGTCACTCAAACCAACGGACGTGACAGTCACAAACATGTAAAACACACACGCACACACACACACACACACGCACACACACACGCACACATACACACACACGCGCGCGCACACACACACACACACACACACACACACACACACACAAGGCCATAGCCTACCTTCAGCAGGCGGTCCCCAGACTTCAGTTGGGACGAGGCACCGGCAGGACTGTCGGGCAGTACATGCTTGATGAATATGCCCTTGACGCGTGTCATGGTGCCGTCCTCGTCTTCAATCTCGGTGTTGCCACCGACGATGCTGATGCCGAGACCTCCGGACGGCATGCGCGGCACTTCCACCGTGATTGGATCGCTGTACACACTCAGACGCGGCAGTCGCGGGCTGCTCGTGTTGGACTTGCTGCTGCTTGCTGACAGGCCACCTTTGCTAGCAGCAGAGGCGGCGACGCCTGTGGCTGCAATGGCTGCGGCACCCTCACCGGATGATGACACTGCACACACCAACATGATCCAATGGAAACTGAAATAGCTACTTGAGTAGTAGCTACACAATATCACGATAATGCTAGTAATAGCTACTTCAGCCCAGGATTTAAAAAGAAGGAATTAAGGTCAACAACTTACACGACTGGATCTCTTAGAGGCACCACTGCAGAGCATACATAGACAATTCCATGGGAATATATTGTACCATACCGGAGTTATGAGGCCACACCGTTGGTACGCAATTGTCAGAGACCATGCATGCAATTGTACGAGGAGGGATGGCATAGAAGTGGGATTCTCCGAGCTCATGAATATCATGCAAAAAACACAACACGACATTTTGGATTCTCGGTGTTGTTAGAGGGTGATGGGGAGACAATGGTAGATGCTGGATGGGATGTGATCCTCCTTGACGACGTATTCAAATAGTTAGCTCCTGCTCAACCGCATCCACCGTCTCAGCATAAGAAACAGTAGCGGTCATGGATTGATCGGATTCGCAAGCAAAACGTCTGCTGGCTCCGTCACCATGGTTATGCCAAGTCCTTCAAGTAGTGCACTTCAACAGTCGACTTCACCCGCTGGGTGAACGGCTAAACCGGCTAAGGAGAAGAACGAACTAAGATGTTGCGACATCGGCGGTAAGTTGTGAAGAAAATGTCTGCTCCAAACGTTGCACTTTCTTCACTACGGAGGAGAACCTTACCATGAACCCATCTAAACTAATCCGAGGATGCTGAACACGATGGTGACACGGTCTGCTTGACATGCAAGGTAGCGGAGATGCTGGAAATACACTTTGAAAACTAAAAATACTGGGTGATATCAGAAAAATGATGAACCATGACATGTGACACACCATTGGAAGGCTATTCATCTATGCTTGCCCATCATGCAAAATCGAAGGTGCTTGGCACACAAAAAATATCATGTAGCCAGGCGCAGAACCTGAAGAGAAAACTTGTGCCATGCACACCACCCATGTACCATACATCCGGCCGCACAACAAAGGATTTCGGGCTTTGGGTCACGTGATTGAAGTCACAACTACCAATTTGTAGCATCCGCTATTATGCACGGCACGACTAAAGAACTTCTAGAACACGAGTCGCATTGTTCAAACTGATACACGAGTAGGTAGGTCTGCATTATTTACGAGTATCCGTGGCACTCTCGTTCAAACTTACCATCCCCTACTGCAATGCCATGACGGGGTCCTGGAACAAACGTCACGCTGCACACACACAAGGAAAAAATACGATGGGCAAGCATATAATTATTGCGATACGAACAGAGACTCGGCTGTAGAGAAATGCTGAGCCATGTGGTGTGTTCAGCGTGTATACGGGCACGACGGTGTTGTTAGGATCACAGACAGGACACACAGGAAACACAGGTTTTTCGGTACACGTAGTTGTAGTTGGTGCGAGTTGAAACTTGCCAGGCACAGTGATGCCTATGTACAAGCTAGTACAGCACATGTACTGGTCTGGTATGCAACAAAGTGTCCAGTGTTCTGTGTACATGCAGTCTAGTACTTATAGTGCACTGTACACTGTCACGAGCTAGCATGTGAATCCTGCTGTACTGCTGTACTGCTGTACTGCTGTACTGCTACTTACAGCATGTGTGACTCACTGCTGTACTGCTACTTACAGCATGTGTGACTCACTGCTGTACTGCTACTTACAGCATGTGTGACTCACTGCTGTACTGCTACTTACAGCATGTGTGACTCACTGCGACTTGCATTGCGAAGGGCAGCCCTGAAAGTCACACAAGGATACACACGTACACGTACATGTACACACACACACACACACACACACACACACACACACACACACACACACACACACACACACACACACACACACACACACACACACACACACACACACACACACACACACACACACACACACACACACACACACACACACACACACACACACACACACACACACACACACACACACACACACACAGAAGGGCAATGGAATATTCGATCAAGTCATTTCCAAAATGTATCATGGAAAGCCGGAAAGATACACTAAAAAAGGAGACGATGTGTGCACACACCACATCACCACATTTTGTGCAATAACTACACAAGAGCAGCCGCGAGCCGACAAAGAAGAGAGCATTACCTGGCAAGGCTGGGAGAGGTGTGCTCCAGCTTGACATGGTTGACGGCCACCAAGCGGTCACCAACGGCCAAGCGTCCATCCTTGGCAATCATACCATTCCTCAGCACGGCCTTCACCAACACACCGTCCCTACCACGCTCCACATCAACATCCAGGCCTGCAGAACCAGGTGTTAATAAGAACAGAAACCAAAGCAATATTGTTCCTAAAAGGAAGTCCTTGACGAGACAAGACCCCAGTGCAACAATCTTTGGAGAAAATAATATGAAAACCAAGGGCAAATACGCTATAATGAGGGTAGTGTAATGTCTTTAGTCAATGCAGCTAAGAAAAGGTGACCACATGGTCGTGGAAACAAAGATAGCCACGGCTGACATGCACACGCACGCATGCACACACAGACACAGACAGACACACACAGACACACACACCTTGACCTTGATACACGTTGCCTTGATAGGTTACACGGTCCCCGTCAGGGGAGAGGGGTGGAAGAGGCTGAGGAGCAGCACTTTTGATGGCGCACTAGATGGTGACGTAGTCGGAACGTCCTTTGGCAAGGGCACTCAAACGGGAAGTCGGCCCTTTCCGACACTGTCCTACACACACGCACACGCACAGAAGGAAATAGTCTTACCTAGCTCCATATCAGCATAGTCGACCGGTACACTGATGGTCTGTGAATCAGTTGTCTCCACCTAACAGAGCAAGCGCACACAAGCACACAGACAGACAGACAGACAGACAGACAGACAGACAGACAGACAGACAGACAGACAGGCAGGCAGACAGGCAGACAGGCAGACAGGCAGACAGGCAGACAGGCAGACAGGCAGACAGGCAGACAGGCAGACAGGCAGACAGACAGACAGACAGACAGACAGACAGACAGACAGACAGACAGACAGACAGACAGACAGACAGACAGACAGACAGACATGCAGCAAAGTAGAGCACACTGTTATACTACACACAAACACTCACCCACCCACACAAACCCACACAAATACAAACACAAACATACAAACAAACACAAATACAACCAAACAAACACAAACACTCACCGTGCTGGATGATTCAGACTGCGTTTCCACCGGATCGGCAATGCGAAGGTACACTTTACCCTGCGGCTGGTCTTTGAGAATGGGCAGCGCCTGGTCCAGTGACATTCCCTTCAAGTCCTTGCCGTTGACATGCAACAACTTCTGATTCTCTCTCAACACACCATAGGCGACAGACTTAGGGACAACAGCTCGGATCAACACAATCAGCTCATCCTCATTGTCCGGGTGCTACAGAAAGGTGAGAATGGGCAGAGAAACAGGTGGTACATGTATAGCCATTAGCCAGTGCTGGGGCATTCAACTAGTGAAAAACTAACACTTGCACAAGGTCTCACTGGAACCGACATGGAGAACTGTCCACAACAATTGCACTTCAATGATAATACCAGGCAGAACTGATCACTCCTGAAAAAAAGGAGGGATAGATGCAAGCATGAATAGATAAGTCAACGGACACGTATGTTCACAAACACAAACACACACACGCACACATGCACCCCTCCCCCTCGTACCATATAGTCGAGAATACTGAATCCCAGCCTTCCAGTCTCGTCCTTAGTCAAGGTGACATCACGCGGCTCGTGCCACGCCTGCACTGGAGAGCGCACCTTCTTGTTCGAACTTGCTGCTTCGGGGGTGGGTGTTGGCGTGGCTGCAGCTGCCACTGCTGCTGCTGCAGCCACTGTGGCTACCTCAGAGCCAGTTGCTTCTTTCTCCGGCCGTGCAATGACAAGACGGAATTTCGGCGGCGCCTGGCGTAAAAAGTCAACGGCTTGATCATGATCGCAGGCGGTCAGGTCATTGCAACCAGTCTGAAGTTAGGTACAGAAACACCGACATGTACACACACAAACACACACACACACATACACACACACACACCATGTACCATCATGCATACGCCCCTCGCAAGAGAAGCACGCAAATCTGCAAATGCACTGGATGTGCACCCACAGATTATCTCTTATAGCAACGATAGCGAACAAGATCTGAATGAGACGGATCAAGACTTGCGCCAGATAACTGTCTAATCCACACAACTGGCGAAGCCATGTGAATCGACCACCAATGCACACCTCGTCTACACCACACGGAGTACATCGGCATAAAACAGCCAAGACAGTTACCTATGCACACCCTACACTTGCTGGGGTAACCAGTATAGACAGCACGCTGCTTTAGACAGCACACACACACACACACACACACACACACACACGCACAGCGCACATGTAAGCACACACACACCATCAGATAACCTTTCTGACACGACGTGCACCAACTTCAGAGCACTAAGCCATGCATGCAGACAAGAGATAACAACATTCACAACACCTGGGCCATAGCACAGGGATTTCAGGTGCTCCAGGCAAATAGGGCGCATGTACTTGACGGGAACGACGGACTTATTGACAAATACAACAATTTCCACTTATTGGGCGGGTGAACTGAATTTGACATACCCAGGCTGCACCGGCCGAATCAAATGCCACGACCCTGTACATAGCTAGTCTTCATGCAGCATCATAGCTTAGACATACCTCAAGCAGACGGTCGCCATCTTGTAAGAGCCCGCTGCGTGCTACAGCACCTTCGGGGTTGATCATACATACTACGTGTGTGCGCTGACTGTTCTCTGTGCAGCGCACACAAAGAGTGTCATGTACATGCAACACACACAATAAATACGGTGGAGGTGCACACACACACACAAACACACACACACACACACACACACACACACACACACACACACACACGCACGCACGCACGCACGCACGCACGCACGCACACACACACACTCACGCACACACGCACGCACGCACACACACACGCACGCACATACACACACAGTGCTGGGTGGTGCTTGGTTGTCGCGCGTTGCGTTTTCGACCAGTGTGGTGAGGCGAGTCTCGCGTGCCTCAGCCGCTTTCATCTGCTGCTGCATCAAGGCGAGCAGGGATACGATTTCAGCACTGATTGGGGAAATTCCAGGTTCCGCCATCACGACAATTCTACAAATTCTACAACTACAAGACACTTCTGCTACACGATCGATCGTTTGAAGATAAAAGGCTACAGAATTCACGGACAACTACAGGCTGTCAAATATTCCGTACTCAGGTTACTAGTAGTTCACTGCGCCATGTTAGGTTCGGTAGACAAGAGACAAGTAGTTTATTGGTTAGAATATACGAAGTAGAAAAACTGATAAGATTCAATCTGTAAACGACAGAGAAGACCTTCAAAGATATGCGTGCGTGCATACACAGTAGAGCTAAAGTTGTACGGCATTACGTCATAACATAACACACACAGACAAACGTACCTCCCTCGCCGCGGCCTTCAATACCCATGCCAAGACCGCCAGTGTCGGGGTCCTTCTCCAGCCTCACAACCTGCACACAAGAACAAACACGTACGAGGTATCTACCCGCTGTAGACTAGATACCCAATGCAGGAGACAGCTAACGGTGTCAGGCCTCACTAGTGCAAACGACGAGCTAAAATGGAACCGTACTGCCAGTCATGACAAGAGACACGGACGTTCAATGTACTAGTGCAGAAATATTTACAACAAGCCAAGAAGAGACGGCAGCCATAGCCTTAAAAACGACAACTACCACCCTGCTTTTATGAACAGAAACAGCGTCAGAGAGAACACACGTTAGTGACGTTACAGCATTGACGATGTGATGCAGTGCAACCAGCACAGTGTTCGCTTATGTTCCCACGCAAGTATTCTTACCAGAACCTTCTCCCAGGGCAAAATGCGAGGCTGCCATTTCGCAATAAGCTCTGAAGACAAAGAAGCAGACAGACAACCAGTGCAAACAAGTGCAAGCCAGCATGACTCATCTACACATAGAGGCCCAACTCAGGCATCAACTCACACCGAAATCCATCAGCAGCAATAGTACAAGAAACGTTTGCAGATAACGTCAAGGCGATCAGAGAAAGAGGAGCACGCAAAGAGAGGAAGAATGTTGATGAAGACACCGTCCGAGTCCTTACCTTCGTCACTGGGGCTTTCACGTACTGGATGCAAACCAGCTGCAGGAAACAAACACACAAGCACACAACTGTCAGATGAAAGAATTGACACTTCAAACGATGGCAGTTCACAGGCATACACATGACCCGAAGCACATACACATGCAAGCACAAGAAAATGGATGTGGGAAATAAATTCAAAAAACGATTGGAGATGCAATGGAGTTGTGAGACATGCTCATGCTAGTAGCAGGTCTGGTGGTATGGTGGTATGCTGCAGGTCTGGTGGTCTGGTGGTATGCTGCAGGTCTGGTGGTCTGGTGGTATGCTTCAGACCACCGCTGAAGTTACCCACAGCAGTAGCAGCAGCACCACCACCACCACCAAAAGCAGCAACAGCACCACCACCACCACCACCACCACCACCACCAACAGCAGCAGCAGCACCACCACCACAACCAGCACCAGCGGTAATGTCCCACCTGGGATGCGGAGCCGTCTCTTCAGCTTCAACAGGGTTTTCCTCTGCGTTGCCTTCAACAGCTTCAGGGACTGACCATTCGACTTATCCACCAAGGACTGGCCATCCACCTAACCGTACACAAATACAAAACAATGTAGGAATCAAAACAGACAATTTACCCAACTACGAATTAGTAAATCCAGCCTTAGACAGGCACATGCCCCATGCTCAGGCTGCTCACACCTTGCACATGCCCCATGCTCAGGCTGCTCACACCTTGCACATGCCCCATGCTCAGGCTGCTCACACCTTGCACAATACCCATCTACATGTAGCAACTTGTAACACATTTCTTAGGACTTCTGCAGAACCTTTTTCATTTGTACTTCGTTGGAGTTCACGTTGCTGTAAAACTTCAACCAGTACAATACTGCCGGCCGCTTAGCAAACATACTGTATCGAACCAGGTGAGGGCGACAAGCTAACTATTAGGGTGTGAATATCTGTAAGAAAGCATAGGGTATGTTGGAATACAGAAGTTGGTGTGCACAGCAACACACCTCAACAATCTGATCGAGCGGGTGAACGTCACAATCCGCTGCTGACGATCCCGGAATGACATGCTTCACAAATATACCCTGTACGTCTGTACCAACAACACACACAATGTGCCAACATGCACACATACACATACACACACACACACACACACACACACACACACACACACACACACACACACACACGCACACACACACACACACACGCACACACACACGCACACACACACACACGCACGCACACACACACACACACACACGCACACACGCACACACACACACACACACACACACACGCACACACACACACGCACACACATACACACACACACACACATACACACACATATACACACAGAAACACACACACATACTATTACATCCATCAAAGAAATCAATTACTAAGTAGTCCATATCCATTGGTAGTGAATAGCAACAGATAGAGAGAACAAGTTCAAACCTGAGTTCTATACAAGTCTGTCAGACCTATACACATAACAACGACAACAGATTTGATAGGGAATCCGAATGGACCTCGTGCATAGCAATTCAACAATACCAGGAGAACGGTATTCACGATATCGCAATAATTTTTTTAATTTCACGGTTTGCGGGACACTCGGCTAGAGACCGACCTTTCCGCATCCGTAGGAACGCCACCACCCGTCAAGGATCAAGGCACAGATGTAGCACCTAAAGCGGTGGGAGCTGAGTACATTAGACCTACCACCAAAGTGGTCAAAAGAACGACAAAAGGCGACAATCCCATTGGCTGCATCGATTCTTCCCCAACCTATGATATGGCAATAGGCTTGTAACAGTGCGTTTAGTATTTACCTCCAGTGCCTACATAAGCGGCAATGGTCAGTCCCAGACCAGTGGTACCCTTCTCCAGTTCTACCGTGATGATCTCAGATGTCACCTCGCCATCGGCCTCCTGAGAAAGAAGACAAAACACCAATACGGCCATAGTTGAGGAGATCTCACACACAGTCAGTGCACATGTATTCAACAATAACATACACACTACTTACTGTAAATCATGAATATGTAACGAACAAGTAAATCTAACGAGTTAACGAGCAAAGATTTATCGTTATTTTAAAATTCGTTACCAAAAGTCGTATGATTTGGGCCTCGCACGATTGAAATCGATCATTTCACATTATGGCATGCAGCGCGTGTTCAACGGATCGTAACTCAGTCAATTCTCAATGGAATTCAACAATCAAAAGATCTAGATGATAGCAGAGACGCTCAGCAGTCGGCTCAAACAATTCCGAAGTCTCTCAGATGATTTTTGACGAAGCCGCAGGAGATCGTTAATTTGAATATGATACGCTCTTACGCTGGATAAATTTCATTTTCTTTATTCTCCTGACATCGAGGTATACTGTGATGGACTACAATGAATGTCCTTGACGAGCATTCCTAGTATTATTGCATCTGTCTGAGAAAATCGTTAACTTTTCAAACCGTTAAAACCTTCGAAAATCAGAAAATCGTCAACTTTGCGGGTCGTTGAGCCGCGCCAAGCTAAAAAGTGGCTTAGCGTTTTGCCAACAAATCGAGAAAATCACCAAAACGTCACAGTCGGCAAAATTCTACTCGAGCGCAGTCGCGAAAATATTCACTTTCGAGCACTCTTTGAACCTTTCAAGTAAAAATAGTTTGCAAGTGGAGAAGAAGAAAGAGGCCTTTTATTTTTGAGCAACACTTCTTCAGTGTTCCCTCTTTCATCGTTGTGGGGATTTCTTGCCCCTGCCAGAGATCGTAATGGAGCGTTCTGGAGAATGTGGAGGTGAGCAGGATGACACTCTGTCTCCGTGTGCGCCCAACCCCACTTGACGAGGAAGATTCGCTCATTCATAGTGGCCGTGTTTCTCATCGTGGCCACGACTAGAGCGGCTAGTATAGCTATGGGAAGACGTGTACAAGCCGTCCGACTATCATTCTGACAAGCTGCCTAGTGAGTTGGCTCTTGCTGCGATGTTTCACTTTGTTTCGGCACCTTCAAATGTTCATGACGTGGCGTACTGTATTCCAAAATTTCCTCATTTCAAGGCCAATGGTGCCACACGACGAAGCGACGAATTGACTCTACCTGTAAGCATTATCGTGGTGCCTTCTACTACTACCTGCACCAGGGAAGGAGAATGACATGGACTAGGACGGACAAGGAATCAGTGCCGCTTTTTAGCGATGTGCTGTCTGCTGGACCTACACGTACGTGCAAGGGACGGATGGAGCTGGATCTCTGGCACAACACTACGAGCTACATGAAAGGATTAATTCATGTTGGCATAGGTGATCGGAGAGAGTAACGGACTGTCTTGGTAAGACTTAGATGCGACGTATCCCAGCCCAGCGAAAATATAGTCACAGACTCACAACATCATTGAAGGATATGAAAATCCGTGTTGCGAGAAGAAATGACATGAGATACATAGATCAATTATTTATTCTTTCTTTGGATCTTCTAATTAGAACACAAATGCTTGTTCTTCTTGTATTGCTTCCACACCTGCTAAGCTTTGTCTTCACTTGGTGTCCCATGATTTTGGGAGTTTGGGCCAGTCTTCAAATCCTTAGTGTCATTGATACCAGGTATGCTGTGACATGTGCGCAATGTATACGTATTTATGGCACATATACATTTCAGATGGGCACCAAAATTTTCCTGATGGAAGTTGGATAGGTAGACATCACTTTGGCATGGAAAAAGAAATTTCCAAAAATTATGCCTAAGGCCAAGTAAAAAAAAAAGCTAGATGATCGTCCCCGTCCGCCCCAGTTTTTGTCAGCGCCCCAAGAAATATTTTATTTTTTAAATCGTGAGTTTTACTATATGGACCACATACTACTAGTATATCACAACGTCAGTATCGATCTGCTGAAGAAAGAAAAAGAAAAAAAGAAAAAAAAAGAAAAAAAGAGAAAAAAAACCTTGATGTTGTTGTGTACACTGTGTGCATGAGAGGGTAAAAAGTAAAAAAATAAAAATAAAATCCTCCCGCCCTCCCCGATTTTTCCAAAAAAAAGGACGATCATCTAGTAATTTTTTTTACTCGGCCTAAGCCACCTTTTTGCTTGGCTCGGCTCATATGATTTACAGTATGCATGCGTGTACATGCACAAACACGCACATGCACACACGCGCACATGCACACACACACACATATATATATATACACACACACCACACACACACACATACACACACACGTTACCTTTCTCATCAGCTCAGCCATAGGATCCTGGCCAGTGACAAGACGAGCAATCTTCACGTTGACATCCGTTCCAGAATCATTCAACAGCTGCTGCACTTGATGAAACGACATCTTGGTTACGGTCTTCTTATTGATCTCAAGAATACGATCATCAACCTGAATACGACCATCCTGGACGGCATGAAGAACACAGTCACAGATTCATATTGCCACTACATGTATATCATGGTATATATATGCAATGTACTGTAGAGGGGACGGTTTCAAATAGGACACCGGTTGCAAACCGGAACGGACTCAATATTCACTTTCTCTCTTGGTATTTTGATTAGAAAACATAATGTCACAGTGAGACTACGATGTGTTATACTCCGAGCCAAAATTTCATGGCTCTGCGATGACCAGAAGCGCCATATCAAGCAGGTGAGTTTTTGACGTGTTGCTTCGCACTGCGACTTGAGTTTTACGACTTTCGAAAAATCAACTTCTTGTCGCAGGTAAACAGCGGCTCGCCTCTCGCCAATAAAGCACCGCATACCAATCAAAACTAACGGAAGCACACACAAGGCTTATTGTTACTCTGTACTGGCTGTCGTGGAGCGATAGCAATTACCTAATTTCAGACCCAGAGTGAATTTGACGGGCACTCTAAAACGTGTCCGGTTTGAAGCCACCTCTGATTTGAACTTTTTTGAAGCGAAAAATTGGGCAACTTGGAGGCAATGGGTCAACACAAAGGAGTGGCTCAGTTCGATTGACTCTGGCCCCAGAGCAAACTTCAACATGCCAGTTTACTTCCACAAACATATTTCGAGTGAAAAATCAACGCTGATGATCGGTTTGGGTCTATACAAATTTGGCTGTCAAAACGTCCCGGTATCGAGCCGTCTCCTCTACATGCATTCCTGTGCCTGTTCATAGTCTACATACTAGATACACCTATCAGGCGCACACACACACGCACGCGTGCGCACACACACACACACGCACACACACACACACACGCACACACTGTGAACAAAACCAGGTCTTCAACAGCTGACCGGGCCCTACAAAATCCTCCAACATCCTCCAACATCCTAGCCCCCTGGGCTCCACAAACTGTCACACACAATAGTACAACAAGAGATAATGCAGTCACTTCCTTACCTGATACGCCAGTCCACCAGGAGCAATACTCGCTACAATAACATCGTTGGGATCAGGGCCGGGCCGGATGGTGAAGCCCAAGTCGTCACTTGCATTGGCGCGAGACAGACTAACTGACTCGAGGTGCCGCCAATAGCCACCCTACAGTCACACACACACACACACACACACACACATACACACACACACACACACACACACACACACACACACACACAAGACAAATACGGCGCAGAACTGGTCATTGTCTCACTCAGCCAGTGCTAGCTAGCTAGCAGCTAGCACCAGTCCTGCCGAGCCCGGTGGTCCCACTGTTAAGCTTGATCAGATTCCTATACATGAACCATACATGAACCATACACGCACTGCAGCACTCCACACCCAACACGCACTGTAGCACTCCATACCCAACGCGCACAGCTGTACTCCATACACAACAAGTAGCAGCTAACAGGGGCTGAATGCATCCACAAAAATAACCGGTGACGACGTGAAAATGAGCGCCAAACAATAATTGCACTGTGTTGACAAGTGGCTGGCAGCATTTAACAACCCAACCCACCAACTAATGATATAACGACACAGGAAGTGGTAACAACAATTTCTCTGGAAGCTGCAAAGTGTTACTTTGGCTAAGCCGGGATGAGAACGGAATTTATACGTCTTCACGTCATGTATATGTACCTGAATTGGCTTTGCCGGCCCAAAATTCAAGCGATCACCAGGCAATGTCCACACCTCCACCACGCACATACATACCACGCACAGAGTATGAATTAGTTTGTTTTGCTTCCAATAAGGAGTACAATCTAGTCATGATTGTATACAGTCAACTTCGCGTATAACGACACTCGGCGGGGCATCAGAAAAGTGTCCTTATTCGCGAAGTGTCGTTATACCCGAAGTCCCATTGTATGTATTACAGTTGGATGGGACTTTGCTCTGGGCATGGAAATTCTGTCGTTATTCGCGAATTGTCGTTATATCCGCAGTCGTTATTAGCGAAGTTGACTGTACATGTAAGACTGAAGTAGTCCCACCCGGTCGAGTGTTCACTGTGCAGTGTCGTTACAGCTTCTGTCAAATAACTATTTACGACAAATTTTCTAGATAACACCTACACAAGAGAGATTGGAAGCTGTGTCGCAACTCTTGAGTTTCACGTATTACTACGATCATCAGATAACACCTAGAAAATTTGATAATATTCATATTAAAGTCTGAAGAAACAATTGACCACCGGGACTCAAAGCAGGGACGTTTGCTATAGGCCAGCGACAGTCTAACCACTGAAATATGGTGCAGCTGATAAAAGTGATAATATTATGAAAATAAAAAAGTTTTTGCCATGCACTCATGTTCACTGGACGACCAGTAGAACAACACACATTATGCATTGCTATTAGTGCTAGCACTAGCAGTACCTCAGAGAGCGGAGAGTCGGCAACAGATGGCGGTCGTCTCGCCATCCACAGATCAATGACTCCAGTGGATCCCTGCAGCGCTGCCACCGCGTCCTTGTGCGCGTCAGGACCCTTGCCGACGACAGTCGTACCCACTGCCACCACGCGATCGCCAGCCACAAGGTTGCCCTCTCTGTAAAAATCCACCATACACACCCACACACATTCATACACACACACAATCATGCACACATTCACACATAGCAGTCACATACACAGTATGCCAACATCACCACTATCAACTCACACCCCACACAACAATACAGGTAGTCCTCAAGTCACACGACCATAATTTCAGTCACATGCCAATGCTGATGTCACATGATCATATCTCTAAAGGTCACGTGATCAAATGACCGTATTTAGGTCACATGATCAACTGCACAACACAGCATAACTAACATAACTTACAGCGCATCACTAGTACCGGGGAAGACATCCTTCACTAGCACACCACCTTGCGTTGCTGCCAGGCCAAAGCCCAGGGGATGTTCGGGTCCCTTGTCCAGACGAACACGATACACCTCACTGCCGTCCGCTTCCGACGCCACCGTCGTGTCAAAATCGTCCGGATACTCGGGCTCTAGATGATACACCAAACACAGGTTACATCAACAACAGCATACAGGAAAACCTCAGTTTAAACCTGTCAATGCGACCAGTCTGGTAAGGCGACCACCTGTCCAATTAGACCACTACAACCAGGACCAAGGGATGAGATTTCCAGTCAACTGACCCTGGATAAGGAGACCACCTGTACACGGGGACAACATTTGTAAGGTCCCTTGAGCAGTCATCTTAGACAGGTTTCACTGAACATAGTATTACGTTGCATGCATACACTGCCAATATTTTCCAAAATTTCGGCAATAGACCAATGTAACAAGCAGTTTTTGGCAATTGCCCAAGGTCATGAACGAACAGACTTCCCCGGCAACACTTACACACTCCATGATTGGCCATCAGCAAAACAAGACCGCATCAAAGTAAAGTGACAAAATCGGAGACATTTGCCGAGATGCGGTGAGCATACTACATGATACCCCACCCAACTCACCCACAACATCAAAGAGCTGTTGTATCTCCGGCGCGGGGGACTCGTTTCGTTCCTGTATCTTGGACGGGACGGTAAGCTCCTTCAGGGTGGCCGACTTGAACACGTCAATGAGCTCCATGATCTCAGCTTCTCCATTGGTATCATTAGCCGCCACCATGCGGCTGTGCAGCTTGCGCAGCAGAGCCAAATGCTCGTTTGCCTCATCTGTAGATCAGAGTGGGAAATCATAAGGAGATGCTAGCCTTAAATCGTGCATTGCACTGAGACGGACAGTCTCCAGAATCAGCAGCATGGCTCCAGCAGTCTTAGAGAGTATTCTACAGGATTAGGATATGTGACAACACCATTGTGTGCCGAAGAGTGCTATGCACTATGCAGTCACACTGCCCGTGGCTGGGTGTGTGTGGACTTGAGATTGGCCAACCGCAAGCGCGGACACACACGTACACACACACACACGTACGCACCACGTTCACGGGCAACGCCTGTGATTTTCAAGAATTTCATTTGCAAGCATCCATCTACAGTTGAACATCGATTATCCGACCACCTCTGGGCAGACAACTGTCAGGCGGTGTTCAGATAAGGCAAATGTTCCGGATAAGAAAACACACTGTAAATACATGTACATGTACATTGTAAATAGAATAGAGTGCTACTTTTCAAAATTTTCGTATTTTTTGAATGGCTCACTACATGCACAGTGCGTACTCTACGGCACGTGCGCCCAAAAAAACTGTTACGGATAATCGAATGGTCGGATAGTCGATGTGCGGATAATCGATGTTCAACTGTCCTGGCAACGGCTGCCAAATATTTAAATCCGTCCACATGATCGTACACCATGGACGTGGTACACAGCTGGTCCGCTCCCTGCCATAGCACAGTCACTGTGCACTACTCCCTGTCATAGACAGTGCTGTACAAAGTTCAAACGCAGTACAGACAGACAGTGACTGTAGATCTACATGACTGTACTGACTGAGTGTCACTGTCAGTCCTGAGACTGAGTGAGTGGCTATGTCACATAGTACAGTATGATTGTGCAGACACGGAAGATAAACAGGAACGCGGAGCCGGAGGTCACTCATACCAAAGGCAAAGGAAATCCAAACGTTCACTGCAACTTCAGGTCCTGGCCTTAGGCTTAGCTGCTAGGCCTAGGCTATAGGCCATTGTAGACGCACCATACCATGTCTAATAACTGCCAATGCTGGATTTTCTCATTCGGCTCAACATAATAATAATTATGTTATTGTACAACGCGTTACACCCACTACACTGTAAAGGCAAACAGCAAAGTATTGCATTTTCTGTAGTCCGGCAGTGCTGTTGTCTTCTCGACCTTGGTCTGCTGTCGGAGAAGCTACAAACACTGAAACAGCGAGTCCGCAGCGAGGACGCCTACTTTCCAGTTCCCAAGATTTCACGCGCCTCAATTCAACTCACCTTGCCCTATGTCGAGTTGAGGCATTCTGGACTTTGCACCGGCTTTGCAAGAACCCGACCAAAAACTGCACGAAACCTTTCAGCTTCACTAGCAACTACACCCTACAGCGGAGTGCACAGGGGACGACAAGACAGCGGTTAAAAGTCTGAAGCGGCCCACAAACAGCAGATTGAAGAAATGAGTTCCAACAGGTTCTCCTCAGGTGGTTTTGTAGGGAAGAAAAGCGGCGAAAACGGTGTTTACGGACAAGCTGTTGACTGCAGCGACAGTGGAATGTTTTGGAGAGAAGATGTCGCCAGCACGGACGCCAACTAACCTGGCGCAGATAACACTCGTAGATCTACTCAGCAGCAGTCCAAGCTCGCATTTGCAAAGAAGTTGCCTACCTCCTACATGTAAACGAGCGCTAAACTAGAGTAGAGCCTAGAGGCTACGTCCGAAGGTGCCAGGGCGTCGTGTCGCTACCGACCGTCCGTAGCGACTACGACTCGACTACATACAGACGAGTCGAGTATGGCTGATACCGGTACGCCATATATATCGCATATGCGCAGCATACTGACGCAGCGACGATCCCGAGTTTCAAAGCGTTTCAAATACGTGTACAATCACGTAGACTGAGCTGAGGTAGTGAGTAGACTCTACAACTACTCAGTAAAATTACTTACACGTACAAGCTGGAATGCGGAGGCGCACTTTTCGTGTGATCGGCCGCGGGGGTGTTCCTCACGTGCCGACTGACGAGTCTACAAGTACAGATCTGCTAGTTGTGTGAGGTGTGAGGGCCAGGGCTACAGCTAAAGGCCGATTCACAATACAACTTTCTGCGACGCGACATGCGACTTGCGACGCATGCGACGAGCTGCGACAGCGACACACGGTTCACAATATTCTTCATGTTTGCGACATCCTCATGCACAAGTAGTAGTAGTACTATGCACGTGCACTGCACGTACACTGCACGTGCACCCAGGGTCGAAACTGTACTCCATTTGTGTATGTCGCGTGTCGCATGTCGCAAAAGTTGAACTTTCTTCAACTTCTGCGACAGGTGCATTGCGACAGCTTGCGACAGCTTGCGACAGCTCGCGACAGGCAGTTTCTTGTCGCAACTGTCGCAAATCGCGTGTCGCGTCGCAGAAAGTTGTATTGTGAATCGGCCTTAAGACGAATGCCCGGATACCGGGATAGATTTAGATCGAGTCGGTGTCACTCGCCAGTCGGTAGCGTGAGTACAGTAGTAGTATACTGTACAGGCTACAGCCTGTGCCAGTTTTATTTTGGGCTTTTCTGATCGAAGACGCTCCTTGTCGGTTGTGTGTGTACGTGTGTGTATGTGTGTGTGTGTGTGTGTGTGTGTGTGTGTGTGTGTGTGTGTGTGTGTGTGTGTGTGTGTGTGGTGTGTGTGTGTGTGCGTGTGTGTGTGTGTGTGTGTGTGTCGTAAATGCTTGAACTGAAAGTTGAAGGTTGCGTTTTGTAATCCCCAAATGCCAACAGCCATTGAACGATCGACAAGACTCGTGCCCATTTTCTACGTTTGTGATTGTGCCAGTTGGGCGTCACAAGGGGCTGGCCTAGCGCCTATCCCGCACACCAGCACGCTTTGCTTGGACCCTTCCCTTGTATTGGTTTGAATGAATCCAACAGTACGATTTCTTCTGTCAGGTCTTCTGCTCAGTGTGTTGGCTGCATTGGCTCTCTTATATTCTTTGGACACCACTGAGCAACAGCGCGACGATGCTGTGTTCGCTAGTGCTACGGCTAAGTCCGCTAACGAGCGATCTCCGGAGATTTACCGACTGGTCCTAGCCGTGCTTAGCGCTAGGAATCACCATGAGCGGCGACACTTTATCCGCGAAACGTGGGGCAAGGAAGTGCGCGACAAGGCTGGTGTGAAACTGGAGTTCGTTGTTGGCGAGGAGTGCTCGGTGCCCGTGAAGCTACGTGAGGATCCACAGTCCTGCGAGCAACGACAGTGGAAGCCCGACTCTGGACAGGAAATTCACGAAGCTGTTTCAGTTGGGCATGAGTCGCCGAGTCCAGTACATGATTGCCAGAGAATCGTCCAGCCGGACGAAACATTGGGCATTGACTTCGAGCTTCTGGACGATGTTGTGATAACGCATCTTGGCGTGTACGACCAAGCCCAGGATGGTCTGCACGGTACGGGCCAACTATTGGTGGAGATTTACGATAGCGTCCTGGAAAAACTGATAGTCAGTCAGGCGTTGAGCAGTGGAGATACAGAGCTAGAACGACGCGGTCACTTTCTGTACAAGCCCGTCACCAACTTTGCCTTCCCCAAAGGATTCTTGGGCAGTGTAGTTGCAAGTGGGTTTAGTGCCGTGAATGCTGCAGTTGACGTTGCACAACCGCGCTGCAACACTGCTCCGTCAAACGCATCACGAGCCAGCAATGACCCGATGCGCTTGCGGAGAAGAAGTCGTCACGGAATGGCAGCCGCCGCCGGCTTTCTCCCGCCCATGGTGGAAAGTGTGTTTGAGCGTACGCCAAGGTACCTGGCCGCATCGTTTCTCTACACGGCGCACCCAACCACGGCTGGTAAGGATGTGCCCACTCATGACGCTCAGCTGTACCTGATCAAGGAGCACAGACACCAATCTTTCACCAGAGCACAGTTACTAGATGCAGAGCAAGCAGACTACGGGGACATTGTCACAGTAGCAACGGTGGATACTTACAGGACACTAGCAGACAAACTGATGGCGTACATGAAGCTGCTCGTCGACAGCACACAGTTCCAGTTTCTCCTGAAAACCGACGACGACTGTATGCTCAGAGTGCCAGCAATATTGAACGGAATTGCGACAATCGGTGGTGACCTGACCCGTGTGTGGTGGGGACGCTTTCGCCGGAATTGGAGCGTCGAGCGCTTTGGCAAGTGGCGTGAGCTGGATTTCACCGGCAAGGTGTATCCGCCGTTCGCCTGCGGCTCGGGTAGTGTGCTCTCGCGAGACGCGGTCGCGTGGATAGCGTCGAACAGCCAATCGCTGAAGCCATACCAGGGTGAAGACGTCAGCCTTGGCATGTGGCTACTTGCAATCGGCGTGAAGCACTGGGACGACGAGCGTTGGTACTGCTCTGCGGATGCGTACCACACGGCGGGGAACAGGTCTGATTACCTATCTGTACCGAATCTGACCATCGACCAGATGAGAGACCTGTGGAGAAAAGAAACAACATGAAACACACAAACTCTTGGGACAATGCTAAAGCAATACTTTCTCGCACTATGCGACAACTGTGTGTTCTTCTTCTTGCATGGGAGTGCACAATTATAATTTGTTGGAAATTCCAAGGCTCTCATCATGTACTGTACTCAATCAATATCAGATTTTCTAGAGCTACAGAGTACAGACACAAATTATGTAAGCAACTCACCTTCTTTACTGGCACAATATCAAACTGGAGCTACATGTATGTAGCTGTACTTCAAATTACATGACATGCCAAGGTGCTGCTGCAGCTTGGGAGGTACTTACGAACTTCTGATGTAGTGAGTCAAGCCATTCAGCTACCAAACCTCACATCTGCACGTACATGTGCCTGTACTTTGAAGTGCAAAAGAACCCAGAAGTGGAGTGCACCTCCTTGGAAGAGAACTGACTACAGGTACCATACAGACAACCCATGAACTGACGTTTGCAATTGTGACCTGGCATGCGGAGTGGAATGGGGCATCCGAAGAGAACATTGGCCAAGGCTGCAGCAGTAATGAGGTTATTCACACTACTAGATACTGCACCAACACAATATATCAGTACTGTACAATCCCCTCACGGGGCAAGCATGAATAGTAGGCACAATTGTTTTCTCAATTTTCATTGAAATAGGAGTCATGATGAACATTATTTTCACGCTCGGGGGTTAGCCAAGGTTGAAAAGTAGAAAAATAGAATGAAATATCAAGGAGCAGATGTTCAGGTGCCAGTGGAGACACGGAATGCTATTGGCTGGCTCGGAATTCAGAAAATAAACCTAAACACGAACATTATTCTGAGGAATGCAAAATGAGTTTATGCTTTCAGTCCAGCTGAAAGCAGGAAACGTGACAAGTGAAGGGAGCAGCAAGAATAGCCAGCATGAGACATGAGTACGGATGATAGAATAGAGGAGACGACAAACTGCCATACTTCAACAATCCTGTGCTAGTGCACAGGATAGCATGGTAAAGTCCTCCAAACTGTGACACAAGGGGGGCAATTACCTAGATGATGCTATGATAAGAAGCTACTGACATAGAAGATGAGATAGTTCTCATTACTCAACCGTTATCATGATATGTGTGTGAGTGAGTACTGAGTCTGTGACATGCCAGTCATGCCTACTGTACATGGGTTATGAGCTACAGTTCTCAAACGCATGCAACACGGTACTTGCACTGAATGACAGTATAGTCATGTACTCTGTCAGTGGGCCATCACAACAGCAGGTCTATTCGAAGGAGATTTCGTGACTATAGGCCTCGTAAACATTGGCAGAGAACTGGTTCAGCAGCTCCAGAGACATCACGGACTGTGCAGTAACCCAAACACACACACACACACACACACACACACACACACACACACACACACACACACACACACGTGTGCGCACACACACACACACACACATTCGATGGGCGATGTGGAATGGCCTTACAGATGCCCCGGTGAAATGTTTGGCTCTACAAGTGACATGGGAACTACAGCCCAGAGCTGCACAAAGCAACACATCCATATCTAGTGTAGAACTGCAATCACAATACGCATGCAGATTAGTTTCACTTCCTAAGTTCGTATGCCCTACACTGCGCTGTATTTTCTTGTGGATGAGAGATTCCACTGTACATGTACTGCATGCAGGCATTAGGAACTTGCTATCCTTGACGTTTGTCTAGGAGAGATCTATAAAAGACACTTGAAGTTCGTTGCTAGAGTCAAGCTGTGCATGTACATGTACACACACATACACAGTGACATTGTTAAGTGACATACACAGTAAAATGACACTTACCGAGACAACACCATCACCCTGGTGTGCAAACAAGCCATGCGTCTGGGCGTTGAGGATGGGAACTACTCGAGCAAGTGGTATCCTACGTAAGTTAGAGGACACACAGTAGCAAAACACACACACACCATGTACCATGTATACGCCCATCGCAAGAGAAGCACGCAAATCTGCAAATGCACTGGATGTGCACCCACAGATTTTCTCTTATAGCAACGATAGCGGATCTGATTCTGATTGAAACAGATCAAGACAAGCGCCAGATAACTGTCTAATCCACACAACTGGCGAAGCCATGTGAATCGACCCCCCAATGCACACCTGGTCTACACCACACGGAGTACATCGGAATAGGACGGCCAAGACAGTTACCTATGCACACCCTACACTTGCACACACACACACACACACACACACACACACAAGATCAGCCTAGGATCCTTTCGAGCAAGACAACAGCAGTAGCAATACACAGAAGCTTTCGAGCAAGACAACAGCAGTAGCAATACACAGAAGCAATACACAAAAAGGATTTCTAAAAAAATGGATTTTAACTTTGAAATGAATCACCGGGGAAGGGCCATATGACGTCACTTCTTCCACAACAACAAAGGCAAAGGAGTGGTACTGTGTATTGAGCAGGGAGTAGTGCTTTCTTGCAGGTTTGCCGAGTGGACGGTTCGATGCACTTCTCGTGTGCTCTGGATGGCAGACTGCAAGTCGTGAGTCAGTCAAGTGAGAAGGGACCCATTGCGCAATGACGTAATTTGTACCAAAACACCCTTCACAGCCACCTGGGGGGGGGGGGGGGGGGGTCGTCTGGGGTGTTTAACAGCAGGGAGTAGTACAATACCATAGGTATAGGTATTGTACTACTCCCTGTTGAACAGTGCACTCCTGATCCCAGCATACTCACAAGCATTACTCATGCATTCCATATTTGGCTGTGAAGGGTGTTTTTACGTCATTGCGCAATGGGTCCATTCAAGTCGGCAGGAAAACCACGAGCTCCCATGTAGGGAGCAACACACTCTTCCCCTACTATCGTCGAAGTCGCACCAACCTCTTCTTCACAGAGTAGTAATTTTTCCACTAAAATTCACCCACAGATGCCCGGTAGATCGAGGTGCTCGCTACTTGGAGGTCCGGATAAGAGAGATATGAGTATACAAGCCTTGAAGATGCACTGCTCTATCCACAGTGTATAGGGCAAAGAATACGGATAGGTTCCACCAAAGCCACAACACACCTTTCAACTAAATCACACTGTAGTATTCTAGACAGCTATTATTAGCTGTGGCTTGCCAAACAGCTAGACCACATGAAGTACCGTATATGTCTCCATTACTAGCACAGTCTCTAATACTAGCACACTGTGAGCACCTTTCGAAGCATCATAAGCACAGTCCCCATTATTAGCACGGTCTTGGTGGAAATCAATGCTGCATGCATGATATCTAGCATGTATTTCTTCTTGCTCAGTATGGATGTATTGGTTGAAATAATATAAGCACGGTCTCCAATATAATCGCGGTCTCCAACATAAGCACGGGGTAGAGGGCTGTTGAAAAAATACAAGCACGGCGCTTATAATAGAGAATATACGGTATACAATATTTACGAAACCAGAATAATTAGCCAAGCACACAAAGACATAAAGTATGCACAGCCCTACTAGTAACTTACTTAGCTGCCGCATGATCTACACTTGGTGTCAGCATGCTCTCAGCAAGACCAGTGGAACCAAACTGAAATCCGCAGTCCAAACACGCACTCAGCGTGCTCTTGAAATCTTGACTGTGAGCACAAGCGTGTGAAGTGATCACGATGCATGATGCACACGCAGACACAGGCGGAGAGACAGACACACACATACGGAGAGACAGACACACACAGACGGAGGCACAGACACATACAGGCGGAGACACAGACACACACAGACGGAGAGACAGACACACACAGACACACCATTAGGGTTGTCTGATCTAGCAAACAGCATGAGCGACGACAGAAGGAGTGTCCACAACATGTTAATAGTCACATGACACACAAGCGGTGCCGACTCACCTCCACCACTAGACGCATACTGGAAGCACTCACCTCCACCACTAGACACATACTGGAAGCACTCACCTCCACCACTAGACCCCCACCTCCACCACTAGACGCATATTGGAAGCAGTGGTCATGTACAGTACCCAACAGCTTACATCGAGAAATGCTGCAAAAGTATGCAAGCATGCTCAAGCAAACATACCAGGACAATAAGTTACCATTGTGTGCCGACCAAGCCATAGCACACACCGCACTAACTTACACACATGGATGCGCGCTCGCACACACACACACACACACATACACACACACACACACACAAACACACACCACCCATACAAACAAGCGCAATTTACCTCTCCAGTACATCTCTTGTGTGACCCATCAGCTGGGTAATGTACGCCACACACACACACACACACACACACACACACACACACACACACACACACACACACACACACACACACACACCACCCATACAAACAAGCGCAATTTACCTCTCCAGTACATCTCTTGTGTGACCCATCAGCTGGGTAATGTACGCCTGTGCGTCAGGTGATATACTCGGCACATCTTCCGACTCTGCCTGGTCTGGTGTCTCCTCTGATGTACCCCCCTACACACATCAACATTAAAATTAATAAGAACAAAACACAATGCTCTAACCATCTGAGCTATGCGACCAGGCTGAACTTAAAAGGCGTTGAGAGAGAGAGAGAGAGAGAGAGAGAGAGAGAGAGAGCGAGAGAGAGAGAGAGAGAGCGAGAGAGAGAGCGCGAGAGCGAGAGAGAGAGCGCGAAAGCGAGAGAGAGAGAGAGAGAGAGAGAGAGAGAGAGATAGATATATAGATAGAGAGAGAGACAGAGATAGAGAGAGAGACAGAGAGAGAGAGAGAGAGGATGGCACAAACGACTTACATTAGATTCCGGAGGCAGCAAGAATGTAACAAGCGGATGAAGTGACCTGAGAGAGAGAGAGAGAGGGAGAGAGAGAGAGAGAGAGAGAGAGAGAGAGAGAGAGAGAGAGAGAGAGAGAGAGAGAAAGAGAAAGAAAAGATATAGATACAAGTTGATACCCAATGCTTACGATACAAGTTGATAGGTATTACGCTCCTCGACATTCGCTTTGTTGAGCACTCTCAGTAGGCTGCTCTAGTGCTACTGCATTATGCAACGCTCGCTGATTTTCGTAGTTAGAGCACTCTTGCGCTAGAGCAACGAGTTATCTTAATGTCTGGGGTGCCACCTTTGCACCATGGCTGGTAGGTCGGCTTACTTGAAGCTCGTAGCTGTAAAGATGAGGCCTATTCAGCCGAAACCGCTTGCTGTCTACAGCATTGGGCAAGTTGATAGATAGATAGATAGATAGAGAAAGCACAAGACTAATACAATACTTACCGGTGTGCATCTGCACTTGCACTAGTAGCAGTAGTAGCAGTGTCGTCTGCCTGCTCAATGCTACCTACTTCTATTGCCTGGCGAGCAGTGGCAATCATCCGCTCAATGTCTGCTACGTCAACCTTCTCCTTCAATGACACACTATCAGTACAGCAACAGCAACAAACACACAGAAACACACACAACAGACACAAATCTTAGACTGCAGACAGCCTATCGCCAGAGCACATGATAGCAATACATGTATCTAATCTATGCTATGTATAGAAATATGTGATAGCACCATTCAACAGTGTACACGGCCGGTAGAGTGACTCGTACAGTGAACGGACGGACAGAGTGTAACCGGTGTTAACGAGGGATGCAGGAGAGAGAGAGAGAGAGAGAGAGAGAGAGTGTGTGTGTGTGTGTGTGTGTGAGAGAGAGAGAGAGAGAGAGAGAGAGAGAGAGAGAGAGTACCTGCCAATGCTGTCCTGTACTTTGCTCTGGACCACATCAATAAGTCGTGTTAGTCCTGCGTAGGACAGCACACCCACACCCACACACCCACCCATACACACACACACATGCAAGCACGCACGCCCACACGCACACACATATATGAACAAAAAAATCAGAATTGAAGTCAGGCTTCTCTCTACACAGAAGTACAACAGGAGAGACAAAAAAACCTTAGCAGCACCCTCTACCCTATTCCGAAATTAAACCTTTCGACTGATTGTGACAACTGTTCTTTGATGAGCTCGTTGAAAGCGCAATCAGTGACCCAACCATTCTCAACTATAACCAGGATACAACCTCACAGTGGTGCATTGCACCAGCAGGTAAGATGCAATAGTCCTTATGCACATTGTACAGATGTACGAAGTTCTGTACTAGGGCCGTAGGTGTGTACATACCCGGTTGGGTGTTCATTGTGTGCTATACATGCGTGTTTGACCCATTTAGCCTCATAATTCGCGGCGAACAATCACTTTTCCAGCTTCTTCACTTTGGGATTGAACTAACGACTCGCTAGATCACTGTCGAAAAAGTGTTCGTATGAAATGCCTTCAGGGCCCATTTCGCTGTGGAAATAGCAATAAACACAATAGGGTCCTGTACATTCAACACCCAACCGGGTCTACGGGATTCTACGGGATTTCGTGCATCTGTACAACGTGCATAAGGCCTATCGGAGACAGTGTATAGCGGTCCAGCCTGAGCAAAGAGAAAGGCCTGATAGACCCGATGCCAACACAGGTGGGCGAATATTATAAGTACATGAAGCATTATACAACTGAAATGTAGGAGAGTCACATGGAATCTCTCAACCCAGGGGAGGAGAGGGGGGGGGGGGGGCACAACATGACTTAGTATCCGTCTTATTAAAATTACCCGCATCATACACGACATAACCTAATTACTCACAGCACTGTGCCCACGGCCATTGCGCAATACTGCGCAATGCTGAATGCCAGTGCATACGTATCTATCACATGTACACATACCTGGTCCGAGGAAGTACTGCACTACAGCCAAATACTCCTTGTGAACTTCTGTGAAGATATGGAATAGGCTACTGCCCGTCTACACACAGGAGCACAAAGATAGACATGAACTTTGTAGACTTGGGTGGAATACAGCATGTCGTACATGCACACAGAGATGCAGGAGAGAGAGAGAGAGAGAGAGAGAGAGAGAGAGAGAGAGAGAGAGAGAGAGAGAGAGAGAGAGAGAGAGAGAGAGAGAGAGAGAGAGAAAGAGGGAGAGAGAGAGAGAGAGAGAGAGAGAGAGAAAGAGGGAGAGAGAGAGAGAGAGAGAGAGAGAGAGAGAGAGAGAGACTGACATAGAGAGAGAGACACACAGACAAGCAGATAGACGTATAGGAGAGAGATACAGAGAGAGAACGAGATAGACGGACAGCGAGGCTCAGATAGAGAGAAGGGGGGGGGGGGTTGTTGTTCCTAATAGCAGTAACAGTACAGAGAAGGCGGTAGAAGTCAAGCCAGCATGTTTGAGCTGACAGCAGAGACTGAGTGCTAATTGTTAGTTAGTAATTACCTGCATCTCGCCATGGTACATGCAGCCACCCAGAATGTTCAGCTGGACACGCAGGAAACTGATGAGAAGACAGCATGCATACACGCTTGACAGGAAGCGGGCAAACGCTGCAGAGAGAGACACACGCACACACACATGCACAGACACACAGACACACACATCGCAAGCAAAAATTAAAGCATGGCCTACACAGCATACATCATCAATGTCTCCAAATCCTAAATAAAGGGAAAAATTTCCTTGGAGACAAGAATGCAATTATACTTAAAAGTAGGACACATTTCAGGCTCAAGTATACTAGTGAAAACTTTCAAAATATTGAGCCTGGGGTGTGTCCTACTTCTAAGTATAAATACTAAAATACCGTTACAGAACTTACATAGGTTAGAAAGCAAGAACTAAACCGTGTGGAGGCATTGCAACTATACAAGTCAGTGTGCTCACACCAAGAGTACATAACCCCCCGAAGAGTGTGCAACTCCCACATACCCTGCTGTCCCGACAGAATTTCAAGTTGACGTCATTATTTATGACGCAATGCTCCTTGCACCAGTGATTTACAACATGTGTACGGGTGTCAACGCATCACACGTTTTTCTTTGTAATAATTTGTACAGGATCGATCGGCTTCGGTCAACCACAGGTTCCGGATTCGTCTGATAATCCGTGTACAGTGCGCATTGCATCATCAAAATGACGTCAACTTGAAATTCTGTCGGGACAGCACCCATAGTGGAGTTGCACACTCTGGGGGGTTATGTACTCTTGGCTCACACCCATTGCCACCATGCCGAAACATTCCACGTCAATCTCCCTCATTGACCAGCCAACCACCATCAAGGCACACGGAACGCAACAGAAAGAATAAGAAGACTCCATAAAACGATAACAGGAAGGTGGGAAATCAGAACTCAGTGTAGTACTAGCCTCTTAACAGACTCCTTCTGTTGTGGGCGCGCACCAAGTGTCATCTACTTGTAGATGTGCTAGATACTGTCTGCATTGCCAAACTACAGCCTGAGCTTTGAAAACAGGGGTTTGTTAGCAAGTTAGTGCTACTCTACAAAACACAAAACATAACACTCCGTGCCAGCTCACTTACTGACAGTCTTTAGCTCTTGCCAAGTCAGGATTTTGTTCTCTGGGCTATAAAAGAAAAGAAAAGAAAAGAAAGAGAGAGAGAGAGATAGAAAAATGACATGCAGACAGAAGTCACACAGAAGCCGTTACAACGTCCGGAAAGCATGCCATGACTAGTCTACCTTGAAGTACAAGCATGACACGCATGATCCAGCAACACATTAGGTACGGGTATGACATTTGCCCTGCGCTACCGTGATCCTGGCGCTATCGTACAAAACTTTGTTGTCACTTCCAAATTTGCGGGAATATTTGGCAAGGTTTCGTCTGTGGGTTTTCCACCAATTCCAGTCGATTCGTAGGTCAGACCATCCGACTCAACAGTGACATTCTCACTTTCTATTTGTGCACTCAGATATTTCAAATGCCAAGAAGAAGGCCAATGGAAAAGAAAAGTGCGATCCGTTTCGTTTCCTTCTTTCTCGTGTTGCCAGCCATTGAGGATTATCAGAAGTGGCTCACGGTCTGGGCAATGAATCAGATGTTCCTTGCCACCAGCCAGTATCTGTTTGAAGCCTTAGGGGCCGACCGTAATTATCGATCTTTTTCACGAAGAGAACTAAGTTGCATTTATGGGTGGGTGGGTGGAGGAGAGTTCATTTTGAAAATTATTGATAGCTGAAACATCAATCCATTCTAGCTGTCAAGTCAATGTATTTTTCATTGAAGGGGGAGGGGGGTGGGGGAGGGTCATAACTAAACTTTTTCGTTCCGTGAAAATTATCGATAAAGCCGGATGGCCCCTTAGCTGCCTGGTAATAGTGTTGGTATCACATTTACATGCAATCAGCACAGAACATACACCAACCTGCTTTTTAACTTCGTTGTCAGCGCCTCCGTGTCTAGAGCATTGAAGAGACGCTCTCGCAGTGACGGAAGCATCGCTATAGCTACAGAAGGCAGACAGTAAAAAGGACGGCGGCAAACACACAGCGAACAAATCATCATACCGGTGAGGGAATCATAACATCCTGGGTTAAAGGCCGATTCATACTTCATTTCCCGTACACGAAATAGCTGAGCTCAAGTCTTAGTCAACTTACTCGCGATGCGATGCGATGCGATGCGTTTCCCGTACGCGAAATGAAGTATGAATCAGGCTTTAGTCGGCTAAGAATCACCTTGGAATCAAGATAAAGTTGATGTTACACGCCATTCGCTTACCTGTCATTTTGCACGTTCTCTGATTGCTGTCATAATGGTGCTTTTTCCTGAACACAACACAGGCAAAGTACACAGATAGCACACGGCTGTACATGTGAACACAGTGGCATGGCACCAATGCTAGCGTAAAAGCCGCATGCAACAAAAATAAGGATGCTGAAAGCCAGCACACAAGATCAGCATGGACAATAACAAAAGCACAGCAGAACGTGTACGAACTCAGTGCAACATGCACGATGAAATCCTTAGACAACAACATGAGACTATTTAAGGACGCTCTGTCAGCGGCACATCTAGCAGTGTGTGAAGAAGAGGGTTCTTTGACCGAGGAGGTCAGCAGAGATGAAACACACACACACACGCGCGCGCACACACACACACACACACACACACGCGCGCGCGCGCGCGCACACACAGATCAGTATGGTACATGCATTGCTTACCGTGCCCTGGCTACTTCTTCAGCTGCCACACGATCGCTGTACTCTGCTAACTTCCACTGGGCAAACTTACCAAGAGCAAATGCTCCTAAAGTACAAGCACACAATGTACATACGCATTACACACCGAGGCGCATCCACGCACGCACGCGCACACACACACACACACACACACACACACACACACACACACACACACATTACACACCAACACACATGCATACACAAACACACAGACAGACAGACACACACACACATATATGCACACACACACACACACACATACACAAACACACACACACACACACACACACACACACACACACACACACACACACAAATTAATCACACATTACATGGTATAGCAACGAGGTTGCCAATCGCCAATTGCATTACTCAGTCAACTGTCAAAAACATTTTTTTAAAGCTTTACAACCCACCCAGAGTCTCTTATCAGCAGGTACAGGGGAATGAAGTAGAGAAAGTCAGAACCATCCACTAAGTCACTGAAATAGTAAGGTACAATATGAGATTTAGCGCTAACACTTGTAGTAATGATAACCTATCAAATAGAGACTTAGTCGGAGGGAAACATATTAGCACACGAAGAGACGAAGCCAGTTGTAAATCTGACGAGGCCTTTAGTACCATTCACTTCTCAAATCAGTACGTGCATACATTATCACCATGTACTGATTCGAGAAGTAATGGTACGAAAGGCCTCATCAGATTTACAACTGGCTTCATCTCTTCGTGTGCTGATAACCTATGACTTATTTTACATAAGTATGAAAAAGTGAGAACTGACACCAGTTGAATACAACGTACACACACACACACACACACACACACACACACACACACACACACACACACACACACAGCTCTAGTTCCACAGTCGCCGCCTCACTTGTCACTACAGGCGCAAGTAAAGAGGTGTTGCACCTTGATGTGCTACTTCTGCGTGCAGAGCACTGGTTTTCGGCTGCGGGCTAGCGCTACATCTCATTACGTGCATTTCTATTGCAGTGTATGTTGGATGGCTCTGACGTTCTGGCTGTTCGCCTGTCGAGGTGGTTTCCTTGTTGCTATGTGTGATTTTAAAAGTGAATGTATTACTGGTTGGTACACAGACCAGACACATCGGAACTGTACATACTAAAGTAAACTTTAATAAACAGGTTAAGACGCACGTTATTTCTGACGTGACGCAAAAGTTCAGCTCGCGTTATTCGGCTCGCGAGTGACCTGCGGCTGACGTCGAAATTTGGAGTTTTACGCCAAATTTGACGTGAAATTGCGCGTCAAGTCAGAAATAACGTGCAACTTAGCCTCTCTGATAGCAGGACGTGTCAGTGTGTCAGTGGTCGGACATCACTGACCCGCACGGTACCATTCAGCAAAGTGTGTGTCGAGGGTACTACAGCGCTGACCAGTGAAATCCAACCTCATGAATAAAGTAGCGCCACGTTCTAGGGCACAGACCAGTGTGTGTAGTGCTAGGGCTGCGTAGCGCCCGGCAACGCTATTTTATTCATGAGGTTGGATTTCTCCGGCCAGTACTGTACATGGACATGTTATCTACAGTACAGTACACGTACAGTACCAGGCCATGGCATAGACAGTCTACTACAGGTTTATCCAACTACATGTACCAGAGAGTTTACATGATTACAATATACATCACCATTTGAAATGCTGCGTATGGAGTGGCAAAGGAGTGGCTTGCTAGCGCTGGTTTGCCACTCAAAACTAAGTAGCATGGTGTGTTGGGTTTGCCACTCAATACAAATGTTTGCCAAGCAATACAAACTTGGCACTGGTTTCCACCCCATACACTAGCACACTCCAGGCTACACTCCACACAACGCATATGCGATGACCTCATTCCCATAACCTCTAGACTATAGTATAGAGTCTGAACATGAAGTGTTCAATGATTGGATTGACAATGGAAGCCATAACCATAGCCATAGGCCATAACCCACAAGAGCAGTAACCGGATGGCATGGATTTTTGAGGTACAAAAGTTTCACCATTTACTTTTGTGAGTTTTGTCACAAACTTACCTCCTACAATTGCTCCGGTAATGTAGAACTTCCTCTGATGCCTTTTCAAGAAATCTAACAGGCCCATGGCTTCCTCTGCTTGGACCTCTCTGTGTGCTAAAATTCACTGAATGACCTGTCGACAATCAAATTTCACGATTCAAAAACCCGTCACTAAAGAGGGTCAGCTGCAGGCACGGAAAGGAGCCAATATGCAAGGCAAGCTGTACCCAGAGTGTTACTGCACAGCTGGGCATACGCTCCTTGCGAACAAACCTTCGACACTGGTTTTGAGAGGCCAGCTTACAACAAACTCAGTACAGATAAGAGAGCTAGAGCTACCCATTTTTGAATCGAAAAAATCCTCACACTGACAAGACAGAAAAAACAAGTCGCCGCGTCAATATCGATGACGTATGCACCGACAAAGGTGAAGGGACTTCCCCTATGGAGACATTCAATCTCAAAATGTGAAATGGAAAAATAGTCCAAGCAGAAGCTTGAAGCTGCATATGCTGCCCAGTGCAGTGCTGCCGTTGTTTTCTCCCTGACGGATATTAGCTACAACTTACAAGTACAAGGGGTTATGAACTTATGTACTCTTGATACTAGTAATCGTGGTAATAGTATGTCTCCTACATTGTGGACCCTGCCATGCCTCAGTGCCTGGGTCCGATAATTATAGCAAGTTCATACCAGAGGCAGAAGTAGTTGCTCCTACATGGAGCTCACGCTTCCTGGCGGATTAACCGACGCTTGACTGTGTGAGCGCCACGTAGGAGCAAGAACTTCTTCGATCATTGCCGCCAAAGTCACTACTTTTAAGTTCAAACCAGTAATGCTAAGTAGAGGAACTGTGCAGATCGACCAGCAAGCATAACATAATTATTGTAGATTTCCTTGAGGGTAAAATGTAGTTGTATGTACCCAAATCTGCATCAAAATTTGAAATCAGCGCCTTCAATCTTGGACACCAGACACTACAAAACGGCAAGGTACAGTATGAGGAAGAAATATTCATGTTCATGAGGAGATCGGCACAATCATGTACGTGCAATACACGCAGAATTCACAAAGTAAAAACGAAAAGCAAAACACAAAGACAAACCCATTTTCATAGCATATAAATTTAAAAACTATTGGCATACCGCATGACGGCACGTATGTACAATGTATACACAGCTCATGGAACACGGAGACAGTGTTGAGCAGTAGACTGTAGCAGCAGCAGCAGCAGCAGTTCCAGCTATTTAGTCGGACCGGAGTGGATAGAATGATTCCTTGACTCCATCTTTGGTGATGACTGAGATAACGACACCGTCACCGGTCTGAATGTCACGCTCCGCTGCACACGAGAACACTTCTCTTACTAGTGCGACGGCCTTGTCACGGGACAATGGCTCGCGCTTGGCATTGGGCTGGTTGTGATATCCAATTTGATTGTCAAGCAGCGGTTGCAAGAGGCTAGCAGCTGAGCCGGAAGCACGGAATGTCTCCCGTTCAAACGATCCAATTGGGTCAAAACCATATACTGCTCCCTTTCCCTCTGTGTCTAGTCCTACCAGAACGTTGTAAGTGTAGAAGGGGAAAAACCGCCGATAGTACAGCTTCTTGGAAAGCATCTCAGCAGTAGCTGGAGTAGAAATAGTACGACCATGCTCATACTGATAAACCTGGGTTGCTTCATTCATCTCCTTCGTCAGCGTCAGCACATCACCATGAAAACCTGCACATCCCAGCACCATCTGAGGAGTTAGCTTGAACAGTTTCGGGACATCTCGAGCATGAATGCTGTAATATTCACTCAATCTAGTGTCAGAAGCGATTACAGCAAAATCTTCGCCTGCAACTCCAAGAACAGTGCCACCATTATCCGTGTAAGGGTTGAAACGCCGCTCGATGGGTCCACTGGCCTCCATCCTCAAGGACAGACTGTGATAATTCACCACTCTGAGCTCAAATGCTGTACTCTCAGGTTTAGAAGAGCAATATTTCAGAAGGAAGAGTTGGGCTGTTTGCAAGGAAGAGCAAAATGTTCAATATCGAACCGACCAGAAAACTGATTTCCAAATCGCCATTTTTCTTCAAATTTTCTACGAGATTTTCAAACTGAAAATGACGCATCCCGCTGCGTCATTCGTTTGGAAAACTCTCGATCACTGAGCTCTGAAAATAGTCCAATAGTTCTGAAAATGGCGTCTGCAGCAATAGCATTGCAGTATTCCTCCTCCTCCATTCCTGCTCTGGATATCTCCTCCAGGAGAAACCAGGATGGAGAGGACGATGAGAGGAAATGTCACAATGCTGATGGAATTCACTTCGCCCTTCCACCAGTCCCAAATGTAAGTTCAACGAATGGGAAATTTTGAAAATGTTGGCAATTTTCCCCGTTTGACTCAATCTATTCCATGCATAATGTTACGTTCAGCCTGCCGCGTTCATCGGCCAAGTAACTGGTGAAAACAGCAACGTGAAAATTCAGTTCCTCCACGGAACGACAACTCTGGGATTCAAGTTTCAGCATGGTGTTGTGATTGCAGTAGACTCACGAGCAACTGCTGGATCATGGATCGGTGAGTACACCTAGTTTGTCTGTCAAGCACATTATGACTTGCACAGAGCATCACGGGCATCACAAGACATAGTGGTAAAAAGCACAACCAAGTGACGATATCCAACCATGACAGATCATTTTCATAAACAATAGTTCATAACAGGAAGGGTAAAGTAGCAGCGTTCGGCCTTGTGTTATGATCAATCAGACTAGTGGTGTGGTAGTTGAAGTGGAATAATGTATATAACTGAACTTTTCACTAAACTGAAAACAAAGAGTTTTCAAGATAACTCTGTGACAATGGCGCAATAGCATAGCAGATCGCAAATTCAAATTTCCGTTTTCGGCAGAAAATCGAATTGAAGCACTATCTTGCTAGACCACACTGTGCACAGAGAACCAAGTTTCTTGTTGGGACTCGGGTTTACGCCATGGTGATCATCAGTCAACAATGCCTGCCTTTGTGCCTTGCTAAACCATTGGTTTCTGTCAACTGTTTGCTTGCTCGTAGCTTCTCAAACGGTGAAGAAGGTGATCGAGATCAACCCGTATCTGCTCGGCACAATGGCTGGCGGCGCAGCGGACTGCTCCTTCTGGGAACGCAATCTGGCTTTCCAGTGCAGGTTGGTTGCTGCGGCACAAGACCCACTGCCCACTGTCAGTGCTGATTGTTGTATAGTGCCACGTGCACAGAGAGTGTAGTATGCGTAGTGGGTGTGCATGTAGTGATTCTTTGCCTTTCCCAGCTTGACATGATTCTTTGAGTTTTTCTTTCAGTTTAATCAGTTACATCCTGTGTTTATCACATCCGTGAACCATTTCCATTCTTTTCAACATTTGCGTTTTTAGAATGTTTGAGTTGCGCAATAAGGAGCGGATCTCGGTGGCAGCAGCATCCAAGAAGCTCGCGAATACGATGAACCACTACAAGGGTTATGGACTGTCCATGGTAAGTAGCCATTCATCCCTGTGACAACGTGTACAGTGCAACCACCTCCCACTCCGTATCCAGTTTGTTTGGTTGAGAGAAAGCAGACAAACCCGTTTCTAGTGTTCTGATTTGTCATCACCAGCAATGAACTCCGTGTTGTGTCTTAGTAATAATGAAATCTGTTGTAGCTGGTGACTGTGCTTCATTTCAAGTTGCAACCAATGGCCAATGGCAATGTGGACCTCATCTCAGCTGCATGCTGGTGTATGGCTGTTCTTGAAATCAGATGCACTCAGCTATTTCTGTAGTGCACCTTGCACTGTTTGGCCATAGAGTCTTTTCATTGAGTTCATTTTCATTTTTTCTCACGGTGTGCACGTGTGACTTACAGGGTACCATGATCTGCGGCTGGGACAAGAAGGTATGTTTAACTTACCAGCTTTTCGTTCCGTGTGTATGCTGAATATTGCACTTGTTCATGCAGAATAGCCATTGCGCCTGATCAGTGATCATAGTGTTTTTTATGTTCTATGACTGCACAACTATCCCTGTGTACGAAGTATCTAAGTAGCTCTCTCTCTCTGTCTCTCTCTCTCTCTCTCTCTCTCTCTCTCTCTCTCTCTCGCACATTGTGTTCCCTTCATCTCCCCAAGGGACCTGGTCTCTACTACGTTGACAGCGATGGCAACCGCCTGACCAACCACATCTTCAGCGTAGGCTCCGGATCACCATACGCGTATGGTGTGCTAGATGCTGGTTACAAGTATGATCTGAGCGTGGAGGACGCACTGGACTTGGGTCAGAGAGCTATCTACCACGCTACACACCGTGACGCCTACAGTGGTGGTGTAGTCAACTGTAAGTTAGCCTCAAAGTCAGTTAATCACATCTCGCTCTCTCTCTCTCTCTCTCTCTCTCTCGCTCTCTCTCTTGTTTGTGTATTGTATTCTCTCATATCTTTTTCATAGCTGGTCAAGCCTAAATCTTATTATGGATTACTATCCTCGGTCAAATATCTCGCTGCTAAATTTTTGACCGCCATTTGACAGACTATCTAGAGTGACTTCATGTGCAGTCTTCACCCATTTTTCTACCCTCGTCCATGGTTAGATGTTACCCTCATTTGGCTTGTACATGTATTGTCCAAAATATGTGCCTCAAATAACTGTAGAGAGACAATATTAATTTAAAATAAATAGATTGGTCCAGGCTGCCTCTAGTTTGTTTCATTATTGTACCTCACTGACCTGCTCTCCTTCTGATGTTCTGTTCATTCTCTGTCTACAGTGTACCTGATGAAGGAGACCGGATGGGAGAAGATCTCAACCACCGACACACAGATAATCCACGCCAAGGCTACCCAGCAACACTGAACACAGCCAGAAAACGGGTTGTGTTTTAGCCACCCACCCCGTTTCAATTGTACATAGCTTCTTGTTTTTCCGCTTCACAATTCCAGCATGGTGCCACAACATGTCGCCAAGTATTTTTAAATTCTAACTCGAATTATGCTTAAGCTGCTTTTGAATGGTTGTAATTGTTCATGACATCGTCTCATGTGAAACCTCTCTGCCGGAGTCATGTTACGTCTGCTGTATATTATTGCATACATACTTCATTAAATTTTCTTTTCCTACATGAAGCAGAAAATTGTTGTTGATCGAAAGAGCATGCGCTTGACTTGTGTTGCGTCAACTTGCGTGTCTGACGTCCTGGGGATTACTGGAGCAACAGCGTTAGATGTGTAGTTTGCTGTAGTGGTTTGCCAAGCAGTTTGTGATGGATTTCAGGTTGTTTAAAGTCCCCTCTCAGGCCAGCAGACCGGACGACGCAAAGATCTTTTACAGAGGGTCTGCGTGTGTGTGTGTGTGTGTTCCGTGTAGCCAAGGTATTGTGTTCATTGACCGAGTCGATCCTGTTTGATATAATGATAATATTCTGAGCAGCAGAGAGCACACAATGTTTCTTGTGTGCATGGTGACTCTTGAACTGATGCAGTGCAGTGTCATGCTGTGGGGTTGTGTTCTCAATCTGACGCTGTATTACAAGTCCCGATACTAGCAAGAGGAAATAAGCATATGCGCTAGTACTCGTGGTATTAGCCAGCTCAAGTACATGTACTGGCCAATGAAATTATTGATCTCAGGAGAATACCTGGTAAAACTACACGATTATTACACGATTACGGCATCATGATTTACTAGTATCAAGAGTACATAAACCAAAAAAAAAGAAGTTTATGTACTCTTGCTAGTATAGTATACTATAGACGCTTCGACTGTTCCCAGGGCACTAGCACAAGTCTAGAGGCATCTGGGCCAGATGCACGATTGTGACGTTATTCCAACGCTTCTCAGCTCAGTGAGTTGATGGTTCGGAGCAGGGAGTTGTCCTATTTGACGACTCCCTGGTTTTTATTTATTTATTTATTCAACATCTCCTGGCCCGTCCGAAGACTGCCAATAAACATGAGAGGTCAGGTGATAGCCAACCACGGCAAGCTAAAAGGGAGAAAAAGAAAGATGCTGTCAGAGAGGGAAAGGAGATAGGGAGAGAAAAAGAAAGGGAGGCACATTAGTAATACATGGGATCACTTCGGATGAGACAGTGTGGAAAGCTGGACTTTGAATTTCCTGATATCCTGGCATTGGAGCAGGGATGTGATAGGATTAGGTCTTTTGTTTTTAAGGTGGCTCCTACCCCTCGGGTCCAAATTTTTTTGTTTGAAACGTGGCTACAAACGATTGTACTTTGTTCCGTAGGATATCTAGTGTACGGAGACAAAATTTTATCAAGTTCTACCGGCCGGTTTCACTCGGGGGAGGGGCCAAACATAGCATACTCACAATTGCCAATTTAGGCCAAAAAACACCGGAAAACCACTTTTTTGGCCGTAGCACTCGTAGTTACCCCATTTTTCTTGATGTCCAACATCAGGACAGTAGTATACTTGCTAATTACCAGCATAAGCTTTAGAAGTGGGTAGAATTCTGCTAGAAGGTGACCTTTTTCTCTTTTCGGAATCATCCCATTTCAGCGCACACGTCCCACATATTAGCCCCGCCCACAAGTATTTGACACTGGACTTGCCCTGTATTCGATGGTTATGCTATCATAACCTAATAATGGTACTGTGTAGCAAGTTTGAGCAGGTTCTACCGAAGGTAACTCTTGAAATAAAACTTTGAATTGTCAAGTGATGCCATATTTTCAAGAATCAGCACATTGCACTGGGACATTGTCCAACGCCTTAGAACCCCTGACTCCACCATATGACAGATACGTATCTTGCAATAATTGATTGCAACATCTTCCGAACATAGTAGTAGAGCTTTGGATCAAGTTTTAGCAGTTTCCACCGAAGCTAACTACCAAAATAAAACTTTGAAGTCGCCCACATACTAAATGCAATAGCTGAGCATGTGCATTGAGTGTATGGTCTAAAGGTTTTCACAACTAGCTCCAATACGGCAGATACGTGTCTTACATTACTTGATTGCAACATCTTCAGAACATAGTAGGAGAGCTTTGGATCAAGTTTAGACAGTTTCTACCGAAGCTAACTACCAAAATAGAACTTTGAAGTCGCCCACATACTAAATGCCATACATGTAGCTGAGCATGTGTATTGAGTAGGGCTGAAACGATTATACCAATTACTCGGTAAGCGATCGATAATTCGTTATCAATCAAGTAATCGTTACGTTATAGATTACTCGTTAGGAATTTAGAGTCCAAAAAGTACTGAAAACCCTCGTTTTGTGAAGTTTGAATCAGTTTCCACTGTGAGTATGCAGTTGCCAGGGGCATGGTGCATACTCTGAGGTTAAATTGACTTCAAAACTGTCATGTTTTGGAGCTACCCTGTCACTAATGCAGATTTTTGGTATTATGAAGGCCTAGCTTTTGGAAACAGGATAAATTTAGCACAAAATTCTGACGCTATTTGCTAAAGATTATAATCGATTACTCGATCGTTAAGCTAAAGATTAATCGATTTGTGAAAATCCACGATCGTTTCAGCCCTAGTATTGAGTGTACGTGTATGCTCTAGTGTTTTTCACAACTTTCTCCAACATGAAGCCAATACTGATGTGGAATTTTTTGACTGCTTTGTCCAAAACACAGTGCTGAAGCAATGCACATTGGGCACTTTCTACTGGTAATGCAATTATTATATTATACAGTGTTTGCTGCCAACATAGCAAGCAATACTGCTATACTAAATGCGTATTCCATTGGGTACGGTCCAATGGCTTTTCACTTCGCATCTAGCCACTGTTCTTCGTGCATTACTTGAATGCTTAGTCTCCATGGTAATGAAGCTAAGAGCCACACTGGAGAAGTTTCTACTGAAGCTAACTACCAAAAATATAAAATTTCCAAGATGCTACTATTACATAAAGTAGCTGTGTGCAATGCCACTCTGTTGAACACAGTAAGCAAAATTGAGTCACTAAAACCCTATTTGCCAGATATAAGCTGTTGAGACTGATAGCAGCTGAGCTGTATGATCTGATATGGATGGCGGTTCCACACTGACCAGCACATGTACATGTGCACAGGCAGAAGAACATACAAGTAATACACCTAACGTTACTTCAAAGTCCATCATGTAAATACAAGCGTATATACAAGCATCACTCCTGTTCTCCACAACCTGCAGTCCTGGGCCACTCCAGCTGGTCAGAGTGCAATAATTTCTGCAGCAGGCTTGACTTGGAAAGCTAATCACAACTGCCATGGTTGCAACATGAGTATTATACTATTGTATACTATTGTATTATATTATTTTCAATCCATTGTGGTGCATGGCACTCGTTTTCAACAACCGAGTTTATGTCATTAGTTGCATATCCAACGCCAATAGAAAAAAGAAGGGGCGGGGCAAATTACCACGGTTCAACACTAGTCATATTGAACGGCGTTATGCCATGCCAGGCGCGCACACAAAACGCCCGCGCGAGTGCGCATGCATATACACACCCGGGTAACACACATTCGTGCGACTCTACATAGCCTACACTGTCGTTCTATGTCATAGGAGTGAGTGCACACACATATACATGTAGATTGCCTAATTTTGCATACGTAATAAAATTGTGTAAGTATACACACATGTGCGTGCACATATAGATAGACTCAGCGGCATACGCATTAGTGTGTGCCGATAGGGCCACATGCCAATTATCGGATTAGTCCGTGAAAGTTGCACGGCACGACAAACTTTCGAACAGTCTAAAGATATGACACAATGAATGTGGAATACCCACCAGTGTGTAAGACCATTTCATACCTATTTCGCAGCGTTTGTGATTTTCGGAACGTCCCTGTTGATATTTGATGTCCTCACTTGGTTGATGACACAGTCACAAATTATCAAATTCACCTCCAATGCCATCCAATCTGCGTTCCGCGATACATGTACAGTGAACGGTGTTGAGGAAAGCCATACAGCGATAAACCAGTCGAGACTCCCAAGCAGAGGATACAATTCAACAGCGTATTGAAGTACGAATTGTTGTAAACAATTTTCAAGACACAATTACAAAATTTGAAGTGCGTCTTGAAACGTGTTTGAAGTGCTTCGATGTATTTACCTTCGATCTCCCTGAATCGATCCATCCACAGCTACCCGACGAATTTACCAGTCAGTGCGGGAGATGATCGAGCAAGTTATATTTGAAGGTCGCGAGATGTCAGTGGCACTGGCAGGAAATCTACACAAGCGTATTCTGAAATAATTTTCGACTCAGGCGTGATTCAAGAGCGGACTTTGATTTCTCCCTTCTTATTACGAGCACCAGTCGACATTGCATTCTTGGAAAATCTTCTGCGAGTGCTGCCTTCCCCTTTCATAGAAAGAACGAGTGAAGAGGGACACTAGCACAGTAGCAGCAGGTTCTAGCTAGGTCGCCAGAATTGCAGAAAAGCGAGAAGACGTTTCCAATTCCAAATTCCTACAACGATTGATCGCACAAAAATCATCGTTTGAAAAGTGTCGATTTTCAGTAAATTTTTCGGTAGCGATGATTTTTGTGCGATCAATCGTTGTAGGAATTTGGAATTGGAAACGTGCTCTCCCGTACGATGTTTTCACGACGCCCTGTCTGGTTGGAGTACGGGAGAGCATGGTGCACTACATCTGCACTGTGCTGTAGTCTGTCTCTGGCCCAGGGAGCCCTGCATATACAGTAAAACCTGTCAAGGCGACCACTCGGATAAGGCGACCACCTGTCCTAAAATACCACTGAAACCAGGATCAAGGGATACTACCAGTATTTCAAGTCAAATGACCGTGGATAAGGAGACCACATTTTGAAGGTCCCTTGCCTTGGCTTGAGCGGTCGTCTTAGACAGGTTTCACTGTATCATGTATGTGTAGGGCTCCCTGCTCTGGATCGGACTGTAGTCAAGTGGCAAGGGACAAAAAAGGAAACAGAACTCAGTGTACTGTCGTCCTAGCTACGAGCTAGCTACGTAGTCTCGTAGAGCCTCGTACTATTCGTAGAGGCAAGTACTGGGACTGGAAGTGCATGCAGTGGGAGTCTGTTACATGCAGGATCTAGCCACCTCGCACACTTGTTGGCCAGTTGACAGATTTCCGAAGTGTCCTCCTAGTCCTAACAATTATTTGAACGAGTTCTTGCGATCGACTTGAAATATCTTTCGTACTGCCGGAACGATGGCTATCGACCTGAAAACGAATCAGGGAGCGCTGCTAGCGGCTTTCAACGATGTCGTCAGTGATTCTAGTGACACGGATTGGTAAGTAGTCGCTGCTGGCACTAATTTGTCACCTCCAATTCTGGAGTGAGAATCACTATGAGATGGCGGTGGTGTTATCGCGCCTGGCTTCCCATGCGTGTGTGTCTTCACTGTACTGGTCGTCTCTGTTCGGACACGCTGGACATGTATGTTGTGTGTGTGTGTCCAACGTGTCCACACCCTGCAGGGCCGTGTTCGGCTACGACAAAACCAGCAACACGCTGAAGGTTCAAGAAACTGGAGGTATACCTTTACGTCTTGCTGCAACGTAACGTCGTCGCTGCACTGCACTGACTGCACACCTTGTGTTTCCACCTGCCAGTGGCAGTAATAATCTTGCTTGCACTTCGCACTTCAACTCCGCACAATATCTTGCCATAGCGAGACGTAAAATGAAGGATAATGGTCCTGTTTGCCGAATCTCGTGCATGTATATTATGCACAGCGACTGGGTTATGCTCGTGTATGTGCTGAAAACAGTAGCGAAAATATTAGCTACTTCTGACTGTTACTATGAATAGTCGTATACAGTGGAACAAGGTTGAGCTCTCAGTCTGGTAAATGGCGGGGAATAAATTTATAGCATCTTGCGCAGTTGTGCAGCGATATTAAATTGACCTCGCCTCCACAATGTGCATGCGTCACACACACACACACCATCCGCACCCTATCCTCGAGTACAACGCGACACAGCGAATCCATGCAGTTGAGGTATCAACATGAACCAAGGTATCACACAGGTATTGTCCTTCCGTCGGTTTTCTGCACCGGGAGAAATTGGCACAAGGCGGAGACGTGCTAGTACATTATACACTGTGCATGGTTTGTGGATCGATTTGAAAACTCAAACTGTCTGGTTGGTATTGATTTTATTTGAATTTGGTATCTCAACAGTACAATCATGGTACAACTTGGGAAGATCCGATTGACATGGATACATAAACATAAAATTAGAGTAGGTGCTACAGCTGATCATTTTATCGCAGGTTGTGGGACTAAACTAATACCAGTATGCAAGTACACAAGACATAGAAGCTGGTTTCCGTTTGTTTTGTTTGTATTCTTTATTTTATATAGTGGGAAGTCCAAAACAGGCCCTAGCCTAATAACAATGGTCCCACTAGTGAGGGAATGCTGTATATCTGTTTGTGGGTTCAAATAGGATTTGAATGCTCAAACTGTCCGGGTTGTGGGTTTAAATAGGATTGAAAGCTCAAACTGTCTGGTTTGTGGGTTGAAGTAGGATTTGAAAGGAGATGCTGCATGACTAGCACACGGATTTGGGAATAATTATGTTAGCGCTGCCGGGTTCGTTCGGCCAGTGGAGTCCAATGTCCAATGCCGTACTCAGTCTGCTGTGATCAATGTTGTTGCCGCGTGTGTAGATGACGGTGTTGAAGGCATGACGGAGGAGCTAAGCGACAGCAAAGCCCAGTATGCCGTTGTGCAGGTCACCGATCCCAACTCTGGCCTCAAGAAGAACATACAGATCAACTGGGTATGGTGCAGCGAACAGTGTTCATGTGCTATTTCTAGTACTAGCCATGCAGTATTGATGTATGGTCTATTGACCATTGTACAGTGTACTGGTCAACTGGGCATGGAACAATACGGTATATGTACATGTGTTACTACTCCAGCCAGCAATGATACTGATGTACGGTGAGTGAAACCTGTCTAGGGCGACCGCTCAAGGGACCTTCGAAATGTAGTCGCTGTGTACAGGTGGTCTTCCTATCCAGGGTCAGTTGACTGGAGGTAGCAACCCTTGGTCCTGGTTGTAGTGGTCCCCTGGGACAGGTGGTCCCCTGGGACAGGTGGTCACCTTATTCAGGTGTTACCGTATAGTGTACTGCCCTTTCTAGTGGTGAGCAGCACACACTCAGAGATGATGTGCAGTGCATGTCGTAAGCAAGTCCCACCACCGCACACCTTCTTACTGGACTGCATTCACCTGTTGTTATTGTTGCCCATGTGGGGCGCTGTACAGATGGGCGAAGCACTGAGAGAGAGCCGCAAGGGAGTGGTGCAGCGTCACGTAGCGGATGTCGAGCGTTTCTTCCGCGGATGCCACGTCCGCATCGCCGCCCGCGTGGAGGATGACGTCGACGAGAAGCTGCTGCTGAGCAAGGTGGCAAAGTCATCAGGTACGTCTTACCCTGGTTACCATGCCCGCCGGAACTGGCCTGGCTGCTGTTATGATTATCACCGGACTAACCTTTTGGCCACCGGCGTCTGTTCAATGCTCAGGTCATGCTCAGGTCATGCTCAGGTCATGCTCAGGTCATGCTTACCCACCATATCAGGACTGTGGTGTGACCGGACCAATCGGAAATTGCTTCCGGCGGTCTTAATTTTGTTGAAGCGGTGGACACTCTTCCTGTCACATCGTTAGACTTGTTTTGAGCTTCCCCATTGTAGGATAGCTAGGCCGAGCGGTGATGCAGTGTGTTCGGGTGAGGCTTGAGGCGGTCTGCAGGACATTGGCCCCGTCTCCAGCCTCAGAAATTAGAGATTCCTGAACACCACCGCTGTTTGACAGCCTACGGTAGCCATGCCGCAGTTAGTCAGGAGGCTCAGTGGTTGGATTCTGTATGGGTTGTACCTATATGAACAGAGAGCTTCTGTGTTAGAAACCTTGTTGGATATCTGTTGCTTATCAGTACTCATGTGTTTACTGCCTGCACGCCCATGGCCAGTTTGTTATTGATGCCATATTCTTGCCGTTCATTGTTGGTAGGTGCTAACTACGGTGTTCACAAGGAGAAGAAGAAGGATTACGGACCAGTTGGACCCGTTGTAAGTTGTCACGTTGCCACGTGTAAAATCTGTTATTGGCAGGTAGTGGTTACTACAGGGAGAATTGCTTCTTGTGCTGTCGTGACATCCACTGCACTTTTCAAGTTCCAGCACGCAGGATGTGCGTGAAGATGTGAAGGCGCTAACGCTGGTGGGTACGAGGATGGCACCTGTCCGTGGGGATTGTGTGACCAGCACTCTAACTGCTTTCTTCTTGGAGTACTGTTGTGCTCCTGCCGTCTTCAATCACATTCTCAGTCATGTTTAAAATCGTTTATACTTTTCTAGAAGAACCGCCATACAGAGTGCATACACATGATTGGGGTGTTGCTTGAAGTGAATGTGCTCCTCTCCTTGTTGACTTCGTGTCTATTTTTGATTGCTGGTGTTGGCTGTGCTGGCTGTTGACTGACGGCAGGGTTCAGTATATCAGAAGACGAATGCTGGTAGTGACATTGATGTCAACAGTCGTAACAAGTATTGGGCCGACTCAGAGGTAAGACTGAATAGCAAACTACCATCATATGTACAGTGCTGCCAAATAATTTTCGCCCAAAATCGGACACCCTTCACCGCCAAGGCTGGCCACATGGTGCGAATTTTTCTCCTCGGCAATTTTTTTACAGAGAACTCAAAATATCGCCTAAAACACCATGAAAATTCGCTTCGTTGCCATGGTAACCCCGGAGTTGTCATGAATTTTGTAATGATGAGTGTGGTCGCACACTGACTCTGTCCAGACTGTCAGCGTGCATGCCATCCAGCCTGATCCAGGCATGTTTCTTTGCACTTCCACAGCCAAGTGCTAGCCTTTTTAGACGCAAATGTACAGTGATTTGTGCCTTCAGCCCAGGTGCGCTGAAAAGTGAAAGTACTCGTACAGGACTTCTGCATAGGAAAGTAATGATCTCCGACATTTTGGCTGCTTTTCGGACGTTTCCCTTTTCGGACCGGTTTTCGGAAGAGCCTTCAAAAATCGGACACTGTCCGAAAAATCGGACGGTTTGGCAGCACTGTATGTATGATTGTGTTACCTCGTCCAAGAAGTTCCGTGTTCTAATTCTTGGGCTAGTAGTCTTGGCAACACAACAGTGCAAGTACAGTGTATTGCAGACTGCAACGTGTGCACATGTCCTATCTGCAGAAGTGATTACTAGTACTGCGAAGTGCGCTATCAGTCGACTTTCCACTCGCAAACAATTTAATTAAGATCAAAGAGAAATGCCAATACTTTTGTTCAAACCGTTATCACATTCATGTGTTGATGTCGCTGCTGTTTCTCCAGCAACAAGAGAAGGCGAGAATACAAGAGGAGCAGAAAGCAAAGGCAGCAGAGAAGACTCGACTTGAAGCTGAAAGAAAAGAACGAGAGGTTAGTGACACGCATGTTTGCCGCTTGTACGAATGACCAGTGACCACCGGTGCAGGTACCTGCATTTGACTTTGTTGTGTTGTTGAACATATCAATGTGTTGACGTCATGCTACAAGTATATATATGAGTTATTGCGTATAGCATGAAGGAGGAGAGTTTAGGTGAGTCACCAGAGCGTATAACCGTCCGTTTGTATAGGTTGTTAGCATGCAGTGCACATGTGGTAAAGATATTACTTCGGTACCGTGACCTGAAGAAAAAACTCTCTTTCTTTCTTTCTTTCTTTCTTTCTTTCCTTCTTTCCTTCTTTCTTTCTTTCTTTCTTCCTTTCTTTCTTTCTGTCTTTCCTTCTTTCTTTCTTTCTTTCTTTCTTTCTTTCTTTCTTTCTTTCTTTCTTTCTTTCTTTCTTTCTTTCTTTCTTTCTTTCTTCCTTTCTTTCTTTCTTTCTTTCTTTCTTCCTTCCTTCCTTTCTTCTTTCTTTCTTTCTTTCTTTCTTTCTTTCTTTCTTTCTTTCTTCCTTCCTTTCTTTCTTCCTTCCTTTCTTCCTTCATTTCTTTCTTTCTCTCTTCCTTTCTTCCTTTCTGTCTTTCTTTCTTTCTGTCTTTCTGTCTTTCTTCCTTCCTTCCTTTCTTTCTTTCTTTCTTTCTTCCTTTCTTCCTTTCTTCCTTTCTTCCTTTCCTCCTTTCTTCCTTCCTTTCTTTCTTTCTTCCTTTCTTCCTTTCTTCCTTTCTTTCTTCCTTTCTGTCTTTCTGTCTTTCTGTCTTTCTGTCTTTCTGTCTTTCTTTCTTTCTGTCTTTCTTTCTGTCTTTCTTTCTTTCTTTTTTTCTTCCTTCCTTCCTTTCTTTCTTTCTTCCTTCCTTCCTTTCTTTCTTTCTTTCTTTCTTCCTTCCTTCATCCTTCCTTTCTTCCTTTCTCTCTTTCCTCCTCCCATCTCTCTCTGCCCCCCCCCCCTACTCTCTTCACAAATACCAACATGTTTATGTGTGTGTGTGTGTGATGTGTTACAGGCAGCTGAGAGCAAGAGACGTGATGATGCTTCACGCGCACACGACTCAAGCGTCCAAGCTAGAAAGTAAGTCACTGCACTCACTACTCACTGGCCAATGATTATATAATGGTGGTCAAGGAGACTGTGAAAGTGCACGGAGGAGAATTAGCACCCTTGCATGTTTGAACTGACCAGTAGGTGCATATTTTGGATACATATGGGTAACTGGGAGTATCCTTTTGTTGGCCTGCTGATGTGATCGGATGCTCCTGCTACATCTTGTGTGTATCAGCACTGTGGCTTAGCTACGTATAGTTGCAGTTGGGCCTAATGAAATCCGATCCGCCTAGCATTCGGGTTGATGACCGACACTGCACAGCCACACAATGGAACGAGCTACACCTAGCGGCATTGCTGATGTGCACAACTGCAGTGCCTTTTCGTGTTCTCACACCTGCATATCCTGTTCGTTCTGTGCATTTCAGGCAACAGGAAAGACAGCAAGAGGCTGAACAGCGTGACGCAGAGCGGGCACGTTGGGTAAGTTCAGGTTGGCTAGGTCACGTTGAACCTCTACATGTAGATGTCAGTATCCAGATGTCAACATACCGGTACCCGCCACACATGTGCTGTAGAACCTCTCTGCTGTTAATTCATTCCTTCAAAGTGCTTGTATAGCAGTGCACGGTGCAATACACATGTGTCCATGTGTTTGTGACCATATTTCACGATATACCTGTGTGTGTGTGTGTGTGTGTGTGTGTGTGTGTGTGTGTGTGTGTATGTGTGTGTGTGTGTGTGTGTGTGTATGTATGTGTGTGTGTATGTATGTGTATGTATGTATGTGTATGTATGTATGTGTGTGTGTGTGTGTGTGTGTGTGTGTGTGTCTGTCTGTCTGTCTGTCATGTGTTGGTGTGTGTCTGTCTGTCGTGTCATGCTTACAGCGTGCACAGCAAGAACAGGAGCAGGAAGCTGAGTCCGAGGAGAGACGCGCCGCCGACGCATCTCGCAAGCAACAGTGGAGTGAGGTATGTGGCGCCGATGATCCTGCTGTGATGATGGTACAGCATGTACCGGTATTATGTAACCTGATCCCATACTAGGAACTGGTATGAAATTAGGAGTTTTTCAAAGCTGTTTGGCAGAACCTGACAGCACTGCACTGGTCCCACACACAGTGGGCATGATGATAATAGTTTGGTACCGGAGCTGTGTCTGGTCTTGCGAGGACCTACCTATCTGAGATATAGCTGACATCTATGTCTGGATGGCCTTAGGGGCCTTCCGTAAATACCGATATTTATTTAGAAACGAAAACTAGTCGTTTCTCTTCAACCATTGCGCGAAATCGCGCATCTATGAGCGACATCCACATAAACTGCTGGGACCATGGTCGTGTACTCGAATCTCATTCTGAGCACCCTTTTTTCTTCCTTTTTTCAGCCGTTTTTTTTGCAAAGAGTCCTCGATTTTTTGATCGATCGTTCTTCAAGGAAAGTCGACAATCGATCAACAGGGCCGAGGACGAATGCGTCTGGTTGGAGTTCTTGCGTGGCACAGGATGACCAGACACACATATAGATACATTGCGATGATCCAATCTGCACAGCGTTTCCTAATACGGTAAGTACAATTCATGGGCATGTGATTTTAAATCAGTGTTTGTGATCTACGTCGCGAGCAGAACGGAAATGCAGCAACAGCACGACAACTGTTATACCAGGCAGTAACCAACAGTCACCTCCATCACATTCTCCAGATCAGACGGCAAACGAGGGAGTGAACATGCAGAAATAAAGTATGCAAGAATGAAAAATCAATAATTGAAAAATCTCAGAAAAGTTGAACGTAAAAAAACAACACTGAAAACAAGGAAAGGGACTTACTTCGATGGCAAAACACAAAGCGAATGTTCCTCGTTTGGACCTGGCTCTTGCAGAATCAGCCACACAGTGGAACCCTGTGTTTGATTCCACAAGCGATGGCTACCTGCTCCTCACCGACCAGCCTCCATGACGGTGGTAAAGTCACCAAAAATGCGAAATTTGAACATATTGTGCATGCATGCAATAGAACATTTGTGCTGAGTACGTCGAATGGCCATTCCAAAAGTACAAAGCCATTGCGCAAGCTGTGACCCTGACATCTCGTCCATTGGTAGCCAGGGCAACCCTGAGCTGGAAAGTGTAAGCAAGAGTACATGAAAACCGGTTTTCATGTACTCTTGGTGTAAGCGATGGCATGCTACACTCCCCCGTATGCCCTTGACAGTACGATTTGAGGGATGGAGTAGTAATATACTAGTATCTTACTACTCCCTGATACCAAATGCATGGGCGTCGTCATTTTCATCCCGCAGATCGAAAAATGTACAGGTGTCGCATGATTTCGCGCAATGCCCCCTCCCCCCTCCCTGAGAAACGAACACATACAAATGGTACATAGTATCGATATTTTTGATCTTTTTTTCTGGACATGCTCACGCGTGCAAAATGTACATCGATATTTTTCGAGAAACGAACAGGCGCTCAAACCCCCCCCCCCCCCCCTAAACGACTAGTTTTCATTTCTAAATAAATATCTATATTTACGGATGGCTCCTTACATGCCTACATGTTCATGTGTTTGTTTGTTTGTTTGCTTGTTTGGCTATTCTAGGAGCAGTCCCGCATAGCATCCAACAAGACGAAGTTTGACATGGGCAGTGGTCGCGATGAAGAGGCCGCGCAGAGAGAGAAAGAACAGCGATGGGAAGAGGTCAGTGCAAGTACCAATCCAAGCTTGTACCATCTGAACACGAAGTGTAATATGGATACGTACGTCACAATGCCATCTCAATTTCGAACCAAATTCCTTTCAAAGGATCATTACTTCTTTACACCGCCCGAGTGTGCACTGCAGTTAAATCAGTCCCATCAGCTTTTGCCTGGCTGCAATAATTGTAGAGAATGACACGGTGTCAGGTGAAAATTCAGGCTGGGCCGAATGTGCGCAGCACTTGAGGCACAGTACGTGTGGAGCTGCAGTAACGCAACTTCCAAACGGTAGTATCGGGCTTGATGGTATTTGACTATTTGTGACCCAGAGTTACAAGTAAGAAATAAGCTTCACCACAGCATGAAACGTTGCGAATGTGCACTAAGTCTTGATTCATGCCAAGCCATAGAACGGCAGCACGGTGTAAAGCATGTCCACAAACACAACGCCGATCACATGTATGGAACGGACACGGGATGGTAAGCCGACGATATGCACAGCAGCTGTGCCAAACAAGTCACACATGTACCAGGGAGTAGTAAAATACCGGTATTTTACTACTCCCTGACGTGTACAATGTACCATGCACTGCTAACTAACCTGCAGGAGCGTCAACGTATTGCTGAGGCGAAGGCAGCAACACGTGCAGAATACCAAGATGAGGAGGAGGAGGAGGAACCAGAGCCTGAAGCCGAACCTGAACCTGAACCAGAGGCAGAACCTGAACCTGAACCAGAGGCAGAGCCAGAACAAGATATGTATCAGGTAAGGGGAATCCAAGCTTACCAATTATTGTTAGGTGAATTTGAAGAAAACAATGTTCTCCCCCAACCCACTCTTTCTGGAGGAAAGGAAAACCCGCCAAATTATTTTAATGAATCTTTTGCACCTTCAGTTAGACTGAGGTTGGGTTTTGAAATGATGCCCCCCCCCCCCCCACACACACCCACACACCACCCCTTACGAAAGCAAGCAGAAACAAAATTTAATTGGCAAGCGTAGACGGTGGCGCCTAAGTAAGTTTCTCTCTGAACACCCTGTAGAGTTGTCCATGTATTCCATTACAATAATATTATAGCAGTCGCATAGATATGGACATTGACTTGGAAAACAGCTGCCATAGTTGATTTTATGTAGGAATCCACAAGCTGATACCGGCCGGGAAGTTGGCCGTTTTCTCATATTTTTACAGTGTACGCATATCTCTCTGGTCCGAGTTCAGTCGTATGTTGTGATGAGCCTGATAAATTTGTTAGTACACTCATCATATCTCTCTTATCCGGACCTTGAAGTTATGGGCACCTTGGTCTACCGGGCACCTTGCGAGTTAGTTTTAGTAGAAATATCACTACTTTTCTGCCTATTTTTGGCGAAATAGTGATGTCATATGCCAGGTCTCTAGCCCTTCTCCATTCTCGATTTGAAGAGTAACACATTTCAAAGTCATGGGCCATGCCCAGTCTCAGATCGCTTGGATACTGTAAGTCTACAAATGTTCGGCCCATTCAAATTCCGGCCTCCCAGGGCTAAACACACATTTCGGCCGCATTAAATTTTCGGCCTGTATTGCTGCTGACTGTATACACTGTCACACTGAACCTTGCGAAACAAAATTTTCGGCTGCAACACATTTTCGGCCAAATATGACCAGGCCGAAAATAGCCGAAAATAAATATGCGCCGAATATTTGTTGACTCACAGTAAGCGAGATATGAGTGTATAGCAATGTATCACACATAGTAGGTACTAAGCTTTAGCCCATGACTTGGTTTTCTACTGCTGAACACTGCATGTACTACTACAGAATGTTGCCGAGAGCCATGAGCCAGAGGAGGACCCAGAGGAGCTGTATGACACGGCGGAGTCTCGGGTATGGTTTACTGGCAGACTGATTGTGCAGTGGATGCAATGTCGCTGTATACTTGCAATACTGTTCACTCTGACTTCTACTGGTGCAAAAAAGGCAGACTTTGGGTTTACAAACGGTGACATACAGTTAGTGGCTCTGACCTCTTTTCCTGTACGCCTTTGGTTTGCCACCCTTGACAACAAGCGTTTGAGTGAGGAATATGAACTCTTTGAATTGTCCCAGTGTATGATGTATTTTTGAATTTCATGGTTTGCATCTGTTTGGGACCCATGAAGCGCAGTGGATTGTACCAGCGTGTCTTTCTAAAACTGAACAGTCACGGTATACTATACTCATTGGCACGCACGGGATCAAAGTCTTTCTCATGATCCATCTAGAATCTGTGTCATGTTGCACAGCCTCCTCCACCCCCCCCCCCCCCAACCTGCAGCCCCCTCTGCACCTCAGGGCCTATAGCCCCGCCCCATTTGATATCCTGGGTAAATCCCTGTAAATTCCAGCAGATAGTAGATATACAGTGCGGTTGGCGCAACTCCATGCGTTAATCACCCCAATTGCGTTTTGCTTTCTCTGATGTAACTGCTGCTGCCACCGTAACAACGCAGGATGCTGTAGAGCCAGAGGAAGACATGTACGCAACAGCAGAAGCACCAGAGGAGGTAAGCAACCAGTGGGTAGTTCAAGACCCGTTCAGTGTGATCACTGCCGGGTACTGCAAACCAACAGACCTTTGCCACCTGGAAACATTCACGATTCTTGCGATGTGTGAAATTGTAAAAGTATAAATTTTTAAAGCCGGCGTGAAGCGCAGAACTGTAGTACAAACTAATGCTATGGAGTCCAATCGCAAACGTTTCCCCGTGCAGATTGATCTGTGTTCGCAAATCGCGAGCTAAAACCGGCGCAAATATTTCCCGGTTTACAATTTACCTAACGTTACCTGCGCAATCACGCTGTTGCTGTTTATGAAGATGGGCGTATTTTTCGTTGAAAAGCGTATGTTCATGTTTTGTCAAAGTTATGCATTAGGCCATGGTAAAAATTATCTTTGATTCTCAAGTACGCGCACACCGATTTTTGGCGGCGCACCGATGATTTTTTTATTTCTATGCATGCATATGCGCGCATGAAAACAGTCAATGCGAAAGGCATGATTCAGGGAGTAGTAAAATACCGGTATTTTTCTACTCCCTGGCCTGAACGAGAGAGCTTGGAAGCTCAGGGCCCTACGCTATGCTTTTTTGCCTTGATGACCTAGACAAAAAAGCATAGGGATGTTATAAATTCTTATAAGGCGAGACCAAAATAAAATCGAGATTCCCGGGCAGGACCCATGTGAAATTGGTGCGGGCGGGCGAATTTTTATTTAATTTTTTTTTCCCATGTTCAGGTATGTACATGACTTTATGTATGCATGCCATGTTGAACTTTTTTTACAGCATTTTCCGGTAATTTTTATTCATTTTTTTCAGACAACAGGTACGCGGTTTACCCGTTCTATTTTTCTGTATTTCGGCCAACGATGGCCCTGATCTGCTGTCTGTACATCAGGGAGTCGTGCAAGTCGGGTTTGTATGACTCCACGTCACAGAACTACTCACACGATCAGTACTGTACATGTATGAACTGTTCAAAAAAAAAAAAAAAGAAGTTGGCTTTGGCTCGAATTTGGTGCGGGAGGGCCCGGGAATCTCTATCTTTTTTTATCTCGCCTAAGTTTCTACTTTTTGTTTTTAGACATAACCTGGGATTCGAACCCGCACTATCGCCCTGCATGCATCCCCCGATACACTTCGCATACATACTAATTCTTCCAAGTTGCTTCACGTTATGATCTTGTATTTGAAAGCCCTATTTGAATATGCATTGTGGCCAGCCGTCTTTGAATGCACGGCACGGTACGGGATAGGTACGGGACAGGTACGGGACAGGTGCGGGACAGGTAGTACGGTCGAGGGTAATACGACACCGTCTACCGCCTTCATGACGGCAAAAAAAGAAAAAGGGATGTTATAAGTAATTCTCCTATTTTTTTCAGGCATTACCTGGGATTCGAACCCGCGCTATCGCCCCACATGCATTCTCCCACACACTTCGCATTCATACTCATTCTTCCAAGTTGCTTCACGTTATGATCTTGCGTTTGAAAGCCCTATTTGAATATTGCGGCCAGCTGTATGTGGCCAGCTGTGTTTGATGGTACGGTACGGGACAGATACGGGATAGCGCCAGGCGTGACACAAACACACAAACAAACAAACAAACAAACACTAAATTAAAGCTGTGTGGACCCTGGCTAGCGCCAGACGTTACTGAAGTAACGTCTTCTGCATAGCTACGGGAATAATAAAATAATTATATGAACCTGTGACGTACATATGTGTGACCCTATCTTTGGAAATTAAAAAAATTGTGGGAAATAAAATAAATCGCTCGCTCGCACCGATTTTCACTGGCTCATGACCTGAGGATCAACTTTATTTTTTACCATGGCCTTAGTACAGCGCGTGGCGGGGTGAAGTGGGCTACTGGAGCAGTAGACTTGTTTGTCATCACGTCAAGTTACCTGTGCTATCATAAGGAAGTGTGTTTCCTTGGCCCTCTCGGCCCACTGTACGCCCGCTGTCTAGACTCGCATCAAACAAGCGGCACGACACTCAGTCGCTTCCATGTAGCTCGTGTTTGTCTTTGTCAGCATGATCATCACACGCCTATAGCCTCGACGTGGCAGAGAGCAAGATAGAACAGTAGCCATATCAGAAGATTCTATTGTATGCAGCTCTTTCTACCAACAGTGAAAGATGTGTCCAAGTTTGCGTTGTTCGTATACATAATATAATGGCACTGCTGGTCGTGGCTGATTGTTTTTGTATTCCTGTTGATTCTATGCATGGCAGCCCGCACCTGCAGCATCCGGCAAGCGAGCCCGTGCTGTCTACGACTACCAAGCAGGTATGTCATGTCGTACATGACCAGTTGAACATGCACATGGAACGTACACGCATTGTTCACACTCGCTGTGTACGATCCCTGTACGCCGGTGTACTGTAAACAAACATAACGTGGACACCAGTTGATTTATACATTGTACATACTCAGTGTTTACCCATATCAACCTCGGTCCATCACCATTAAACACACCGCTATCAACATGGTACACACCTACTGTATGTTGTGCTGTGATCAGCAGCGCGGGACTACTATTTTTGAAGTATTTTTTAAAGGAAAATTCTGTGTTCACTGCACCTAACACAGGGTCCATGCATGGCTCCATGACTTTTTTCAACACACTGAGCTGTTCTCTATGTGTCCCCATGCAGAGGAGGAAGGAGAGATTTCCTTTGATCCTGATGACATCATCGACGACATTGAAGAGATTGACGAGGGCTGGTGGAAGGGAACTAACCCGAGCGGCGAGTACGGCATGTTCCCGGCAAACTACGTGGAGTTGATCTGAGTCGTCGTCGTTGTTTAGTTCGTGTTATAGCCGTCTTTACAAAACTGACATTTCACTGGTTTTACTACGTACAAGCCTTTCCCCGTCCCATTTTTACTAAATTTCAATTGCTGCTAACAGCTCGAATATTCCGATTTTTTTATCCTAGTTTCTGCTAGATTCAGTAGGCTAACACACATTGCAATAGTTGTATTGTCTACTTTGCAGTGTCAGGTAAGGGTACACAGACATGCTGTATACCACTGTGATACACAGACATGCTGTATACCACTGTGATACACAGACATGCTGTATACCACTGTGATACACAGACATGCTGTATACCACTGTGATACACAGACATGCTGTATACCACTGTGATACACAGACATGCTGTATACCACTGTGATACACAGACATGCTGTATACCACTGTGATACACAGACATGCTGTATACCACTGTGATACACAGACATGCTGTATACCACTGTGATACACAGACATGCTGTGTACCAACTGTGGCTACTGCATTATCAGGTACTTGCCTTATTTTAGCTCAGGAAATGATCCTTGTTGGTACAGGATGTTGGATTGGGATTTGCCATGAGCCTTTTGTCAGTTTTCTGCTGTATGGCCACTCTAGGATGTCTGTTCAATCGGATTAGCTTGCGTTTGTGTTTTAAGCAGGCCGAGGGGGGGGGGGGGTCTTGTATCAATCTGCACATCATTTCTATTCAATGGCTGTGCCACGACATGTGTGCCATGTTGCACATTGCACCGTTTGCAGCTTGGTGTATGCAGAGTGTGCATATGCCCTCACACGCCACTGTTCTATCTCCCTGCAGTCCCTGCCGTCAGTAATCACTGACTTACTTCCCAGCATGTTCTTGACTTGAACATCATTGTATTGATGGCCGCTGCGGCCCGCTCAGTGTTTGTGTGTTTGTACATGTATGTGTGATGCACGTGTGCGTGCATGTATGTGTGTGGTATTTTTGTTGCTGTGTCTAACGTACCCATACATCTTCACGACACTCTCCCAACGGTCTCTGGGCTACACCAATCACTAAAAGAAAAAAAGAGATAATCATTCCAATTTTCGGGGAAGTCCCATCCTCAGGAATCGCCCTTTAACTTTAAGAAATGTGTCTAACGTAGCTTCCAAAAAAACACCATTAATATTTTGACGACACACAGCAGCAAGGCAGCGGTGAGACACATTGAATGGAAGGAGTGGGGGAGAGGCGTATGCACAATATCAGAGAGTCACGAAGCGAATCCCGGGAGGAGGGAACAGAGTTGGAGCCTGTTTCTTCTTCTTTATTCTTTAGTTCATAGCCTGTCCGTTGCCCACTCCCAGCGGGTAAGGCGCAGGTGGGCGTTGACCTTCTCTTCGAACGTGTCTGCAGTCCTTTCCTTGTTGGCGGGTTCAGCAGAACGCGCTGCGGGAGCTGGTTCCTGACCTCGACAACAGCGTCAGGGAAGGACCACAGGATGTCATTCCGTGCTCTGCGGTAAAGAGCGGGTGTAAGCTAAACGAACACAATGTAGACCTACATCATGATTGTACTGGCACCCAATGCTGCTGTATTTAGCACTGCTACACTGCTACACTGCTACACTGCTATACTGCAGCTAGGTGGTGATGCGGGGCCATTGGGGCGGATCTTTCAGCTGGGGACAGAGCCATACGTGTACTACTAGTACAGTCGTCCCTCTCTAATCCGGCACTTCATAATCCAGCACCCTCGATAAACCAGCACAATTTTCAGTAGCCAAAATGTCCTCTTCATGCACATTGCAGCAGTAAATCAGATTTGTTAATCCAGCACCCTCCCTAATCCAGCAGATTTTCGTGGCACAAATGGTGCCGGATTATAGAGGGACCGCTGTACTAGTATAAGTAAGCATGCTAACACACCTACTGACCTAGCATCAGCAAGGCTAGTACAATGTCATATCCTTTACCAAGATGCAAGAGTTGTTTATCTACTCTTGCCTTTACTGATAACATCACGTGATCAATCGAGTTGACTGCGCGGTCCGATTCTTGGAAGGGACTAGGAGTCTGATCGCAGAACGCGCTAACTGTTGACTCCGCCTTCTGGTAATGCCAGAAATATACATGGCGTGTGCGTGCCTGATACATTGTAGTAGGGGTGAGAGAGTGTCCTCTGCTCCCGTCACGTGAGGCTATACATGCTACTGGCGATAGGTATGGGCACAGATACACAACTTGAATGCCCTGCACAGGAAGAGGGACTGAGATCGACCTAAAGACTTTAAGTGTACATACAATTACAAGGCTAGAGCGATGACCAGGCCAGGCAGCAATGCAGAAGCAATGCGGGAGGGAATAGCCTACAACCACATAACTACATGATACTTTTCCTGCAGTGAGTGATTGGACTCAGTTGTTGTTATCGTCGGCACCAAGTGAATGTCGGTCCCAGCTCTGCTACATGTACATGTATACAGCATACGTAACGTGTTAGTCCAACCACGTGGAGTAAAGTCCCGAAGCACTACTAGGACCTCTAAATAGACGGACCGACTTGAGCGAACTTGTTGAGGTAGTAGATCTACGCGTTTTACCTTTTCCTAACATCATTATCTACGAACCTAACACACTTACAGTAGACAAGAATGGCAACAGATGGCAACAGATATCATGGTTGATGCTGTAGGGACGCTAGCATGCCTGTTCTTATCAACATGTATTTAGGCATACTGGAATGCTATGCGAGGATTGTGGTCCGTCTGCAATGACTTGTTATCTTGGCTTCATCATTATAATTTGCACATGAGTGCTCGAACAAAATTAATGTCGTGTGCACTTTGCAGTATAGCTTATGAAGTTATGTACATGATAGATTTCGGAATCAGTGCAAGCCAGCAAGGCTCCTACCAGAGAGTCGTAAAATATTATGGTATTTACGACTCCCTGAGCTGGCTCCTACTGTGCTGTAAAGACTTTCTTAAGTCTTAGTAGCCCCCTGGCCCTCCTGCTTGAAGTTAAAACTTCAAGCATGAACGCCTGCTTAGCATCATCCTTCTAGTCCACGTTATCAACGATCATCTGGTGGCATGGCCGGCACAGCATCATCATTGTCATTGAGAAGTGAAGGGGAACATCTGTTACTGTACATGTACCTGGTGTACTCAGGGTGTGAGCGTTGGGGCGTCAATTACAACCCTATTCACTTGCCTTGCGACTTGTCGGAGTTGTAGAGACTGACCGTTGTTTTGCCCAGCTGTACTGCCCAGTACTTCTACACTGACAAGCAAACTGAACGCAAGATGCTTGGCAGTGGCAGGAAAGTGGACACGGCCCGGGATGAAAGATGCGGCAACGGAAGGCCATTATACAACACTAGTCTACAAACTACAATGTCGCCTGCTGCTGAAGAGGCCCCTGATCGGCCATCCACTAACTGTAGACCATCGTTGTTGAATATAAATAATGTACTTGCACGGTGCAATCACTAGTCGCAGCACAGTAGCTGAACTGTAGACCTACATGTACGTATTGGCCCAGACAAGCGTGATGGAGAGCATGCTGCATGGCCAATGTGGAGCGAGTGATACGTATTCCTCACACCGCGACACTCACACAGTGTAATGTATACGTTAGCGAGGTGGCACTTCCGCTGAAACTACAATGTACTTCTCAAGGGTCCTCACAGGTTCTTGCGCTTTGGACACGTGCATGTGCAATGTCCATGGCCATTGTAACAATTGCTAAGTAAGTTTTGGAGTATCCACGATGGACTGGAGTGATGAAGTGATGGAGTGATAGAGTAGCATACATCTTGAGGTTAGGAGCTTGCGCGAGAAACGAACGTTACCATCAATGTTTATCCTGATGGCGGAATGCAATCATGGTGCATTTTACGCGAACATACATGTACTCGTGGAGAGTGAAGACCTTTCCTAAAATAGACTCCTTCCCTCCCTTCACTTCCGGGTGCTGACCTTACAAGTCAACATGATTGTACTGTTCTCTGGAAGGTATGCATGGCCTGTAGTGTAGTTTCAATGGACCCCAGCGCCTCCTGCATAGCTTCAGGGACACCGTCATCGTAGTATAGTCTAGTATAGTGTCGATGGTGCTGGATGATAATAATGGGCACATAGCACTGTTTGGATAAAACAGATCATCGGAGAGAATGAGGATTCAATTTAATGAGTGAGGAAACTGCATACCTGTAAGGGCCTTGTGATAGTTTACCATGTACATGTACATGTATGATGATGACAACAGTGCACAATTTGTAGGACATACTGTCTATGTGGAAACAGTGTTCCTGGCTGCAACCAGACATCATCATTCTCATAACGTTACCTGTTCGCACGTGCATCGCACTGGAAAGTCTTGGTTACTTGATAGTACTACTTACTTAGCAGTAGTAATACATACGTACAATGCAGTATATGCGCAAGGAGTCGTAATCTAGCCCAGATTCGGGGCGAGTGGAACGTGACACGTGGTCTAGCGCTACAACTTGCAGGTCAGCACAAATACTGGTGTACCTTGAAACAACTGCTACTAACTAATTTACTTAGTTATACGAATCCGCATTGAGGCTTAATTTAGAACGCTGGGCTCCTCCTATCACCTAAACAGTAAAGACAAACAAGCCCTGTGTCACAGTGTGTGTTGTAAGAGCTGGACAATGGACATGTTAGTTCAGGTAAGTCCTCTAGCAGCTGTCATGCTCAGAAAATAACCTGCAAACCGCAAAGATGGCGAGAATTGATTGCTAGAATTGAGCAACAGTTCGTGTTAGGAGTTCATCGCCTGAACTGATATTGGTGATTAGGGCAACCAGTTACTTGCACGGTACGGCCAAGCGTCACTTAATCATGGAGTGCTAGAGCGTAGAGAGAGCCAGGGTGAGTGAGCGTGAGAGCGAGGCGGGAGGTAGTGCGAAGACTAAATCTAAAGTCTAAGTCCACGCTACACGTCCATTCTAACCAGTACCAGTACCAGTACCGGTATGATTATTGTCCTACATTGTAGTGGCTGTGACAGTGAGAATGACAGTGGCAAGCAGTGCAGGGCCGGGCTAGGGGGAGATATAGATATAGGCAGGGTTTTGGCAGCTGCGGTCGAGTGTTGATGACATCTACAAAGGGTCCGTCGCTTATTTTTCCACGCCGCAAGTGCCCAAACCTCCTTGATGAAGAACATTGTACTGCTGTTGCCTCTAATACTGTACCTCCAGAGTCTGTTCCTTGACCCCAACCTGCGCTGGCCTGCCTGCCTGCTGAATTCAAAAAGCCAGGATTTGGGTTGGTTGTCCGCTCTACTTTACAAGCAATTTCTGGCGGGTGCCAGTATCATTATCATCAACATCAGCTGCAGCAGCGGCAGCGGGAGCAGCTCTACCAGCAGCAGGGGACCGAAGCTTGGCGAAGAGAAAGCGTGATGAACAGCTGCCAGTCAGCGATCTACCTGTGCCTGTAGCTGCAGGCTGACATTTGTGACAGCACGAGATGAGCTCTACATAAAACGTCAATTGGCCCTCTTGACTGCTCGCGGACACCGCATCACTGCCTCAGACCAAATACATTGAAGTGCATCACGCTCAGGCCACAAGAGGGAAATACGATCGAGAGTTATAACATCTAGTATAAAAACCAAGTATTCGTATTCTTTGACTCTTTCCAGTCCTAGAGGTGCGGAGTTGGCGGACAGCACTGTCGACGCACAGGAGTTAGGAGGTGACTGCAAGACCCGCCTCTCCCCAGCCATCAGGGATTCAATCGTCTATACAAACGTCAACGCAGAAGGCGATTCTATTGCAATGCCCCAACACCTAGTAGCAAATAGAGATTGTCCCTTGACGTGCTGAGCAGGCCAATTGGACTGGACTTCTGGTTGGGAGGCGTGGAATACTGCCGAACAAGACGACCAATTCTTTTGTTTTGCTACCAGCAGAAAATACATGGTCCCCAGAGTGTTCTTTCTCCTCATTCGTTCCGGTTATTACGTCTGTGGTTCGGCTCCGATAGAATGATGTCTCCTCAATTTCGGATCTTCACAGCTGCTCGCCCTGCAGTGGCGTCGCAGCTTTGTGGCATAGTGATCACGCTGTGTTTGGGAGTGATGATGCAGTGCTGTTGGATGTGTCCGTGCGCTGGTCAGCTGATAGCGGAGAGCTCGCATGTGATACAACTGGGTCCTGACGCTAACACTGGCACAGTGAATAGTGGTAATAGTGATGGCGGCGGAGTCGACAGTTCTCCTCCCACTGTTCACATTGATAGTAATAGTAGACCCACCGGGGTCCTGGGCGCAACGGAGAGGATGTGTGTCAAGTGGAATAGGCGTATGGAACGCTGCCGGTGTACACCAAGTATGGTCAGTTGCAGAGGTGTGGAAGATGCATACCTGCCAGCCGCTCCTAGCACCACGGAATGGCTGTAAGTTCTCTTAGCCAGTTTTACTATTGGAATTACAGTATATGTGTTGGTACAGGTACACTGAACATGTATGTATGTACAATACAATCATGTGTGTGTGTGTGTGTGTGTGTGTGTGTGTGTGTGTGTGTGTGTGTGTGTGTGTGTGTATGTGCCTAGTGTGTGTGTGTGTGGAAGTTGCTATGTCTAACATAGCTGTTCGCTATCATCGCTTCCGCGATGGGCATGTCTGAGGTCTGAGGTCTGAGGTGTGTATGTGTGTGTGTGTGTGTGTGTGTGTGTGTGTGTGTGTGTGTGTGTGTGTGTGAGTGAGAGAGAGAGAGAGAGAGAGACAGAGACAGAGAGAGAGAGAGAGAGAGAGAGAGAGAGAGAGAGAGAGAGAGAGAGAGAGAGAGAGAGAGAGAGAGAGAGAGAGAGAGAGAGAGAGAGAGAGAGAGAGAGAGAGAGAGAGAGAGAGAGAGAGAGAGAGAGAGAGAGAGAGAGAGAGAGAGAGAGAGACAGACAGAGTGCTAGACACAGTGATATACATGTACATTGTACACCCCTTCTATGCTGTACACTTTGCATCACGACTACACCAGTGAGATAACGATAGAGATGCTAATTGCTATGCTCCTAAGCTGCAGTCCCATACACTATGGCCAGCCAGGTAACAGCATACAACAGTAGAAAGAAGGTCAACATCTCTAGGCCCCCATCCCCCATCCTTACGACAATTTATGTGCCGGGTACTACTCGTACCGTAGGCCAGAGACACGAGAGAGTACATGACATTGTAGTATTTTACTACTTCAAAGTACTCTACACAATCACAGAAACGAGTGTGACAGTTCAGGTGTTCAGGGGAAAATACTAGTATTGTACCACGAACATGCCCAATGTGCAGAGTGCATCCTGTGGTCCAGTGTGCACTGCAGCTACCAGTAATCTTGACTGCTACATGGAATGAGAGATGAGCCGTACATGACTGTACTGTACTGCATGTACTGCATGATGTCTACAATGATTAGGTACACACTAGTCACCGGAGCAACATGCCATTGTCTAACTGGGGGTCGTTACCTTGACATTATGCCATAGTGGTGTTGCCTGTTGCAGTGTTGGGAAGGAACACGAGATGCTATCACTTATCAGTAAATACCTGTTCTAAGTGATGTACATATAGCTGCACACTGACAGTGATAAGCACGACCAGTACACATGGTACAGGTACTTTCTATTTTAGGATTATCTGAAGGTTGGGCTATAGCGCTAGGGCTTCAATCACTGAAGACACGAGTAAGGGTCACTCAATGCCTGCTGTGCAGTTTAGGTGGCAACTGCCCACACTGCACTGGCAACTGCCCACACTGATTAAGTCTCCTGGGTCTCAGTGTTCTCAGTGTTCACTGGTGACTCTCTAAAAGTGTGTACAGTGTAGAGGCACAAAGGGCAGGTGTCACCATGGTCACTGGTGACTCTCTCTCTACATGGTTGTGTACGGACATACAAGTACTGCTGCTGACGATATTCAACAGGCTGCCATGCTATTTGCCTGGGATTACAAGGGTAGGTTGCTGATGAGGGCATGGTTGTTTACACGCAGGGTACATGCTTGGGCAGCACACCTTTCCAAGTTCCGAAGTTCGTTTCCTTCAGGACACACTTTAGGAGTAAGGATTCCCTTTTGTGAAAAATGCAAATGTATTCATTAGCACTAAGGCAGTGTGCCCAGCCCTGAACCTCGACTGATCATGTAGCCAATGTCATCTCATCTACTTCGTTGCTCAGCAGTCAATAAACGACCCATCCCCTCACCCAGAATAGCAATGGTACTGGCAGACCTATACCGCTGTGGTAAAGAGACACAAAACATCTTAGGTATACGGGTACCAGTACATGTAGAACGGGACACATACCACAGAATGGGCAAAGCTACTGTGCAGAGCCACAAAGGGCAGGTATCACCACATAATACTAAAGTAATAGTATATCAGCCCAGATGACAGAAAGAATTAACGGTCACATTCACGTGCAGCACTGCTCTTGTAGATACTGATACACAGTAAAGCATTAGCAGTGGATCATGGGTGAGAGATGGTGACAGTTGATCATGGGTGAGAGATGGTGACAGTTGATCATTGCTGAACTCTAAATATGCTGGTGGGTGTGTCTCTGAAACAGAGAAAGACTAAGAGTGCATTGTACAGTGGAGGAGTACTACAGACTGCAGTAGTCCTTGGGCAGTACCAGTATGGACATTGTGGCGTTGTCAGCAGCTGAGCTGAGCCAGGTAGCTGCCAAGATAATAATGATACTGTTACTAGTGTGTGATGAGTGATGTGTCCGAAACACACAGCCAGATCGGTTGACTAATTGTCCACTGGGATCCACAGCTCAGCTTTCCATACCTGTCCTTTCCTCCACAAGTACCAGTCCTGTTTGAAGGTAAACTCTTGCAACTGGTGCGCTGACACTGGTATGGTGACATCAGTCAAGGTGGCTTATCTTACCTGAACATCTACAGTGCAGCTACATAAGTCATTGTAAACCTTAGCCTTAGTAAAATAATTAGGAGAAGAGTTCCCATACAGTGCAGTGTAGAATGCATCTTCAAGTTGTGGCATGTGTGGGATGAAAGCGGTCACATCTGACAGGTTTGGGCAAGGGAAACGTCCAGGACTGTGCTACACTGCAACATACCGCGTACATTGTAGTTCATGATGTACAACAAAATGTATCATCACATTGTACTTCCAAGTAGAGAGATAACCGATAGGATTTGCGTGTCTGGGCCTTGCACCCGCCAGAACCCTGTTCAGTGGACATAAACGAATGCCTTCAAGTTCAAGCAATGTACCTGACTACTTCTCAAGTTGAAGGTCGATCAATGGTTCATAGTTAGGAACATGCACCTGTACATGTATAGTATCAGAAGTGCATGGGCTGGAGATATAGTTTAGATGAATCCAATGGGACAAACTGTTCAGTCTGGCCCTGGTTTGGGCCTTTTGCCGGATGGGGAAAGGGAGCACTGAGGTAATGCGTTATGCCAAATGTCAGTAGGACGTATGGTCACTCATTGTGTTACTGAATTGTGGTTGCTCTTTTGAATTCCCCCAGTTGGTGGTCCGGCTGTTGTTGTAAACTACATCAGTACATGTACATGCAATGCTACCTGTATGAACTGCACACTGTGTTGTGTAGGAGAAGTCTGTGAAGACCCATGGGGACAGGGCTGCAGAATTAGAATGCCACTGGCAACAGAAGGGTGACACCAGGACTTGAAGTTATGTAGATGGTTCCAGTCATAGCATAGATGTCCAGAAAAGAAACATGGTTAAATCTACGTTTAGATACCAGTCTTTGCCATCAGTTGACGTCAGTGCTGCCCCCAGGCATAAAAACACCAGCAATAACTGTGTTGATGAACACCAAGGTGGCTTTGAAAAGTGTTTAACCTACCAGCCGCCCTTGCTGCGCTGAGCTAACGGGAGCTGGACACAAACATACTTAGACGGTATACAACGGCCAGAGGCAGTCACTAGAGCCTGAGAAGTCTACAATCTGTTCCTGGGCGAAATGTCTGCAAACAGATGCACACACGCAGGCAACCATTGAGGAAATGGTACAGTACGCATTCCTGGTCACAATGCAGACTGCTGGTGACAATCCAACATTAACAGCCATACCAGGACAAACTCGGAAATGTAGTGTTATTATAATTTGGTTAGCTAGGGAGTATTGACACCAGGTACCTGCCTGTACATGTACGAAGTCATTGCTCTACCCGTGCAACTCCTAATCTCCTTCCCAACACAATGGTCGATGGTTTGGAAAGCTGATTAGTCGTGACAGCAATTGCAAGTGGTTATTCTGGGTGGACAAATGAATAATTGAACAACTAATTTGCTGGAATCCGCCGCCTGCAGGCAAATGTCCAAACATGGGCAACGGCATTGACCATGGCAGCATGGCTATATGGCATGACTACGCGTCAGTGTAGCTTGGCGCTTACTTAGGGCCTTACACCCTTAGATAGAGTACTCCACTACTACGTGTACGTGAGCTGATGTAAGCAGTACTACTGTTGAAAGGCTGGGCCAGAGCCGAAGACTAATATTATTACCAAGAGTGAACTCGGATGGTGAGCCAATTAAATTATGGTGAAAAATTGCAACTTTTGTCGCACTTGCTGACTGTATAAGATCTGGTTACGTTGGTGGACTCGCGGGTAACATTTTGTCCTTCTCCTTTTTCCCATAATATTATTATTAATTACCAAGAGTACAAATGTTACACCATAAGAGTGCAGTGTGTAACCATGCCATGCTCTAAGTACAGGCAGTACTCAGTAGCAAGAGTACATAAGGCTTCGCTTCTGCCATGCAGAATAGTTGCCAACTACAGTATGGCAACAAACCGTTTGCCTTTACATCCCACTTGTTCTGTTTTCTATGACCAGACATGTAGATAGATGTACGTAAACCTACAGGCACAACATTTAATACAGGTACTGTACTGTATACATGTATATCTATACAGACTGGAAACAGAAACAGAACATGATCATCATGATGCATGCCATGTACAGTATGTACTGAACGTACATGTACATTGTACATGTACATACACACAGACTGGAAACAGTGATCGACATGTAGCAAATACGTAATACAACAGTGAACCAAAGTAGTTACATGTTGTAGCAAATTGCACACATCGACTGAGTCAGGTTGGTCCATGGTGCACCAACTATGTCTGGCCATGGGTATGATCTTGCCAACTTCAAAGCCAAGCAACTCGAGTACGGATGCTGTCATTACAGTCATTGGCTAGCCATTTCCAAGAGTTTAGCAATTAGCATACTGGTTGGATGGGACTGAGTGCCGTGATGTGCAAATTCTCCTCTGGCAGATAAGAATAATTATCATGTTGGATGAAGAGAAATGTCCTGGGCCTAAGCTACACCATAGTACATGCTGATACCATGTCACTTAGCGTGCCAGCAACATACCACATCATCTTTTTTCCATTCCGGAATAAGCAGGAGTTCCAAAGTTATACTTCTCGTCACGTGACGGTATGGTGTTACCAATGTGCTACATACCTGATGTTGCAAAGCCACGCCAAGCACTTGCTCAACTTTGCTGTTCTGTCCCCGCTACCCACCTCCTCCTCCATTCTCTCTTTCTCTTCCTCTCTCTCTCTCTCTCTCTCTCTCTCTCTCTCTCTCTCTCTCTCTCTCTCTCTCTCTCTCTCTCTCTCTCTCTCTCTCTCTCTCTCTCTCTCTCTCTCTCTCTCTCTCTCTCTCTCTCTCTCTCTCTCTCTCTCTCTCTCTCTCTCTCTCTCTCTCTCTCTCTCTCTCTCTCTCTCTCTCTCTCTCTCTCTCTCTCTCTCTCTCTCTCTCTCTCTCTCCTCTCTCCTCTCTGTCTCCTCTCTCTCTCCTCTCTCCTCTCTCCTCCTCTCTCTTCTTCTCTCCTCCTCCTCCTCCCTCTCTGTCTCTGCCTCTCTCTTCCCTCTCTCTCTTTTCTTATTATCCTGCAGACTTGTGCAGAGAAGTCTCATTCTGAGGATACAGGCACATGCTTTCCAGAGCAGCACACGGCTGACTAGAATGTAAGTGAAGTCCACTGCAAGCACTACTAGCATAATCCTGATGCTGCAGTATGGCCGTGGACCAGTACTGAATAGCACCTACACTGTACAAAGCTACATGACGGTAGTCATACCCGCCCCTAGGGCCCTGGTCTGGTCTGGCCCGGGCCTGGCTCACTGAGGCTGGCTGAACTGGCCCACGAGACCACGTGACTTTCTACTTCCACGATCTTACAAATGCATGACGATTGTACAAGTAATCACTCTAATCCAGGCCAGGGGAGGGATTTTGTTTTTAAAAGTCTGCGTACTAGTATTACTTTCAGGTGGAGTGGGCTACATGTGTGGCACAGACTGATATGGTACAGCGTATTGAAATAACAAAAATACTATCAGTCTGTGCGGCATGCACTGTAGCCCACTCAACCTGCAGAGCTGGACTATAGCTATAGCAGTAACTACAGCAGTACAGGGGAAGTCAGGAACAGACAGACACTGAGTAACCCTACCTAGAGCAAGTGTAGCATCATCTGATCTTGAAAAGGGTATTTACTATTGAAGGCGCTTTTCAAAAGTGTTTCAATGAGCCTAACACAATGATGTCAGCATGTGATAGGGAATGGGAAAGGTCTTCCTAGGTCTGTCTAGCCTGCCAGCTGACACGCTCCACTCAAAACAAAATGGAAATAGTGAATGTCACTGCCACAGCTGCCCCAACGTCATGGTATACAGGTAGTGGCAGACTGACTGAGCCCATCATAGCAGCACAGCAGCAGGCACTAGGTCTAGACATTGCTCATGAATCATGTTCTATCACTTACTGTGTGTCTTATAGTATCTCTGACAGTCTATACTGTACTAGTACACTGTCTGTATATTCATACTACTACTACTACATGTGCGGGAGCAGAATACTGACTACTGTAAAAGCCATTATTCTAACGAGGCGCATATACATGTATAACGATTTCCCAAAATCGACTGGTTTCCGTGTACCAAAGGTAACGATTCTCACTTATTCTCAACGCTCAATAGGACAGTGCATGTATCGATTTCTGTATAACGATTTTTATTTTAACGACAGATTTCTCCTCGTTAACTCGTTAGAGTTAGCACTTCGTTATATAATATATATGGCTTTTACAGTACTGTCTGCACTGTCTGATCATATGCTCAAAATGTGGACTTTTCCAGCTTTCCCAGCCACTGCATGCAGCTGTGCACACACTACATGTACACATACACACTGCATGACTTCAAGGCATCAATTTCACTTTCAGTCTGAAGTGTGAAAGCTGCCAAAAGCACTGGCATGTAAAGTGGGACACGTCCCGGCCATTTGTGATAGCCTGGCCTCGGATATGAACTATGTAGTACGTGTTCTCCGACGGTGGATCCCGTGTCTGGTGCCCGGTGGCTTAGAGCCTGAGGTGACTATAAGCTAATTCAGCTAAAGGAACTCACTAAGATATCTGATTTATCTGTCATCGGTTATACAATGACATAATGTATGTGTCTACTCTACTCTACTCTACTCTACTCTACAGTCATATCATCAACAGTGCTCTGCGTAGTCTGCACAGAGATGCCTTCGTTGGACTGCGCAGGCTGAGACAGCTGTAAGTGTGATACATGCTATTGAAGAAAACCACACACACTGATTGAAAACGTCTGTCCATTGGTAAGCAGACCCAGGCATACCAGACGCGTGGTTATCGCCACTCACCCTACAAGTACACATAGCGCAGATCTCAAGATAGAAACCAAATATTACTGCTTCCAAGGAGCGTAATGGAATTCTCTAACACAAGTACACAATACCTTCATTTCATGTACACGGTCAGGCTTGCCCCATAATACTAGTTGAGTGTGCTGTTGGCCAATGTACTCTGGTACAAATCTTTCCTGGAGTGCCGCACGTCACATAAGTACTTGCCCGATTCACACACCAACCACTTGCACTGAGACGAGCTGAGAAACCAAGCAGGATAGTCACGGGTAAGAAAGTTACTTCTTGGAAGTCATCACTGTGTGACCATGGTGACCTGTGGAAAGACATACCGCTGGTGCGTACTGTGTGTGTGCTTAGGCTTCTCCATGGCAACCGATTGTCACGCCTGGAACCGGGGACGTTCAAAGATTTGATTCACCTCAGAAAGCTGTAAGTCAAGAAAATCCTGCCCAGATGTCACCCCCCCCCCCCCTTTCTAAAACTCAAGATCATGGTTGCCACCACCAGAGCCATAGGTATCCCGGTGACGTCAGATGGTATGTAGTGCATTCTGTACACACTGCATCTACAATGTAGTAGGTATACATGTACTAGCGGCAGTGCACGCATAAAGCTTTTAAAGGCAATTTGCCACCTCTTTCCAGTACCTACACTACAGTCCGGCTGTAGTAGTGAGATATAGCAGGGCCAGTAGTAGATCTGTGAAGTTTGATGTCCTCTGTTGTACACTGTACACTGTACAATCATTATTGTATTATTCTGGGCTTTGTGTACAGAGATCTTCACAACAACAAGTTACAGAGTATCTTCTCTGGAACGTTTCAAGGCCTGCCGCAACTTCATCACTTGTGAGTATAGTACTAGTCGATACAAAACATATTCAAAGTGCCAGAAAGGTGTGTACTAGTGTATGCGCACATACGTTTGCATTACGAGTGTGATTGTGTGTGTGTGGGGGGGGGGGGGGGGGGGTATGTGCGCACATGTGTTCGGCAGAGTATGTGCATGAAAGTGTCCTTACCGGTACATATACGTTCTACACCCTCTTATAAGCACACAGGTATATGTATATAATCAGATCAACAGTCTGAAAAGTATTACATGCACAAAGCAATACACTGTATCAGTATTGCACGAATCCCATGCAAACACTGACAAACTAAATTTAGATACACGTGTCAGTAGGGATTGTCTCTAGCCCCTAGCAGTATCCTGTATCGGCTTTGGAAGACAACAGAAACGTGTATGCAATAAGCTCATTGCTCAGTGACGCGGTTTGTACCACCGTGACGACCACCGGAGTATGGTTGTGTAGGGTGTTGAGCAGTGCATTGCTGATCCCAGCGCACGTACTCACATGAATTACTCACAACTTCCAGACTGATTAGGCAATGTACAACGGGTTATACTTTATAGCACAGTGGATTGTCTGCTTTTCACTTGTCCACAGAATGCTTCATGAGAATTACATAGAGCTGGTGGAAAAGGCAGCACTGGACCAAGCATCAGAGCGGAGTCTTATCAGCTTGTAAGTAGACAGCAGATCCAGGGTAGGTTATTGGGACTGTATATCGGCTGTCATGGAAACACAAGCAGACTAACCATCCAGGTGCCCAAATGAACTGTGCATTTGCTTAGTTTTCTGCTATCCAGGTGTTGAACGATGACATAATTTTAAGTCAACGATGATGTCATTGTACTTGTTATGTCTATATGCACAGGTCGCTGCACAACAATCGTCTGAACTGCAATTGCAGCATCCGATACCTGATTGAACTCGACGAGAGTATCGCAAGTAACGCACGCCAAGATGGCGGCGATGAGATTGCTGGTGGCAACGATCAGCTCAATATACATCAAGTGCAGCAAGATGAACGGATGCGTCAGGAACAGTTGCCATGGCAATGCAGGACACCGGCAGCGCTGGCGGAAAAATACGTGCGTAGCCTGACTTCAAGTGACATTGGATGCTGTAAGTTGGTCAGGTGTATGTGTGTGTGTGTGTGTGTATGTGTGTGTGTGTGTGTGTCACAGTGTGTGTGTGTCACAGTGTGTGTGTGTATGTATGTGTGTGTGTGTGTATGTATGTGTGTGTGTGTGTTTGTGTGTGTATGTATGTGTGTGTGTTTGTGTGTGTGTGTTTGTGTGTGTATGTGTATGTGTGTGTGTGTGTGTGTGTGTGTGTGTGTGTGTGTGTGCGTGCGTGTGTGTATGTGTTAATTTGAACATTTTGGCGCAACGGATTGCACACAAACTGCGTATTTCCATGGTTCTCCATGCTCTTGTCGTACCGCGTGCGTGTGTGACGGTATGTGTGAACTGCTTGGAGTAATGGCCTTTGCGTAAAGTCAGTATGTGTCGTATACACAAAATGTATTGCAAAACACGGTGTAGACACTCCTGAGCGAATTCAAGCAGATCTTCACGAGCCATGCAGATCCCATACAGCACTACAATGTACATGCAGGACCAGGTGCATTGAGCACTCTCTTGAGTTGCCACGGCTTGCTGTAAGGTAACGGCTGCTTTCCCTCTTCTTCTCACAGCTGAACCTATTGCCGCGGTCTATGGTCCAGTGCGCGGAACACAGCTGGAGGGCGCAACAGCATCCTTTTTCTGCTCGGTGCGCGGCGTCCCAAGACCAGAGATCCGCTGGACGCACGACGGGAAAACTATTCCGCCGCACGTTGTAGGAGAACGACCAAAGCGGGTGATATCCCTGGACAGGCGCCTGTATGTTCGGCAACTGCGGATCAGTGATGCTGGCCTGTATACCTGTACTGCACGTAACATAGCCGGTACCGTCAGTATGTCAACGTTACTCACAGTTAAGGGTGAGTTACATCACTGATGACATCACTCATTACATCACTGATCACTGATTACATCACTATTACATCACTGATCACTGATTACGCACTCATTACATCGCTGACTAGTATAAAAATTAAAAGTAAATTATCGTGTCCGTTCCCGAAGGGAATAGTATACACACACACACATAAATACATGAACGTTCTACACTTCTCAGTGGAGGACTAGGTTACGGAACCCAGCACATGTCCGGCCATGCATGCATCGAGCTAGGAGCAGCTTCAGCCATACCAGTTAACGAAATCTACTCACACGAATGCACTCTGCACTCTGCACTCTGCACCCTGCACTCTGCACTCTGCACCCTGCACTAGTACACGGTCTAGTATTTACTGTACAGTCCGATGCTGTACAGTCCGATGCTGTACAGTCCGATGCTGTACAGTCCGATGCTGTACAGTCCGATGCTGTACAGTACGATGCTGTACAGTCCGATGCTGTACAGTCCGATGCTGTACAGTCCGATGCTGTACAGTCCGATGCTGTACAGTCCGATGCTGTGCAGTCCGATGCTGTACAGTCCGATGCTGTACAGTCCGATGCTGTACAGTCCGATGCTGTACAGTCCGATGCTGTACAGTCCGATGCTGTACAGTCCGATGCTGTACAGTCCGATGCTGTACAGTCCGATGCTGTACAGTCCGATGCTGTACAGTCCGATGCTGTACAGTCCGATGCTGTACAGTACCAGCCATTGTCTGAGTCACCGATGATCGGCTCCTTTTTGACAAGCGGCACTTTAAATTCTTGAGCAAGTATATTATTCCTAACATAACAAATGCTCTGCCGACGGTTAGGGGAACACCTCTTTACTCTTCTATCAGACCTTCTTGTGAGGGTACAACACTACTAGCAAATGCTGCCACGTCCACTGCTCTGATACCTGGTCTACATTGATTTCCACCATCTTGATATTGCATTAACATCGTCAAACCTTGTCCGGTCACACTTGAGCTGTTATAAACCAGCCAAGGAAAAGTAAGACATAGCGACAGCAGTCACAGCACTGAAAGATACAAGTGTGATTTGTAACAATGAAAGTGAGAAACACATACACCAAGTACTGCTAGAAACTGAACATTCATTTCATTTCACCCCTCGTTTTGGCTGAATTCTGCCACAGAGCGGCAACAACGTCCAACTGTTCAGCTCACACCACGCTTCCTCCATGTCCTTGTGACGGGAACTGCCGAATTCCAGTGTCGCGTACAGCCAGTCAACCCAAACGTACAGATCACGTGGCTGTGGAACGGACTCCCAGTGCTGGACCGTAGGAGTGCCATACGAGACAAAGTACAGATGACGAGTGACGGCGTGCTACGCATTCTCAACGTCTTGGAGTCGGACGAAGGTCACATCACCTGCTCGGCACGCAACCCGGCCGGCGTGGCAACAAAGAACGCTAACGTGACCGTGGATGGTAAGAGTAGGTGTGCTCAGTTCATGGTTGAATATTTGTCTAAGCAATCTGGTCGCCTGCTGCACCTGGAGTGACCCCCGGCACACTATGTACCTAACTGTTTGTTTGTCTGTCCGGTGTCCTTTACTCTGACTTCATCTGTTGCAATGTCAGTGTGATGAGCACGAGATGGAAACCACAATCCAGAAAAAAGAACAGTGCAATGGTGTCATGTCAGGATGTGCAATCAAATAGCTTGTACAGTCCAATATCCTTCCAGTACATGTCCAATAGAGCAACAACAAAAAATTAGACGGTCCGCAGACCGGACAGGTCAAGAACCACCCTTCCGCTTCCGTGGGACGCCACGACGCCTTGATCAGGGTGAGATGCGGCTCCTAACCAATAGAGCAAGCATCGATAAAGTCACAGGTGCCGACCGGTACAGTCACTTGGATAGGAACTCACTAATGTCGTCGGCGCATAAGTACATTTCAGAAACCTCTGCATGATGTACGAGTAGCACTGTGTGGAGAGGTGTGGTCACATGACAGCGTCTCAGCCAGACTGCATGCACAACGTCCTACATCATAAGTTAATTTAGCTGGTGAAAATCCATCGGGGACCGGTGCGGCAAGACGAGTTCAATGCATGGTTTCTCCCAGAAATCTAGACAGTGATTGTGACCTTGTTTGTTTGTTTGGTAAATCATGCTTATTTTCCTGTTGTTGTTGCTGTTGCTGTTGCTGCCGTATTTCTGCTCCATCTGTTTTGCTCAGTCCCAGCTGCTCTGGAACGGCTGACAGTGCTGAGCGCGTTGCAGCTCATGAACAACGCCACACTGGCAGCCATGAGGCTGCGGGACAGGTCCGACAAGGGCAGTGTCAACATTGCCGACTGGCTCAACATGCCGGCGGAGATGTTTTCTGAGATGCAAAGCAACATGCCGGAAGCAGACCGGGACACACGGAAAGCCTATCGCGACATTGAACTAGTGCGGATTGCGAGAAGGCTCATCAGCCAGGGCCGCTGGCTACCAACCGGACGCCGAGAGCAACGCGTTGACACCAGCCGGCCCGAGTTCGACAACAGCTTGGTCACCGAGCGGCAGCTGAAGATTATTGAACGCGAGGCGGATTGCAAACTGGCGCTGCGTGCGACGCGCTGCAACAACGAGTGCTACAACAGCAAGTACAGGACATTGGACGGTTCGTGCAACAACCGTGCACACCCAGAATGGGGCGGTGCACACACTCCACTCAACACTGTCGTTGATCCAGTGTTCGCCGACCAGTACTCGCTGCCTCGCGGCAGCGAGCAGCATCCGGTGCTCTCCAACAGTATCCGCCGTCAGCAACCAGCCCACTCCCAGTCCACAGCACAAGCACCACCACTACCCAATCCCAGAGAAGTGTCCACGCGCATGCTCAGTGCACTGACCATCACACACGACCTGGACTACACACAGTTTTTCATGCAATGGGGACAGTTCCTGGATCACGACATTTCCCTGACCGAGACGATGAACCAAGAGGACTGCCACGAGCTGTCTTGCGAAGAGCAGCAAGAGAACTGGCCGGTGTGTCTGAGCATTGAGGCCAGTCGTACTGATCCAAGACTGAACTCCAGCACATGCATTGCTACTCAGCGCTCCAGAGCAATGTGCGGTACAGGCAGCACTGCCATCTTTTATCGCGAGGCAAAACCGCGGCAAGTCACGAACGCAATCACCTCGTTTATCGACGGCTCGCAGGTGTATGGTTCAAGCGACGAGGTGTCGAGGCGTCTCCGCGACGGATCTAATGAAGCGGGCGGTATGCTAGAAACACAGATGGCCATAGGTGATAAAGGAATGCCACCGCTGCTGCAAGCTATAGGGAGTTCACGACCGGGTGAGCTGACAGACTGCCCTCGGCCACGACGTCTGGCCCCGGGCCAGGGTTTCGCCTGCCTGATGGCCGGTGATCGTCGCATTAACGAACAGCTGGACTTGACTGCGCTGCATATCATCTGGTTTAGACAGCACAAGCGGACTGTGCAGCAGCTGTCATCACTCAACAGGCACTGGGGAGACGACAAAGTCTTCCACGAAGCACGGAAGATTGTCGGTGCTCAGCTACAGCACGTTACGTTCACGCATTGGCTTCCGAGAGTGCTTGGCAGTGCGCATCCACTGTCACCGTACACTGGTTACGACCCAGCCGTCAACCCGGCTATCTTTGCTGCTTTCTCAACGGCAGCATTCAGATTCGGCCACGCCATGATTAATCCAATCGTGCGGCGACTCAATGCCAGCATGCAGCCAATCCCGCATGGGAACCTGGACCTCCGACAAGCGTTCTTTGCCGTTGACAGAATAATACACGAGGGAGGAGTTGATCCCCTAATCCGCGGGATGCTCATGACACCCAACAAGCTCATTTCTCCCACGCAACTCTTGACTTCAGAGGTCATAGAGCATCTGTTCCGCTCCACGCGGCTGATTTCTGAAGACCTGGGAGCTCTGAACATTCAACGAGGTCGTGATCATGGCCTGCCGGGGTACAATGCCTTCAGGAAAGTGTGCGGTCTCAAACAGTTCCGCTCCTTTGACGAGATGAAAGAAGTGACGGAGGAATCAGTGCTCAGGGTCCTGAAGGAATTGTACAACAGTTCGGACATGGTTGACTTATGGGTGGGTGGCCTGCTGGAGAGGCCACACGAAGATGCCAGGGTTGGACCGCTGTTTGCCTGCCTGATCGCCAGGCAGTTCACTGCACTGCGCGATGGCGATCGGTTCTGGCACGAGAACAAAGGGGTGTTCACGGCGGAGCAGCTGCAGGAGATCAAGAAGACAACGCTGTCGCGTGTCCTCTGTGACAATGGCGACAACATTCGGCAGATGCCACCAGACGTCTTTGTACAAACACGATTTCCAGACGGCTTCCAGCAATGCGGGGACATACCACAACTTAACTTAGAACAATGGAAGGAATGCCCTGAGAGTGTGTGTAAGTACATGTACCTGTGTGTCTGCTCTTCTGTCCTGTACTTGACTGTATCTTCACTTGTAACAACAATGAGACAGCAATTGCAAAGTTTCTGAGAACTTACACATCTGACTAAGTATGTTACATGCAGTACATGTACTTGTACGAGTACAACCGTATTCCCCGATTATTAATCACATACAGGGAGTCCCTGGTCGCATACAATCACACCGCCATTTTTATGTCTATGTCTATTTTGTCTTTGTGCTGTGGTGGCCCCCACTGGCAATGTTCACGTGTTCAATAGTGGTGTACACGTATGAGTGAGTGTGCGGATGTGTGCGCAACGAGTGAGTGCAGGGTGGACAGAGAACGTCATTTTTATGTCTATGTCATTATAGGTTCAGTGTGTTCACTTGAGTAATGACTGTCTTACTCTATGGTAAATTGTACTCCTTCTTCCCCCGACCTATAGGGGTTCAGTTTAAAACAGCGTGCGATTTATACTGTGGGTAGTCTGGTACTCAATTTATACTGTGGGTAGTATGGTACTCAATTTATACTGTGGGTAGTATGGTACTCAATTTATACTGTGGGTAGTATGGTACTCAATTTATACTGTGGGTAGTATGGTACTCAATTTATACTGTGGGTAGTATGGTACTCAATTTATACTGTGGGAAGTATGGTACTCAATTTATACTGTGGGTAGTATGGTACTCAATTTATACTGTGGGTAGTATGGTACTCAATTTATACTGTGGGTAGTAGGGTACTCAATTTATACTGTGGGTAGTATGGTACTCAATTTATACTGTGGGTAGTATGGTACTCAATTTATACTGTGGGTAGTATGGTACTCAATTTATACTGTGGGAAGTATGGTACTCAATTTATACTGTGGGTAGTATGGTACTCAATTTATACTGTGGGTAGTATGGTACTCAATTTATACTGTGGGTAGTATGGTACTCAATTTATACTGTGGGGTACTCAATTTATACTGTGGGAAGTATGGTACTCAATTCATACTGTGGGAAGTATGGTACTCAATTTATACTGTGGGAAGTATGGTACTCAATTTATACTGTGGGAAGTATGGTACTCAATTTATACTGTGGGAAGTATGGTACTCAATTTATACTGTGGGAAGTATGATAATACTCATAAAAAGGACACACTTCAGGCTCATTACAAACATCTTTACCACCTTCTTACTGTATTTAATCCACTGTTCCTGTTCCTTTTCCCTTGCCTGTATTTCACCTGATGAGAAGGCTTGAAAGTATACTTGTGAAGACAAAAACTTTCAAGATGTTTGTAATGAGCCTGAAGTGTGTCCTTTTTATGAGTATTATCGCATTTTTGTCTCAGAGGAAACTGTTTACCTGTGGGAAGTATGGTACTCAATTTATACTGTGGGTAGTATGGTACTCAATTTATACTGTGGGAAGTATGGTACTCAATTTATACTGTGGGTAGTATGGTACTCAATTTATACTGTGGGAAGTATGGTACTCAATTTCTGGACATGCTTGTATGACCCTGTTCTTTTTCATTTAGTATGTCTAATCTCACGAAGGCCAGTGGTTACGGGAATATTTGCAGAACAAACCCGTGACTTCACTTCGTTACCACCAATTCACACAGTTTAACCACTCCTCACAGAATTAAACAGCTACACCAATTCGTCATGGACGACTGCAAAACACCAGTCGATTGTCACAGATGCCCCCCCCCCCCCACCTCCGATAACAATTTGTTGTTCTCCAATCTCTTGTGTTCTTCTGTAGTGTTCAATGGACAACGCAGGCGAGCAGGACGTAACTTACACGAGGCAGAAGTGACCGTGTTCGGCGAAGAAGGCACTAGCATCTTTAGTGATGTTTCGCCGGCAAACAACATATTGTCCGTGCAGGGCTTAGCCCCTGACATGGATGCTCAGTCCAGGGTGGCAGTGGCAAGAGATAGTTCCAATGCAAAGCAGTCGACCGCCGACTCAACCGTGCTGGCGATGTTCGCCGAGGAGTCGGTGAACACGTGGCAGGATGTGCTAGTACGGTACCCGCACTCTCCGCTGGCTGCATCCATCCGAGACTTGGCACGGACCGCGGGCATGCAGGCATCATTGCAGCATAACAAAGACGGAGAGGTCACTACGGACCTCTGAAAAACTCTCTAATTCTCATCCTGGACCTTCCAGTTGACTTGATTGCAATACTGACCCGGTGGTATTCCCTAATTAATGTTGAGATTATTACTTTTAAAAACGTCCATTATATAATATTTTCAATACGTTGCCAATAGCCATGAGAGTTGGTAAGAAAGAATGCTGTCCACTCCTCTATTCATCAGATTTACCACAAGATGATTGGAGTACGGGAAGTTTGTAAACAAAATCACATCAAACACTGTACTATGGACCTTCTAGGGTGACATGATGTACCTCGGGCATACGTGATGCACACTGACTGACTGAGTCACTGTGATCCGATGCTCAGTCACACACTCGCCGCATGTTCACTAGCTACATGACTGTAGGACTACATTTCGTAGTACCTGGAACAAGGCCAGGGGGTTCAGGCTAACAGTTAGGCAGCGGAGGACTGAGATGTGTAATGTTGATGAGCAGAAGAGTGCGGAGAAGCATACAAAAATCAGTCAATTACTGGTACTGCACTGTACTGGTAGGTTGACAGCTGTTTGGAACAGCTAGTCTATGTAACACCATGGTTACGTTGGTATGATGCTAACATGAATACTCGTTCGAACAAGACAGTGCTACTACTAGAATGCTTGTAAGCGGCTTCTTCGCCGTGTGTTTGACACGTGATGGGTCCAAAGTGCGATGCCGATTGTGGTGTTGCAGTGTACAACACTGGTCTACATGCATAGTCAGGGGATGCGCCGACGACTCAATGAAAATACAGCATGGGAGCTGTATGTTCATCTCCCAACTTGACACCAGCTGAAGAGCATGGTTCTGCTGCCACTACTCACTAGTGCTGTCTGCTGCTGTCTGCGTACCATCCACCGTCCCAGGATCTAATCCCCTATTCAGTCCGGATTCCCATGGTTCTGACTCTGAGAGTGTTGGTACAGAAGGATCTGATGCCATGCCACCAAAGGAAGAGGTTGGATGCCGCAACCCCACTGTAGCGGTCTGATGTTATCCCACCGGAGAGGTCTGATGTTACCGGAGGGGTCTAATGTTACCCCACTGGAGGGTCTGATGATACCCCACCAGAGGGGTCTGATGTCAGCACCTCGCCGGAGGGGTCTGATGCCCCCCCCCCCAAACGGAAAGGTGTGATGTCGCCACCCCACAGGGGGGGGGGGGGGGGGTTAATGTCACCACCTCACCAGAGGGGTCTGATACCACCTAGTAGAGGGGTCTAATGCTGTGACCCCAGCGGAGGGATCTGATGCCGACCTACCGGAGGGGTCTGATGCCGACCTACCGGAGGGGTCTACATGATGGCACCCCATGACCATCACTTGCAGACCTAACAAAAGTTACAAAACCCAACGCCATAATGTACCTCAGTTTGTAGCCGTTTTGTTGCACCGAATAGCAGAATGGCCAGTGTTGCTGGCCAGTCACAGAGTCCAGTCCTAGGCTGCGCGACGGCCAGTCATAAAGCGTAACAGCTGATATCACCAACTCAGTGGCCGCAATAACACCCGCCATGTGTACGCTGGCACAGTTAGATGCTGTGCGCCACCATGATACAACTCAGATCAGAGTTGCAGTAACTGTGCAATCAGGCTGGCTGGCATAGAGGAGGCATTATACTGTGGCACCTGCATCTACAGTAGCCACAGGGAGAAAAGCAACAGAGCGCAACAGTTTTCTTTTGGCTCATTTTCACCGATTGTATTTTTTTGCGGTGCACATATCTATGTCTATGAAAAGACGGCGAACCAAACAAAAATTAAAAAAAATAAAGTATGAGGTGTGTAGGCGTTACACGAACAGCATACAGTTGTTGTGGTTCACCAGTAACCATGGTAACAACCTTCAACCATGTGGTGTCTCTAGGCGTTAACAGGGCATATTTTAGCCAGGGAAGGATTGGGATATTCTCCTCCCGAACAATTTGGACGGTAAAGTATGCCGGCTCATGCCATAACTGTGCATGATACTGAATATGTACAAGTACGGATTGGGTCATCCAGTCACCGCACAAACTGGGTTCAGAACTGGGTTCCTGGCTGATCAACTTGAGAAAGCTGCCAGAGCTACATTCTACAAACATAGCGCGAACAAACTGCTATGTCTGACATGTGTGATGTCCACGAACCATGTTGCTACTTCTACCCATGTCGTGTTTGTGATTCTTTGCTTCTAACACACATGTGGAGTGCGATACAAATCATGTGCTGAGGCCTGATGTGACACTGCACAACGGGAGGTACGAAGCAGAGTTGCCCTTGACTAGAAGTTTCATTGCAAAATGGCCAATCATGACTGTGACAAAAATAGTCAACTGCATGTGGATTGGTTTCAGATACATTGTTGGTGTGAACCAGGGAGTAGTAAAATACCTACTCCAGTGAAACCGGGAGTAGTAAAATACCTACTCCAGTGAAACAGGGAGTAGTAAAATACCTACTCCAGTGAAACCTGTCTAACTAAGGTGACCCCTCAAGGGACGAGAAAAAGTGGTCGCCGTGGCCAGGTGGTCTTCTTATCCAGGTTCAGCGGGTCACGTGACCATATCCACGTGTGATACATCATTTTGATCAGTGTATCACAGTGCCGGCACACACCTATGCCACTCTAGCACGACTCACGTGCCCGGGGTCCTCAGACCTGTCAAGTGTCGTGCATGCACCATGCACATCTACACTTCCTGCACTGATGTGTAGACCCACCATGCATAGTACACCATGTAATGCATATTATGTACTAGCACTGTGCAACGCGGTCGCGGGTGGGTGGTCGTCGGTCGCGTTAAGCGAGTGGTCGCCTTATCCGAGCTGTTTTGAATGTGAATGCGTCCGTGACAAGGAAATGTGGTCGCCATTACAGGCTTTACTGTACTTGCAAGTACTCCCTGGTCTGAACAGTGATTGCTACAGTGTGCGATGTGGAGAGTTGCACGTGCGATCAGCGGTCCGCGGTCTCTCTCGAACCAGCTGCGAACCACGATCGAAATTTTTGTATTGAGGGATGTGCTTTGGCACCCAAAGCCCCCCCCCCCCCCCCTTGCACACACCTCTGTGTGTGAGTGCATTTCTGTTACGTGTATAACAAACTGCGGCTACAAAAAAACTACTTCTCCTGCACCGGCAATGCATTAATGGTGTCCGTTATAATGATTATCAGGAGTCAACTGTACACGTAATACCAGAACTTGCAGAAGCACGCACACACACACACACACACACACACACACACACACACACACATACACACACATGCACGCGCGCGCGCGCACACACACACACACACACACACACACACACACACACACACACACACGGTGACACTCATAACTTCACACACAATCACAACGCCGGATTTTTACCTCAAAGTTCTCCACACTGGAGCCGCATATGCCATAACCGTCAGTCACAGCTGATAGTGCTGATCATATGAGTGATAGGCCGCAACCGTTCTATTTTGCCACCATTGAAAGCTGCTTCCCTGACACCGTGGCACCAAGTCTTGGCAAGAGCGTGGCATTACGAACAGGCAGTCATACCATACTATAGCATGACAGCACTGACCACTACCGCAGCAGTCGTGGAGTAAAAAAGAGCACAACTATTGATCCAAATCTTCAGCAGAAACATTCCGACGCAAGCCTGGCCATACAAGCGGTTTTATGCCTTGGGATTTCCCCATATCCATCACGTGTGTTTTCTCCCGGATATTGGGAGTCGTAAAATATCTACGACTTGCCAGAATCTTCAGCGTGTAGTACATCATCACAATCATCACAAAATCCTTTGTCAGAAAATAATAATATTATTATTTCATTGAGGGTGCGTTTGGTTGGTACAATCTAGAACAGGATCGAACAGCTGGTGCACATGGAGCAGCCTCATGCCAACCAAACGGTACTCCAGAAACAGAGCACATTTTTGTGGAAAATGTGCCAAACTTGGTGCATTCTTCAAAATGTGTATGGGTCACCATGGTCACTTTGTACGGTACAACGAGTCCAACCCAAAAGCGTATGCACGTGATCATTTGGGACCAAAATCGATGTTCCCGCCAGGTTTCACTGTGAAAAAGTGAAACTGCTCGGTCTGCTCTGGCCTGGAGGCCGGAGCAAGCAGAACATGTTCTGGCCGACCCAGAACAGGTGCAGTCCCAACCAAACGCGCTGTTCTGGTGAATCCTGTTCTAGTTCGTACCAACCAAACGCGCCCTGAGTCAGCAGCTCCGCGATCGCCTTCTCAGTTCCTCTTTGTCTCTGAGGAGATAACTACGCACCGTTATGCTAACAAACCGGCTTGTGAACATAGCAGATAGAGAGATAATAAAATGAGCTCCGAAGAAGAACAGGAGCTGACCGAAGCCCTTGAAGTTGAGGAAGTGGAGGATGCTGACATTGGATTATCTGATAGCTCTGCATCCAAAGCTAGGCTGCTTGACGATCGTGAACGAGAGGAAGACGAAGACAGTGGAGATGAGTTTGACGATATAGATATTGCAGATAGTGATGATGACGCTCGCACAAGGTTTCGTGTCAAATCTGTTATTCGCAGAAGGTCGGCGGTGAGAAGAAGCGGCCGAGCTCTCAAATGTTGCCTTCTTTTTGGATTCATTGTTAGTGGTATTGCTATGGCTGGGATCGCCATCCATCGCTACGGGCCGAAGCAGGTACCGTCTGGAAATTCGCAATTTTCCGCAGTCCTGAAATCACCGGCTGACACAGCATCATACAAAGTGTTCAAATTGGAAAATGGCATCAAAGTGTTGCTTATCTCGGACAATGCCACGCTCAACTTGCCAATGGCCGTGTCAGTGAATGTCGATGCTGGTTTCTTCAACGAACCCGCTGAGTACCCAGGATTGGCTCATTTCCTTGAGCACATGCTGTTCCTGGGAAGTGAAAAGTACCCAGCCGAAGGCGGCTACGCAAACTATCTGGCTATGAACGGGGGCAGCTCAAATGCTGGAACCAACACGGACTACACAAATTACTACTTTCACGTCAATCAGGATGCCGGCGCCAATGCGTTAGACATGCTGGCTCAGTTCTTCATCTCGCCAACTCTGAGTAAGGACGGCGTGGCGCGAGAAGTGAAGGCAGTGGACTCGGAGTTTCGCAACTCCCTTTCCAACGACGCGTTTCGGCGCGAGCGCTTTCTCAGCCTCATGTCCAGCCAGCAGTCGCAGGCATCTCGTTTCGCAGTCGGCTCAGTGGAGACCCTGAACAAGCCGGGTGTTCTGACGGCGTTGCGCAAGTTCTTCAAGGAGCAGTACACGTCGGATAGACTCTCCGTTGCAGTCTGGAGCACTGACAAACTGGAGAACTTGGAACAGCTTGTCAGGCAGTCATTCTCGGCCATACCGAAAACAACATCTCCCGAGTTCATCCCCCGGGCACCATTTCCCCATGAGAGCCGTGCTCAGATGGGGCACTATGGAACGATAAACGGTGACGACACGATCAATGTCTACTTTCAGATAGAGCCGATACGCGGAAAGGAGCGAAGGCGCCCGGTAGACCTGATCGTGCATCTGTTAGCACACGAAGCGAACGGCACTGTCCTGGCCAAGCTTCGTCACGTCGGCTGGGCTACGGCACTGAGGGGCTACACGGATGAGTCCAACGTCGGATACGCTCTTCTTACCTTCACTATCCAGCTGACGGTGGCAGGTAAAGAGCACAACAATGAGATCATCGGCATGCTGTTTGACTACCTGCGCCTCATTCAGTCGTCGGGCATAACGCAACATGTGTGGAATGACATGCTGGCTCTTGATGAGATTGAGTTTGAGTTCAACCGGCCGTTCACCGACCCGACCAGTGCTATCTCCGGCCTGGCGCGGCGATTGGGACGAATTTCTTCACCGGCCGACCTGCTGTCTCCTCCATCTCGCAGCATCTGGGACCCGGAGATGGCGTTGAATATTGTTAAAACCATGACTCCGGACAATGTGATAGTGCTTATTGGTTCGTCTGAGGATGCTGGTTTTACGCACTATGACCCTCTCTATGCCTTTAACTTCACCAGGAGCACCATAGGCAGAGTGCAGAGAGAAAGGTGGCAGTCGCAGAAGAGAGATCCGTTTTTCAAAATTCCCGGAGCTAATCCGTACGTCCCGGATATCAAGACGCTGACGGCGCTGCAGGAGCAACTGCCCATTCCCGCTCCAGAGCTATTGGTTAATGTTGCTGGCAAGAAGTTGTGGTGGTATCCAAACCATGAGTTTTCACGTGTGCCCAAAGTCTCCATCGACATTACCTTATACACGGACGTTGAGCGTATTCAGCAAGATGATGTAACGCTTCATACCCTAATGGCGCTGTGGCTTTCCATGGTGGAAAAGGCATTGAGCACTCTGACGTACAATGCACACCTGGCTGGCCTATCCTATGGTCTAAGTCATAGTGTGTCATCGCTACACCTGACTGTCACCGGCTATGCCGATGTCAAGCCGCTTCGTCTCTATCTCACCACACTGCTGGAGAGCATCTTCAAGACAGCCTTGGACAGTGCGCTGCGCTTCACGCGCGTGCAGACGGAAATGGCCCGTTCGCTGCGTCTATTCGATCGCCGCAATGACATCTTTGAGCATGCCAAAGTCTTCAAGAACTTGCTGCTGCACAAGTACAACGTTGCAGCACAGCCCGACAAAGTGCTGTCCGCGGTGGAGAGCATGACGCATGATCAGGTGGCCGGCTTCGTTACCACATTCACCGGTGCGTTGACAGCTGTTGGCTTTGTTCATGGCAGTGTAAGCAGATCGGAAGCTAAAGCTCTCTTCGACATGACGCCGGAATTCCCTGTCGACCTCGACACTGTTCGGCACCAGGAAACCATCGCGTTGGGACCCTCATCGCGGCCAGTGTATCGTTCCCTGACAACTGAGGCGGCTGCTATCAACTCTGCAGTTTATGATATCATTCCTATTGGTGCATCATGTGAAGTGGCTGGGATCAGCATCACTACGTACACGATGGGCTGTAGCCAGGCGTCTCTGCGCCGCACTGTTTTTATTCAGTTCCTGGTGCAGCTGATCAGCGACGAGTGCTTTGATCAGCTTCGTACCAAGGAACAGCTTGGCTATATTGTCTACTGTGGCTTCACCAAGTTTGTCAATCAACAGCAACTCGTGGCCGTTGTTGTCAGTCCCAGCCGAAATGTCACCTATGTTGAAAGCCGCATTCAGTCATTCCTCGCGTCGTTTGCCGTCACTTTAGAAAACCGTTTGAGTGATCCTTCTCGATGGGCTCAGCTGCGTACTTCCGTCCGTTCTGTTTTAAGTCGCCCTGATAATTCTTTTGAAGACCTGACATACCGCCTGAGGGCTGAAATCCATCAAGCTCGGTTCCAGTTTGACGTGAATGCACAGCTGTTGTCAGAGCTGGAACATGTCACCGACCCAATGTCAGTGGTCAACTTCTACAATGACATCTTGCAAAGTAAACGCCAGCTCTCCATTCAGATCTATAACAAGGAGGAGACGTCACTGCATGCTGGTGATAATATTCTTGACGAATCGTCTCTACCAGCATGGCGCCGCTCTCACCGGACCTACGTACCTTTATCACGTGTTAGCTATGGTATATGAGTTACACAACATGCACTGCCACACACTGTAACTCTATGTGTGTTGTGGCAGCAGTTTGTCAACATTCAAAGTGATTCCCACTGAGACAGACAACCAATTTTATTTCCGAATTAGTACTTTTCTTGTCCATCATATCCGTTGTTCTTCATCTTTCCGCTCTTAGTTAAATTTCAATAAAACATCCGTGCTTATTTTATGTCTATCCAGCTGGTCCTGTTGATTACGATTCGGAAACTATTGTCGCCTCGCCGCCTAATAATTTAAATATTCAATTGGGTTTGTTTTAATTAGGCCTACAAGTAGTTGCAAGAGTACATAAACCGGTTTATGTACTCTTGGTAGTTGTAGTTGTAGTTTTTATCTGCGCATTTTTCCCGAAACACTCCAAACGCCTGATGGTTTTGAGGGAGACTCATTGCTGGGTAGGAAATGTAATACTGTATGCACTGTACATGTACTTCAAGTAATTACCATCTTCTTGATAACGCCGGTATTACATGATCTACTTTGTTGTACATGTGACTACATGTACTGCTATACTACGTGTAGCACTACTCCGATACAGGCTTTGTGTCAAGTTTAGTTCAGACACTATTTCCACAAGAAAATCAGTTGGGCATCATGGTCCTCATAACATTGCTCAAACAAACCGTTTGTCATCCGAAAAGGCTCTTCCCTCGGCTGAGACAACAACAGTTCTCTCTCATCACACTAAAGCAACTTGTCCCCCATCATTGCAGATTGATGCAGGGGCGTAGCAGCCGCTGAGGCCGGTCCGGCTTTGGCCGGACCACTTTAACGCCCGACCACGACCACCATAGACTATAGTAAAACAATGCCAAAAGTGCCCAGAATGCAGGATTTGCACCCTAATTTCCAAAAAAAATCAGGGTGGACACCCCCCCCGGCCCCCTGGCCGGACCACCGCCAACGGCGGTGCTACGCGCCTGTGATGGCATCGACCTTTGTCGCGCAGACACTTGTAAGCACCTCGGTGTGCAGCTGACGTCGTTGCTGCAGTTTGATGCCCACTACGACACCATCCACACCTCTTTCTCTAGGAGAGTGCATCTGCTATGCTTCATGGCACGGCCTCTACCGCCATCTGTAAGATTATTGCTATACAAACAGTATGTTCGGCCTGCATTAGAATCTGCAATTCCGGTCTGGCATTGCCGCATGACTGCACAGCAACTTTCCGCATTGGATGTTCTGCAGGCTAAGGTATGCCGCGCCTTTTTGCGGAAGAAAGCGGTTCAGTTTGACACACATGAAACGAAGGAAAATCGTAATAAGCTATGTTTTCTAGAGTCTTTGCATTATAGAAGGCAACACATCTCTCGTGTCCTTCTCTTCAAGTACGTTAATGTCTATCCCCACTACTTATCTAATTTTGGTCTAAATGAAATGAAAGTACTGAATTACGGAATAGATGCAGGGAAGAGCATAAGCGGACTGCAGCGGGGCCGGGGAGTGCATTCCAACGGTCGGAACCGATGAAAGAAACTGAAAAGAGACCGAAACTTTTTTTACGAGCATTGGTTTCACTGCAGTGGAATTCCGTTGAATATGTAGCGTCACATCATATTCTTTAGAAGCTTATCTCTGGCACAGTTTTCAACATTTACATGTATTATCCCAGTTCTGCACGCTTACAATCATATGCTCAAGTGCAGAGCTCTGCCCTAGACTATGTCTTTGCCTCTTTCTTTGCTCACCTATTGCTCATCACTTCTTTTACAGATTTGGTATTATGGAAAGTTCGGAAACCCCCTCGACAGGCGAAAGCCTTTGGGGAATCCTTAAACAATAATAATAATAATAATACCACAGCACGCGTACAAAGGCCAAAGAACAATGCATGAGAATACACTGAAATTAAGCCAAGTCCGCTTCTGTCTCCAGTCAACAAAAAACTCATCCATAAACAATGTCTGATCTCCATTTCGACTTGTCTGCAGCAAATGCTCGTGCTCCTTCTACTCTCGTGCTCCTTCTAGGTCGCTTTAATAAACAATAAAAATTACAAATTATCACTTGAACTGTTGGAACTGCCCCATTAGCTCAGCCGCGCTGGACTAATGCTGGGCTTTATGTATGCCATATTAGAAATTTAGAAGCACTTTGTGACTTTTTTATTTTTCTTATTTTACTTGTGGCAGTAACTTGAGTGTGTGTTTGTGTGTGTGTGCCTGCGTGTGTGTGCCTGCGTGTGTGTGCGCGCGCGCGCGCGCGCGTGTGTGTGTGTGTGTCATTTCGCCAATGAAAAATAGGGATTCGCTGGCCAGAAAAAAGCCACTTCAACCAGCTGTGTAGTGTAGACCAGTCTAGAAAATTAGTGGCGATCAATTCATGAGCCTTGCAAGCTGTTGAATGGTGTAATCCCAGCACAAGTTGCTATGTACCTTGTTTGTTCAAACATGTTGTTGGTTGACAGCATGTTACAAGGTGGAGGACACCGTGTTCGGAAACAGTGACCTTTCTACAACCATCCACGGTTGGTAGATCTAGAGCCCCTGTCGGTTGTGACCATCTGAACCGTATGGGTGGAAGACCCGGCTCTGACCCTCTCTATTCTAGGGGAGTCGTTTTAGACTTCTCGTACCGTCAGTCTTGTATTCTTTGTTCGCTTCTGGATGTCTTCTTGATACCGGTACTGGGTGACAGTGACTGTTGTCAGCTGACGAGCTGAGAGAGGGACGCAATGGGCAGAAGTTGGAAGAAGAAAAAAAGTGTTTGAAAAGAAGAACAAAACTACTTGAAGTAGCTACAAAGTTTATGATTCTCAGTACCAAGAAGACATCCAGGAGCGAACATAGAATTCAAGACTGACGGTAGATCTACGAGAAGTCTATCAGATCAACTCCCCTAGAATAGAGAGGGTCACTGACTCAGAACCGGGTCTAACACCCTTACGGTTCAGATGGTCGCAACCGACCGGTGCTCTACCAACGGTGGATCATGGTTGTAGAAAGATCACTGTTTCCAAACACGGTGTCCTCCACCTTGTTACATGCTGTCAACCAACAACAAGCTGCTATGTCTAACTTAGCTGTTCGCTATCATCGCTTCTGCGATGGGAAGGTCTGAGGCGTCATTTCGCCGGGCGGGTGACTTGAAGCGTCTCTCCCCATATCGCTCAGCTCGCACGCTATCATCGCACTAGCGATGGGCGTACAAGGTGTGTGTGTGTGTGTGTGTGTGTGTGTGTGTGTGTGTGTGTGTGTGTGTGTGTGTGTGTGTGTGTGTGTGTGTGTGTGTGTGTGTGTGTGTGTGTGTGTGTGTGGTGCACACGTCTTTCTTCTCTTTCTCGGTCTCTTCCTGACTTTTCTTTCATTCTCCTGGGTGGTTACCAACAGCCAGTGTATACCGGAGTATGTGGTGTAGTGTGTGTGTGTAGAAAAAAAAAGAAAAAGAAAAAAGAAAAAATGGAAAAATGGAAAAATGAAAAATAGGGATTCCGACACTGGCCAGAAAAAGTCACTTCAATCAGCTGTGTGGTGGATACCAGGCTAAAAATAGTGGCGGTCAATTCATCAGCCTTGCAAGCTGTTGAATGGTGTAATCCCAGCACAACTTCCCACAAGTTGCTATGTCTAACATAGCTGTTCGCTATCATCGCTTCCGCGATGGGCAGGTCTGAGGTCTGAGGTGTGTGTGTGTGTGTGTGTGTGTGTGTGTGTGTGTGTGTGTGTGTGTGTGTGTGTGTGTGTGTGTGTGTGTGTGTGTGTGTGTGTGTGTGTGTGTGTGTGTGTGTGTGTGTGTGTGTGTGTGTGTGTGTGTGTTAGGGGTAAGCGGATTATGCTCGGAAAATGACCAGATTATGCTCTAGAAAACAGCCAATTATTATGATTTGATATGCTTCAAAAAGACCAAAAGAACAGATAATCGTCACATGAAAAAAGGACTCAGACCATTGTCATGATGTGGACTGGGAGCTTTGTGGAAGTACAAGACAATAATGATAATATACAAGAGGAATACCAAATTCACAAGCAATCGCTGAACCTTTGGGAGATGTCCTATAGTGGCTGCTAAAATATTATTCCAAATCGACGAGAAGCGCTATGTATGGTCATTCAATAGCAGGTGTGTATAATATTTATTATACATGTAACAGCCTCATTGGGCATAGACAGACTGGTGGTGTGTGTGTGTGAGAAACGATTATGGTCACACACGTCTTTCTTCTCTTTCTCAGACTCCTCCTGACTTTTCTTTCATTCTCCTGGGTGGTTACCAATAGCCAGTACATGCTGGAGTACTAGTATGTGGTGTGATGTGTGTGCGGGAAAAAATGAAAAAGACCAAAAAATAGGGATTCACTGGCCAGAAAAAGCCACTCCATAGCTGTGTGGTGTAAACCAGGCTGAATAGTGGTGGTCAATTCTTCAGTCTTGCAAGCTGTTGAATGGTGCAATCCCAGCACAAGCTGCTATGGCTTCTGCTGTAGCATCGCTATCATCGCCTCCGGCGATGCGCGTCAAAAGGTGTGTGTGTGTGTGTGTGTATGTGTGTGTGTGGTGTGTGTGTGTGTGTATGTGTGTGTATGTGTGTGTGTGGTGTGTGTGTGTGTATGTGTGTGTGTGTGTGTGTGTGTGTGTGTGTGTGTGTATGTGTGTGTATGTGTGTGCAAAAAATTTTCGCGGAGAGGAAGCAGATTTGTTAGCTCCTGGTTTTCTCTTTGTTGGCCTCCTCCACGGGGCGCCCTTGGCCTTCTGGTCAGGGTCGTCCCTGGGTATTGACTGGCAGTAGGCTTTTCATGCCTTGCAGCCGGTTTCGCTCGCGCGGAAGGGCATTCAGTGAGCTGACGACCAGGGCGGGTAATTTGTTGCCGTCACCGTCTTCTTGCGTCTAGGCCTCCGCGGAATATGCCGGCATAATTTCGGGAATTATCGGTGTGATTTTTAAAACGGGAATTATTGGCAACTTTTGTGGAATAATCGGTAAAATTTGAGCAATGCCCCCCTTTTTTCAATTTGTTTCCATTTATAACACCCTGATTTGTACCAAAAAGCTCATGATCCTGAAGTTGATCGCCCGGTATTTCAAAAAAGAAAGAAAAAAAAGCTTCCAGCCGAGTTTCACGCGAACCGTGATTTTTTTGCCCGTACAAGTGGCAAAAAACCGTACGCGGTACGGTATCTGCAAAAAAAGGGAAGAAAAAAAGAATTATTGTGAGAATTATTGGTGGAATTACGGGAATAATCGGTCGAAATTTTGAGCAATGCTCAAAAGAATTATCGGTAAAAATACGAGCATATTCCGCGGAGGCCTACTTGCGTCCTTTCCGCATCCTCCGCAGTGGCGTGGCGAGCCCTCGGATCAATCCCCAGCCTGAAACAATGCAGTGGCGTTCGGCAAAACAAGTGGATTCCTGGATGAAAAAGGATACAGGTCACACTCGCAACAATTTATTCCTGCGCGGTGATAGCTGGAATTGTGAATTTGTCGTGTTGTTTGGACCTGAGTGGCCAGTCGTCGTGCGGCGATGGTGTTGT